GACTTTGGATTTTTGTTTTGCACTCGGAGTCAAAGATCAGAGTTTTATAGCTCGTTTCTTCTTTTACTTTATATGAAAGCCCAAGTTATTCTGAAGTCAAGTGTCAAATTGATATGAAAATAACAATTCCTTGGTCTAAATACCAGTGCTTGTAAACAAACATACACGAGGAGTTTTCTGTGCATTATTATTTTATTATCAATACAGTATCCGAGATATTTGAGGAGGGGCTCGGAATACATATATTGAATTCATTTGGTACAGAGGGATAATACTGGTATATGAGGAGTGGTTCAGTATATGGAAGCTTGGTATTGATAAGTAATACTGTATGTAATAAACTAAAGCACTGTCCTTGCATCAGTTTAGTTATACAGTACCATTACTTTCTGCAAATACGTACATACTTATACAGTTACCCCTTGTTTAGCATTCAATTCATTTAACGTTAATTCAGCTAAAATGATTGACTGGCTGGCTTTAAAGCACCAAATGCCATGCTGCTTTTTAAAGTTTTAAAGCCAGCCAATAGTGAAGTCACGGTTCCTCATGAAACTCTTCAGATTTATTATAAAGCATCAGCAGCGTGAACCATTCATTTAGACTTTATCAAGGCTGGTGCACTAAGGTTCACAGATTTGTTTTCTTTGAATAAAATATTCCTATAACTCACAACCAGTCAAAAAAAAAAAATCAATATTCTCTCTAAGTTACACACTGGTCATACTGGTCATGCACTTTGTTCACTCAATGTTCTTGATCTGTTTTTTATAGAAATTCCACCTTTTCTTTTATACTTAGCCCTTTGCATCCTTTTAGCACTGCTACACTCAGTACCTGTACAGTACTTTACTATAATTTTTGCATTTGTTTACATTGTGACATTTATGAGGGAAAATACAATTAATATTAAACAAAGAGCACAGAGCAACCCTGGCAGGAACAAAGACTCCTTGAAGAAGCATCAGTCATGGGCAAAGTATTAGTTGTATATCATAAGGGATTAAAAATCTTCATCAGGGGTCATGTGTTTGTGACTGCAGAACAAGAAATTTAAATGCTCAGATCTTTCGTACGGCAAATTTCAGGTAGACATATTTTACAGCAATCAATACTCACTTGTACTTCTTAAACTGGTCTATCCTTAAAACCATTAGATATCTAAGGCAACATCTAATACATCTCACTTATTATTACAAACCACTCATTCACAACATCTGTTTCTGATTTACTTTCTTAAGTGATTAAACAAATTATTAAATTTTTATGCATCTTATGAGATACACAACACAACATCTCCAAAGAGTTTCATGGAACAAAGTTAAAGTGTTCAAAATTGTTTTAATCCTGTACAAAAAGCTATATTGTATATTTATTTCATATTCATTTATTTATGTGAGACAAAATCAAGAATTGAAACAGTACAAAAAATTTTGTTATCTCATTGTTCTTGGGTTTGTGTGTGTGAAGGACGTAAATATTGTACTGTCAAGATGTGTTTTTTTTTTTTTAAGTGCCATATCATTATTTGCTAAACATTATCAAGAAACTGCCTCAACACATAGCAAAGACTAACAGTAAAATAAAAGATAAAACTGAAAAAATATGAGCAGGAATTTATTACAAATACTGTGCCAATCAGCATATGGGAAAAATGTGGACAAAAACTTTTTAGCTGAGGGAGAAGATGAGGATGTTACTCTAATGAAGTCATTACAGTGTACAGAAACTGAATAATAATATTAATCCAGAAGCAGGTTAATGAATGTCTAAGTGTTAAAATATATATGAAAGGATTCAATAGAGTAGAGATATGAACATACAAAATAATGCACAATGAACAAATTAGTAACATACCATGTCATATGTATTGTCACAAGCCAACACTAATACATCAATTGGCGTTGTGTGGTTGGCTACACAGATACCGCGCAGGGGGATATTTTCTCTGTTGTGGTACGTACACACCAGCGACAGTGCCCCACTGAGAAAGTCAAAGCAGAAGACTGATATGCAGTTGTTCAGCCTCTTCTTCATTTTGCTTTCAGGGAGGCAACCCACGAAGTATGTACACGCTACCATGACAACCATCTGTAAGACATAACAAAGCCCCAAGCACTATAGACAAGCATACCACAAGTAAGAGAACTCACTGTGTTGGTGGAACACACACATTAATTCCATAACAAAATCAGTGTAGGACATTTACAACACAACTCCAGTGAACACAATACATACGAGAGGAAAAACTGCAAATTTATGGTAAAGCAGATGTATACTTACCTATCAAAATCTCTAGACCTTTATAGTTAAAACACCATACAACAAAGCCCAATACAATAAACCCTCAAAAGTCTAGACTATTTTAGGGGAAAGGAGATCTGGACTTTTACCAAGTGGGAGTTCAGGGGACCACTGGGCAGCCACTCATTAGCCCCCCAATGACCCTTAAATTTGTATTTTTATGTGCAATAAATGTCATGTGTTTTCCTGTTACACTTTTTCTTTATTATATATATATATATATATATATATATATATATATATATATATATATATATATATATATATTAAAACAGTTCATTAAAAATGAAATTATTTTTGGTATAAAATATATTACTCTAATTATTATTAAAATATAAACTGTATTGCCTTTAATGGGGATACTGTACAAAGGTCTCATCAGAGTTGATACAGTATAGGTCTAAGGTGAACTAATAAGCACAAGAGAAGACACTTTACTTGTAAACGTGCTGGAGGTGGTTGGGGGAGGGCACTGGCTGTTACTGCGTTCGCCAGTTCCTTTTTATTTATTCATTATTATATTCTCGTATGATCAGCCTCTTATGATGTACAGTATGTCTCATCAATAACAAAATAAAATATTAAATAATAGAAAAAAATACAATATATAATTTGTAATTTGACTTAAAAATAATGGAGACTGAGATGGACTGTGCCAGGTGTGTGTGTGTCATATGGATGATGCAATACGCATTCGTCGTCTGCTCTCTTCCCAGGAGGATCACCGTCACCATTGTTTGAATTATTTTACCTAAAATCTTACTATTTTTCTGTGGCTGATTGTGTTTAACTTCAAGCTGACCAATCACAGTGCAGCATTACGGGCAAGTCCACTCTATGAGTGGGGGAATAATCTGCTCACTCACAGGTCTGAGAGGAGGAAAGAACCCAAGGGATTGCTCGCTGGCAGGAATTTCAAATGACTGTGCGTGGCAGGAATTTCAAACGATAAATATTTAAGGGTTCAGACAAATGTTTCTTGCCCGGAAAGGGTTTGGAATATCTAAAATCTTGACCTCAGGGTCTGGATTTTTTAGGGTTGTTATACATGAATACCCTGGTTATTGCAAGGGATGCATTCCTAAATGTCATTCTGAAATTACAAATCACAAATATCGGGGCAATTTTCCTCCATATGAAATAATGTAGAAAGGGGGGATGCATCCCCAGCTGGCAACTTTCACCACATTTTTCGATATACTGTACTGTATACTCCTCATTATCCAAGGCTGTTAAGGACCAGGGTCGTGTGTATACTGTAGTACCAATTAATGCGAGGAATAAATAAATTAATAAAAACTTCTGCATTGCCAGTTAACAATAGTTTCACTACATGCAGGAGATCACACCTCCCTCATCGCTCTTCCCCTCTGCCTCTCCCAGTCTGCACAAACTCTCATGGATGCAAGAAACTTTTATTCTCTAAGTTTTTGACTATGATGATAATTTTTGGGGGAGGCACATTCTGTATGAACCATTGTGTGGATGTAATAAAAAAACAACAACACACAAACACACACACACACACACACACACACACACACACACACACACACACACACACACGTCTGTCCCGGCTCTGTGATACGTCCCGCACATGTAATAAATGTTTATTATTATTAGTTTTTAACCTTAGAATTACTTTTGGGGAGCACATCCTTTATGAAAGATTGTGTGTGCATGTTAGAATTAATAAAGTGAAGAAAATTACATACCGGTATATGTATCTACCCAAAAATACTTGTATTGACAGCAGGGGGATCACAACTTACTACTGTACACGTACAGTCGTGGTCAATAGTAATCATCCACTCCACCACCTAACCCCTGCGCTCGGCCAGATCCTTTCTGCGCGGTAAGTCACGTGGGGCGTAGAGGTTTTATTAACCTGGTACCAAATGAACCTAAATGATATGGGAATTGTAGTAAAATTGCATAATGTTGTATTAATGAGGTTGGGCGGGGTGGGGGAAGCTCAGTATACTAGCCAACCACCCTACCTCTCACACACAATTCACTCCCCACTCTTCATTTTTCTTATTTTATAGTTTTATATTTAATGTATTTCTATGTCAAATTAGAGCAATGAAATTATATTTCCACAAGTTTCTTGTGTAAATAAACACTGCAGCAGCCTGTACTCACCCGCGAATTATGAATAATTAACAGCAAAACTGAAAAATAAATGTATTAGTCAGAGGTAACCGCGAGTTAAAGAATGCGAATTTGTATTTCGTGAATTATCACGACTCCACTGTATCACTAATTTAGGAAAAAATAAAACGGAATAAGGAATGTAAAAACACAAAAATTTGAAAAACTAAGTACTGTACAAGTTACATCATTCGTGTTGATTTAAAGGATAAAAATTCTTTACTGGCGAATGGCTGTAGATTGAATAAACAAATTAATTATATTAAACTGCAGACAGACATGATTTTCAATATACGACAAGCACAGCAAAAAATAAAATGCATCAGCATATATCTTAAAATACGATACAGTAGTCCTTAACAGGATAATAACAAGTACAATATTAGCACCTGCAGTGTGTAAATATTTGGATGTAATAAGGCTTAATTAGGCAATAATAAATGTACCAACATGAAAACTAAATCCACAAATAATGCACATCTACATAAACACCCCAAACTATTTTTCTCAGACAAGACAGAAGGTATTTGGAATCAACTAACATAAGAGTAGCAGTTGTCACATGCCAACACTACACAATCAACTGGAGTTGTATGGTTGGCAGCACATATTCCATCTGATCGTGGCTTATTGTGGCAGTTGTGGTAGGTAATGACACCACTAAACCCACGAGATATGACTCGAAAACATACAAGAAATAAGTATTTGCTCATCAGACGCTTCAGTGCACCATCAGGGAACAATCCAACTATTAACGTCATCGACACCATCTGCACCACCTAAAATTTAAGAATGAATATACATAATGAAATACAGTACTGTATATAGATTTCACTATAAGGCTTTCTCTACATGTAACTGCAATTGTGCCTCCAAATTTTTTATGTTATTGCTATTGGAAATAATTTTTATATAACTTAATAAAAGACTCCTAGTTGTTCATTATTATCATTATCATCAAAATAATTTAAGCCTTAATTCTTTATACATACATATCAAATATCACTCATAAAAATGGAGATTCCAAATAAAATATTGTACTGTACACATGAAAACAGAAGGTGATGGTCAGATCTTAGTGAGATAAAACCAACTATCTGCATGTCATTATCTACAAATGGTAATTACTGTACCTCCATATTTTTATCACCCAGATCACCAGTAATAAGAATATATTGGTTGAAAATTACAGTAAATAAGCAGCTCCCACCACCTACATCACCCTCTGATTTTGCCCACCAGCAATGGCAGCAATCTTTTCATGAAAGCTGCAACTTGAGCTCTACCATTTGTAACAGAAGTCATATGTTGACACTGGTTGGAGTAGTACTGTATTGAACCACAATATCCAACTATCACCAATGTTTTGCAGTAGTGGACTTGTCAGTCAAAAGAATAAGCTAAAGCAGAGTCGAGTACCGGTATCTCATTTCTGATGTTTCATAAATGTGGCCCAAAAAGAATCCTGCTTGCTTTATTATGCTTACACTCCACAGTAGCAGCAATCTTTGAATCTGGAAACCTAACTGGACAAAGTCTGTCACAAGCATTAACAGGCAGATGACACACTGCAACTGATGTATGCCATATAGCTTAAGCAGCAGTACAGTAATCTGCTCAGAAAATAACAGCATTTGATATTTCAGTTGTTTTGAATTTTGTCCTTTGTCATGCTTGCTATTCTCACTTGATATATGTGAAGTGTTTACTGAATGTTGAAGCAACACATCATGGCCCTGTGACTTCACATCTACAGTAGACAGGTACAGTACTGTATTTGTGTCACGAATTGGACAATGAACAAAAACCTTAATAATGTGATCTCCATTTTCATTATGGCCTTTCACCTTGCAGTTCTTAAAAACTTGCCTTCTTGGCTGATCAGACATGTTCACTCATTGTTCCTTACATTTGGAAGGAAAGAAAAAATCTACACTTTGTTACATGAATCTTTTACATGGTATTGAATAAGAGCACAAAGGTAAGAAAAACTGGTGTAACCGACATGTGTACAATGAAAGACAAAAGTCGTGTCGTGAAATTTGGCAAAAACATATGCTGAAGGGCTAAAACTCTTGGTGCACTCTGCCTTGTGATAGGGCTCTCAATGTTTCACGAGTTACACTTAATCTTCGAACAAACCCGCGACACAACTTTGGTCTTTGATTGTACATAAGACCTCTTACAACTGGCTTTAAACAAATGATGTACCAATGCAGTCAATTAACTAGACTTTGAAGCTAATGGGTACACTGCATGTTTAAGTGCTGCTTTGTTGTTTTTTATTGTGTACAATAAGATAGGGGGTGACTTGAACAGTGTTTGAGATTTTTATTAAGCTGCAGTTTAAGTTTGAAGGCTAAAAGAATATGTTATGTATGCTATTGGTGTGTAAACTAATGAGTCACCCATAATTGTCAACAGACATTCAGAAAACAGAATATGTTTTCTATGAAGCGAAGATTTATAGGGTGAAGGTTTGGAAACCCTATTGTTTAAGAACTTTTAGAAACGTTAAGGTGAAAATAAGTCAACACAAACTTAGGACTGTCGAAGAAAGTAGCAGCCATGACAGACTCTGCCATCTTCATTAGCTTATGCTCTAGGCTAGCCAAACAAAACAATTCTAGTGACTCTTAATACCCAATCATTTGTCTTTGTTGGGAAATAGATTGCCAGAAACTGTATCTTAAGTATTCAAAACTACTATTGTAATCAGTTCCAACTACTGTACTGTCCCTATTGTATTACCACAGACTTCTCCCTTCAGATAATAATTTACTCCACCCTCCTGAGGGTCAATACAACTTCTGTTTTGACAATCACCATCTCTTAAAAGGTTGTGGCAATTACACTAACCTAATGTACAACTAGACAAATGTCTCACTTTTGAAAATGAGTTGCCCTCCCATACTGCTGATCAACCATTCATCAACTTATTGTAACATCCATATCTTGCCATTATACATGTACTGTTCCTTCCTTATAATTTCTCATTTATGTCAATTTACTACCAATTATTCCCATTTACCTCATTTATTCTTTGTAGTCAGCACTAAATCATTATTCAATTTTATAACTGAAAATCCATATGCAAACTAATTTGCTAAACTAATTTGCTAATAAATTTCTTTTAATTCCTTCAAAAGTTGAATTTGTTTTCCAACTTTTCCAACAGATTATTAGTGATAAAAAGCTAATCTGACCTTTCACATCTAGGGGTTGCTACCTCACAAACTGTAGAGAAACAGCATAAAGAATTTGAGGCCAAAATACAGTAAAAATTGCTCTTCACTTTAATACTGTACAGTAGCCACCCATATCAAAACTGAAGAATTCAGTTAGTGTCCGGGCTAGGGTGGCAGAGCAACAACTGCAACAATTAATTATTACACTTCTTTACAGGCAAACCTAACCTACCGAGACTGCAAACTAAAGAAAAATTCTTCATAAAAATAATGGAAAATATGCTTATTAATATAGGTATTGTACAATAGTAACTAGCCTTCGGTACACTAGCCATATATTGTAAATTAAATAAAGCAACATCAGGACACCTACCCCAATGAGTAAAATGAGAATACGAAGAGGCAAAAGGAGACAGTAACGCAGGATAAAGCCGACGACCCAGAAGATTGTTAATCGTACACTGATGAATTCATACTGGCAGTTGGTTCGCGTTAGAAAGTTCCATGACTGTAAAATATGAAAAACATTAAAAAAATTATAAATAAATAAAGAAGATTAACTACATTTTTCTATTGATATTTAATTTTCTGGAATATTCTTTAGTGAAACACCATCTTAAAACACATTTATAACATATTGGTACCACATGAAGAACGCTTATTCCCCAGCAGTGACTACGTAATTTGAAGACGAAAAAAAAAGAGCAGAACCAATTTAATATATTAATTTCAAGGTCTGTTGGAAATATATACAGTACAGGCAGTCCCCGACTTATGACGGGGTTAGGGACCCAAATCCAGGTCGTAAGACGAATTGGTCGGAAGTCGAAAATTCAAAAATAATACATAGAAAATCTAAAATGGGTGTCTTTTTCTTCTCAGCACCACAAAACTCTCGCTTTTAAGCTTGCCAGCCATTTTAAAGGGAATTACAAACGAAAATTTTTTTCAGTACTGTACACAGTACAATCACTAACGTCGTGACTCGAAAATACGTAATTTGAAAAGAATTTGGGTACGACTGAGGCCGTCGTATGTCATGTAGGTCGTAAGTCGAGGAGCACAATTCGTTCCAGAAGGTTGCTCGTTAACCGAAAAATTCGTTAACCGAAATCAGTTTCAATGGGTTTTTGGGTACAGTATTAGATATGAATGTAACATTTATTTAGACTGTGCTATCCTTTGTGTTAGGCTAACTACGAAATTTTTTTTCGATTTGGAGTAATCTGCACCTAACCCTATTTTCTCCATAAGCCCTGTTATTTCTATTACGCGATTTTCTATAACACGATATTTTACAAGAACACAATTATCGCGTTATAGCAGAACTACCTGTAATTAGTTCCAGCTCACCGAAAATTGCCTAAAGTCAACAAAAAAGGTAGTAAAGTACATTTACTTTGAGGAGTGTATGTAGAAGGCTCCTGGATGATGATGCTGATGTGAATTTGAAGTGGGAGGTGGAGGAGGAGAAGGGAGAAAAGAAGGAGGTGGAGGAGAAGCATTTTACTGCTTCTTGGAAGGTGAGTCACCTTTCACCTTCCATGAAAATGTCAGGAACCTCTGGACTGACAGATTCTCCACCATGAACATCCTTTCTCCTTCTTGAAGTGGAAGGCTAAGGGCTAGCATCTTGTTCCCACTGCCTTTTACTGAAGAAACTGTCAATTTTTGTCTGTGGGGCATCTCTCCTCCTCATCATTAACTGATGTTTGAAGAAGGAGACCACTGTGTCCTCAACATGACAAAGCTAGTTCAGATTTTTCCACATTTGGGTGCCTTGAAGCCAGTTTCCTGAACTTTCCGTTTCCTCCTCACCACTGTCAGCCTCTAACATCTCATCCAGTTGCTGCAAGTCTTCAGGAGTAAGTTCCTGTTCATGAGACATCACAAGCCCTTCTACATCATCCTCCTCCACTTCAAGGCCCAATGACTGACCAATGGACACAATCTCCTGGTGCAACTCTGTTTCATCCTGAAATCCCTCAAAATCATGGACTACAGGTTGTACATCTCTAGTCCGGCAACCTCGGGACCTGACCGGTGCCGGACCATGGAAATTCACCCTTTTCCTGGATAGATAGTGACTTGTGCTTACGCTTGGAAGCACTAGCACCACTTTCTCTGCTTCATGGTCTCTTTAAAGACATATTGAAGCGTTAAATGTCGTACAGTAGCTTCTCAAATTTTGCGAGTTTTTAATTCGGCGTTTTCTATTTGAACACAAAAAAAAACAATTATAAATTTTGATGGCAGAAACTCAAATTTCGACGGGTTTGAACGGCCCACCAACGTTCAGACGACATGCACAATCGTGTAAACAGCGTCATTTCTCTTATGTACAAAGGATTCATTATTTTTTATTACTGAAAGTCTTTTTGATTGAATTGATGTTTATGTGTGCAAAATGAGCAATACAATTCATTAATAATACGTAGAATATTAAAACACGAGGAAATGAGATAGCATTGTTTTCGTTGATTAAAAACCAGTGACTGACTGGTTCTACATATAAAACTGAAGAAAATAAGACCTTGGTTGTAGCTGTAGTAAAATTAATATGGTTGTTTTAAGTAATTTTATTTGATGTTAATAAATGGAACAAAAGAAGTAGCTAACGATAGTGGTAAAGAAAAAAAGAGAGATCGCGTATGTAAGTGCACACATGTGAAAATATATCGTCAATAATTTAAATAAGAATATGAAAGCAACACTTATTTACTGTTCATATATATTTTAATTAATGTTTCTGAATTTGTTTTTATTGAATTAATGTGTGTGTGTGCAAAATTAACAATACAATTTATTAATAATACGTGGAATATTAGAGGAGACGAGACGGCTGCCGGCATTGTTTTTGTTAAAGCTTACAAAACCAGTGACTGATTGGTTCTACATAAAAAACTGAAGAAAATAAGACCCTGATTGTAGCTGTAGTAAAATTAATGTAAAAAAAAAATAATATGGTTGTTTGAAGTAATGTTATTTAATGTTAATAAATGGAACAATATAAGCAGCTAACCATTACTTTTACTTTTATCCTTTCGCCACTGATCGGCTTGTTAGCCGCTGGGCTTATCGGTCACTGCACTCTTTCCTTTATATTCTTCACACCAAAAGGTCGGCCCGCCACGCCCGCCGGGCGATCGGGTCACGCTCTCTGTCACGCACTGTTGGCAAATACTGGGCATGCACCGGCTCCTGAATACCTGAACCCGGCCCAGTGTTGGTCAAGTCTTCTTGAAATAGCTCACACTCAAAAAGCCGCCACAACACTTTCTGGTAGATTGTTCCAAGAGCTTGCTGAACCCTCACTCCGAAAGTTTGCCCTCACGGTTTTCCGGACTTGCGGCTTCTTCAATCTTGAGCTGTGACCCCTTGTGGGGCGAGCGTCCGCCAGCTCCAAGTAAGGACACTCAACTGAGTAGTGCCCCCTGAGATGCTTATAAACCTCAACTAGGTCCCCCTTGCCCGTCTGTAATCTCGCAGGGTAGCTGAGATGCCGAAGTGCAGGCACCAGCTTGGTGGCCCTCCTTTGAACATTTTCAACCAACTGACAGTCCCTAGCATATCTCGGGGACCAGATGGGGTGACAGTACTCCAGATGGGGAAGCACTTCACTCCTGAAGATCGTCACGAGGGACGGACCGTCTAGATATCTGAACGACCTTCTTATAAGACCCAATAATTTATTTGCCTGATTTACCTTCTTCTCACAATGGCCCGAGAACTTCAGCTCATTGTCAACATACACACCTAGGTCCTTCTCACACACAGTCTCAACTAGTACATTTTCTTCATCCCGTTGGGACATATGGTACGCCTCCTTACCGTTGGTACGCCCCAGGTGCATCCTCTTACACTTCGTGACATTGAATCTCAGCAGCCATTCCTTCGACCATTCCTGGAGCCCACAGAGGTCCTTCTGCAGCTCTTCACAGTCCGCTTGGTTCTTAATTTCCCGAAATAACTTGGCGTCATCGGCAAACATTTGTATGGAGGAGTGTACAACGTCAGGCATATCATTTATGAAACAAACAAACAACAGCGGGCCCAATACACTACCCTGCGGTACCCCACTTGTTACAGGTACAGATGACGATTTCGTGCCATTAATCACCACACATTGCTTGCGGTCATGTAGAAAGTCTTCTATCCACGCTAGGACATTTCCCCGAATTCCGTACCCTTCCAGTTTGATTTTCAGCCTTTCGTGGGGTACACTGTCGAAAGCCTTGGCAAAATCTAGGTAAATATTGTCGATATTACCACCCCGTTCTAGAATATGGGTCCAAATATCCAATACCTTGAGCAATTGTGTCAAGCAAGAGCGCCCCGGCATAAAACCGTGTTGGCAATCTTTTACAAGGTTGTTTCGTAGTAGATGTTCCATCGCTGCATCTCTGATAATACTCTCAAGTACTTTACATATTATGCTGGTCAGGCTCACCGGTCTATAGTTGTTCGTGGAGTGCCTATCGCCCTTCTTGAAGATAGGACTCACATAAGCCACTTTCCATTCACTGGGGACCATTTGTTCATCCAGGCATTTACAAAACAGAATCTTCAGGGGCTCTGCAAGCTCGTTGCACAGCTCCCTTAGCACTCTAGGATGCACCATGTCAGGTCCAGGACTCTTATGGACCTTTAGCCTGGACAGTTTATTTCTAATACCCTCTTCTGTGAACACAATGTGGGTCAGTGCTGTGTCGAACCGTCTGTCCTCAAACGCAGGAAGGTTAGTTGCATCCTCTCTTGTGAACACTGAGGAAAAGAAGCTGTTCAATGCCTCAGCTTTATCCTGGTCAGAATCTGCGTAACTACCATCTTCAAGCCTCAGGTCTGATACTCCTACTCGCGTTTTCAATTTCGACTTTGCATAGCGGTAAAAAAAAGTGAGACTGCGCATATGTAAGTGTGCACATGTGAAAACATATCGTCATTACTCTACATAAGAATATGAAAGCAACACTTATTTACTGCTCATATATATTGAAGGGTTAAATGTTGTACGCTGTATAGACAAGCAGAGAGAGAGCAGCCGAACTGCCGGATGTAAACAAACCTTAATTTCCCGCGGCATTGTTTTTTTTTTTTACGGGGATTAGCACACCCGGGCATAGGTCACTGACCCACATTGGGGCCTGAGGGGCAAAAACTTAATACTCCTGTAATAATAATAATAATTCAGATAAGTTTAAAAAAAAAAAAAAAAAGCTGCCTATCTACCTATTGGGCAAACTAAAATCGTTCCGGACCACAGAATGCTGGACTAGAGAGGTACAACCTGTACTGATGGCCACAGTGCTTTCCATGAAGAATTGAGGGATCTAGTGGAGACTTCTTGCCATGAGGGGACAATCAATTTTACAGCCTCCAGGATGTTAAACTGTGTCTTCCAGAACAGTGACAGTGTTAGTTCAGGATCAGTGTAAGTTGCCTAATGACACCTCCTGAACATTTTCTTCATGTACAGCTTCTTAAAGTTGCTGATCACATTCTGGTCCATTGGCTGTATGATTGATGTAGTGTTGGGAGGCAAAAACAACACTTTGACAAAGTCAAATTGAGACTCCACAGTTCTGGCAAGTTGAGGGTCATGACCAGGGGCATTATCCATGAGGAGAAGAGCATATACCTAGATCACGCGCACCTACAGTGATTTACTTGCATATATAATAAATATATATATATATATATATATATATATATATATATATATATATATATATATATATATATATATATATATATATATATATATATATATATATATATATATATATAATACATAATACATAATACATAATACATAATATATAATATATAATACATAATAGCAAACATGTGAACTACCCAAGTGGCTTAAAACATGGATGGCTATAATGGACCTTGAACCCAAAATATCAGGCATGTAGTACAGTCAATAGCAGAAGTTTAACCCAACCCACCTGCATGATATGAGGCAGGTGATCTGGTAACACTGTACGTACAGGGAAGCATTGACAGATACTGTATGCTATAAATTACTATTTATTTAAGATTTATTATCAGAATGCCTAAGGATACTTTTTTTTGTATATGGCATAAGCAGTATCAATGTGTAAAATGTTATTAAGAAATATATGACATTGCTGCAGGATGGTTCATAACTATTGAACAAAATGTATCCGTACTGCTGATACCAAAGGGTATTTATCATTCTTAATGATATTTTCATTATAAAGTAATGTCATATTTCTTCAGAAACATAATTTTCCTAAATTTTAGTGATAATATTTGAGTTATATAAAAGAAATGTACATAGCAGAGTAGACTGTGTATGCTAATGTGTAGAGGGTGTATGTACAGTACACAGTGTATGTACAATCCGTCCTTCATGGAGAAAGAGAAAGGTGACAGTTAGCATCACCAGCTGCCACAGTAAATTGTACAGGACAAAACAGGCCATCCTATATTATTATGCTGTATCACCATTAATTTGGACTGCCTGCATCACAAACTCAAGATGACAGCACCTGCTGGTGAGTACAGTATAGTGTATAAAAGTTGTATATTTTCTTTATTTACAATACATTGTATGTGTACAGTAGTATTTGCATAAATAAATATAGCTCTGTGTGTCAGACAGCAGTCTGACGAAGATATATTTACCCGTGCCCCAAAAAATTTGGGGGATGGGAAATTTTTCCAGAGATGAGAAAAGTTCTCAATATTGTACCCAGAAATCTCAACCCAAAACCACTCTACACCAAATATTCTGGCTAATGGGAAGATAACAGCAATGGCAAACACACACACTGTACTGTACTACAGTATACATCTTTCATAACCTATAAAAGGCCCCATGCTACATTCTAAAAATATTAGGAGTCTTTCTTTTAGTCACAGGTCTTTCTTCTCTAGCTCCAATACTGTACAAATATCTTCCAACTGTCACCATTCATTATTTTCTATACTGCTGCTCCATCTTCACTTATGCACTGTATTGTCTCAACTTACTGTAAGTTCCTCTGCAGAAAACCTTTTAGTAACTTCATCATCCACAATGGCTTCCATACCAGTGTGAATGTAGTCAAGACAATCACCCAGTTCAAAGTCGTGAGTGTCCAACCTCTCATTATTGTCCTGTTGAAAAAATAAAAAACTTTTAAGTTTTCAGGATTCCCACTTTATCTATAATCACATGAGCACCTAAAATGGCAGACCAGAGAGGGTCTACTGTAACCACAAAATAGTGACAAGTGTAAACTAAGTACAGTATACTGTACATATAGCTGTATAACCTTAAAGCAATAAAGAAATTTTAGCTCAATTTATGCTATGCAATGTGGACTGAGGATTATGTGAATCATCTTAAAAGTCTCTTTAACTACAGTGAGATGGCACAAGGTCCAAGGGTTTTCAAGGAGGGGAGGAGGAGTGTGAGTAACAATTTACAAACAATAAATAGCCTTTTGTTCCATTATATGAGTGTTTATATGATTAACAAGTTGATGTAATGCTTAAAATTAGTCAGATACAGGAAATAAAGTCTCTTGTTATGGGATATTACTGCAACCACTATTGTGAGCATAGTGACTGGCTCACACACACTTGTCATAATAAATTTAGAAAAGGAATTAAGGTTGACTAATATGAAGGTAATCCTTACTAGCACCTGGCAACAAAATACACTCATTACATGTATTTAAGTTCTCATGTGTGATAGTGGTGAAGGTTATCAGGTGTTGCCAGCTACCATGGTGCACCACTCTCGGCTCATATTTTCAAAAGGTTCACATGATCAATCTTTCTCATATCTAAAGTTGTAAGAATGTACCCAACTTTTTGGTAAGAAATTCCCAAAAATAATATTCAAATAAACAATCAAACTTACAATGAGATTCCAAATACAGAGAGAGAACTTCCTTTAGCACTAACTGAAAAAATAAACAAAAAGTATCACCTTTATTTTATAGCTGGTATGAATTAATATATGTACAGTACTATGCTGTAGTTAGCTGCAAATGCAATGCTAATTTTGGAATTTACATTCGTGCCTCAGCTTAAGTTAATCATTCTTACCATTTCACCTATGAGCAATCTAAGTATGTGATGGTTGGTCCCACATGGATCAGTTTTGGGACCACTTCTGTTTACAGTCTATACCAGTAGTCCTGTATCTCTGCTATACTGAACAGCAAGCTTATAGTGTTGCCTACCATTTCCATGCTGATGATACACAGCTTAATGTGAAAATAAGAAAAATGTTGAGGACATTAAGGATATAATGAAATCCTTGAGGACTCGCATTAAGATTTGGATGACTAGGAAAAACCTAAGCTGAATGATGGTAAAACCGAGATTATCACCATCCAAGGAAATGGGAGGGTGACAGCACATGTGATTTTGGCTCTTTAAACTTTGGGGAAGAACAACTCAGTCCTGGCGATTCTGTTCAAATCTTGGAGTGTACTTTGACGAAAACCTTTTTTAAAGAGCATATAAACTCGGTACTAAAGTTAAGAATTGTATCTTTAATACTGTATTCAAAATCTATATCCGGTATGCTGTGCCGTGAAACAGTTTTTGGATAGACAGTGTCTCGTGACACAATTTTATTCACTTTTGTCTTGGGCTGACTATTGTTAACTCTCTATGGGTCTGCCTACCCAATTATCCACCAAAGAAAGTTCAAACAGTATTGCCAGGTTTATTTTTGCTCTCCCACCGAGAACTCCCACTACCCAATTCTTGATCGAATTACAATGGCTTCCAATTAAAGCTGGAATAGAGTTCAAACTCTGTCTAATGATTTTTAAGATACCAATGTTTGGTGAGCCCAAGTATATGGCCAACCTACTAATTCCTCTGACTCCACATTCTAAAATGATTTTGCGTAATATTGATGATCCTTCACGCCTTGAGGAGCCTAGAGCAGCATGGAAATGTTCTTTTGCTGCTCAATCCTTTTCCCATACAGTACCCAGATTGTACAATCAGTTGCCTGCATCCATGAAGCAACTGACTTCTGTGGAGACCTTTAAGAAACAACATAAGTCCTTTCTTTTTTTTAAAGTTATAATCCTGAGCAGGATACGGTGATGGAAAATTACAGGGCTTAGAAAGTATTAAAACTTAATGGTATATGAATGAGAGAAGTCAAGCTGTCACTTAATGTGATCTTTTACTGTAGTACAGTATTTATTTTTATTCTAAAGTGAATTCTTTAGAAATACTGGTGCTTTTCATATAGTGTACAAAAGACCAGCTAGTGATTATTATTATTATCCCTCGTTTAACAATAATTTCGCTAAACATTAGGTTTCCAGGAACAACCCCATCGTTAATGAGGGATACCTGTAAGTTTCTGCACAAAATAAATTTCTTTATTCTAGCGAAGGATTGCCAAATGCATACTCTTCAATGCACTTATCACCATACAACTCCATACATTCATATGGACATATAGATGGTAAGCTAACAAAGGGAATTAAAAGATATGATTAAGTATAATAAAGTACAGTGAGGCAAAGTTAGAAAGAGGGAACGAAGCTGACCAATGTGTACAACTGTAAAGAACAAAAGAAGGAGATTAACAATGATCTGTAGGCAAAAACTGTGGAATATTGTAAAAGTGTGTGAGCCTTTACTGACGTGCCTCAACAACTTGAAAGATTAGACCAGATAACAAAATGATTACCAAAGAAAAGCCTAGGTTATGGCCTCATATTTTATTCTTATACATATATATATTATATACAGAATTAGTAAAATTTTTGGTTCTTGCCCAGACCAATGAGGGGTCCATGTTCAATACAATAATAATACCAAGATGCACAACCTTGGGACCTATGTAATATGTGTGCGTAAAGTATCTGGTCTATACTGCTTCTGTTTTGGTTCTTTGGCTGGAACACAAATACAACCAGGGGTCAATAGTAATACCAAGGTGCACAACCTTGGGACCCATGTAATATGTGTGTATAGTTTTTGGAGTCTAAATGCTTCTGTTTTGGAGTTACGACTAGAACAGACAAAGACATGTCCTTTTATTATAATAGATATACTTAACCACCTCTAATCTTTAACTTATCTCCACTATCTGAACTGATAAAAACTAACTTCTACTTCACAACCATGCAATATGAAAACTAAGAGGCTTTTAACAAATGTCCCCCACAAATTGCAGACACAAACAAAATATTGCTGATACTACAATATAATGTACAGTACTGTGTTAGAATTATGCCAAAATATATCCCTCTAAGTACCGATCCAATATAATTCTTATCTATTCCCAATTTTGTTACAATGACTGTACTTTATTTGTTGCATTTATTACACTTTAAAAGTGCTTCAGATATATATTTTTATTTTTATTTTTATTTTATTTTTTTTTTATTTATTTTTTTTACAATAACCATGAACCCAATCTTGCAATGCACCGAGTACACAATATTTATGCATCATTTCCATACAGTGTCTGGACCACAGGAGTCTTCTCTGTATGGACATCCAGATTACAGAAGTTTAGTCAGTACCCTCACACTTAAATTTTTAATTTGTTCACGGTTAGGCCTGTAATATTACAGGCTACCCATGTCCCTTTCTCCAATTCATACAAGAATACCCCAGTTATCACAAGGGATCCATTCCTAAATGTCATTGTGAATATCGGGGCAATTTTCCTTGTAAGAAGTAAAGTAAATAGCGAGGGATGGGTTTTTCCCTCCTCGGGAAAAGGTGTTTATCCCCTCATATTCCATAAAATCTCATAATTGGTAAAGGATAGCTTGAGCCCATATTACTTTGAATTATGGGTTCTTTACTTATATCGTAAGTAAATAACTCACTAAAAGCGTCTCTATGCTTCTAGATTGTTCTAGTTGGGTACAAATTAAAAGTTTTTAACTTTTGTATTTCTCAGGAAACCTTCAATATTTCATTAAATAACCATAATACAGACAGTCCTGAGTTATGATCAACCAACTTGTGTTGATGGAAATATAAATCAAAGATTTTACAAGATTTAGAGTACAACAAGTAAAATTAATACAATTTGTGATAAAACCGTACGTAAATTATTGATGCATCATGGCTACCCGTACGTCTGACCACACCCTGTTGTTTACTACCCGTTCTGCATTCTTGTTGGACATTAGTGTTCTCCCTGGATTTATATATCATCTGCATACTATCAGCTCACCTTGAGATGTAAGTGTTCCATTTATTTATTACTGTATTATTTACTTTATTATTACTGCATGTACATTAAAAAAAATATTCATGTTTGCACAGTAATTATAAATAGAATATTTTATGTGGCAGCCAAGGCATGGTAGCTGAACAGAAAACAAATGAATACTCGAACACAAATTTTGTAAATTGTCGAACAATATCAAAATATTCCAAACTCGGTTAATTCGGATTTTTTGGTAATTCGAGTGATCCAGAGCCCCCTTTTTTTGCAAATCAATGAGGCTATAATGCATGTGGTATCAAACAAAGGTTTTAGTAATCTTTTGGGTCAAATCTGGAATTATGCACCAGCCATAAACAAAACATTAAAAGAAAGCCATTCACTATTTACTCACTTTGTCCAGCAGAGGTCGGAGGACAAGTTTATCTCGGCATATCACCTGTGTAGACTCCTGATCGTCATCGTCATCATCTGTGTCTTCACTGTGCCTGCCATAATCCTTAGCTAGCCGTTGCCGACCAAACTGAAGAAATAAAAGCAATGTGTATAATGAAATCCATATTTAAAATGATATGCCTCAAAATGTGAAAAGCACAGATGGGAAACCTGATTGTACACAACACTATTATCCCTGTACAGTACATGTGAAAAATGATAAAAAGTCCCATAGGTTTGACTGCCTCTTGGAGACAGTGTTGATACACCATACTGTTTGCTGAGCCTAAGTACAGTATGGAAGAAGGCAGTGCTGCCAGCACTGCATTCTACTCCCTTCTACCTATCTACAGCTGGGGGAACTGGGAATCCCCTGGAACTGAACCAGAGACCCTCAGGACAGGAGGTGACAGCTGTATCCACTCAGCTACTGCATCTATTTGTATATGAACTACATGAAAATTACACATTCTCAGATGCCAACAGAATATTTACTGAATAAAAACAATAGAGGTAGAGTAACCCTCTCTATGATACTTCTCAAAGAAACCACACCACACTACACTACCACTAACCAGTCTGATGAAAAAAAATTATTTTAGCTACACAAACTCCTATTTTACCCTTTCTTAGTGTTTACCATTACAGTACTGTATTTCTACCATTACCTTTTCAAGCTACTTAACATTGATGTTCTTTTAAAATCCAAATGACTATGACCTAAAATCACCAATTTCCTAGTATGCCTTCCTGTAAACTCTCTGGGGTCACACGTATCTTTTCCACACATTCTTGGGATTCAACTCAAATACATAACTGGTGTACATCTAGGGAGGCAATCTAAGGAGATTAACTCTTCAGTTATAGCTCCTGAGCCAGCCAGGGTATGGTGGTATGGACATGGCAAGATCACCAAACTGCCTAAATTGGCTACATCACCTGAAAGAAGACTTAACTTACAGTGAATAGATACACAAGACAACATAAACACAGGTTTTATTGAGCATAGCTGATGAAAAATTGCAATGTCTCAAAAATTCCACAATGAATATTTTACTGACTTATAGAATCCAACTGTCAGCTAGAAAACTAACTCAATGAACCCACAATGGGTTTTTTGTAGAAGAGTGTAGTTATCAACAAAACATATTTAGATATGACTTTTCAAAAGGGCTACTGTGCTCTTCATTCACACGAGGAAACAAAATACAGTATAAATCAAATAAAGCGCCGAAAGAAGTTGCTCCCGGTTAATGAACAAAACATTATTATATACAGTACAGTATACAGTAACTAAACCACCACCAATAGCATTAACCCACCACAAGCAAACACTATTTTACACCAGCCACCAACTACCCAAGAGCAGGGAATTATCTATAGGCTTATCAATTTAACTTTTCAATAAACAAAGTTCAGTCATCGGGAAGATTCCTTGCAATTTGAGGAGGAAAAGAATTGAAGTACAGTAGAGTATATCTCATTCCTGTATTTCCTTATATGAAAATGATTGTGTGTATAAAAACTTGCTAACAAAAAATATGTTTGAATCAGCTGCCAGTTATAAACAGTTTTTCCTTTTCCACTGCAGTCAAAATACATGCCCAGTGACTCATAACTACAAATAAGAGCAGCAAAATATACAAATATAAAATGCCTTCTGCTAGTTCAATATTTTGTAAGCCTTTCCCAGTATGAAAGATCGTCTCATTTTCTTCAACAATCTTTATTTTTTCCGATGTCAAAGTTTTGATCAAGTAAAATTTTTTTATTTCCTCCTCAGTTCCAAATCTCTATCTTGGTAGGCAAAAAAAAATTCATATAGTCTTTAAATCAAGTTCAGAGACCAATTACAGTACAACAATAGAAACCGTAGTTAAAGAACAAAAAACTACTGTACATATTTACATTTGTCACACTTAACTTATACTATAGTATTGTATAGTATAGTGTATCCAAAAAAGGGAAGGAAAACTAATATATTATGGTCCTTACTCTGTGGATACATGTCCTGCAGTTTCTATTTGTTTATGAAAATTATGCACCTGTATCACCAGTCTCAAAATCCCAACCCCTATAATTATTAGAGGAGAAATTCAACTTTCTTCACCTTTGGCCACATAGTACAGTAGTACATACCAGTGGTAAGATCACCAGAAATATTACTTCCAGGTCTCTGATGATGATGATTTACACAAAGGTTTTATTATCTTAAATGTAATACTGTACTGTATCAGATGAGGTTAATAGAAGGAATATATTATAAGTGTTATCAGCATGTACTGTACTGTACTGTACTGATAATCATGTCCATTCAACTTTCTTGTAGATTTTGTCCCACATACTTACATGCATGTCTTCATTTCATTCATTTTTGCCACTTATGAGCTTACTAGCCATTTGGGCACTCTATCCAGTGTTAGTACAGGAAAAAACTGGGGACTGGGAACCTGTTGTTTGGTAGTGAGGGGTCACACTGGATAACACCCTTCTCATGTGTGTTTGGGCCGAGGCTTAAATCCTTGACATATTGGTGAGAGTTATCCTACAGTACATGTTTCTCTCAGTACTGTACACTCACAACAAGGAATTCCTCCCATGAGCAGTCTTCTAGAATGCCCATTAATGAGAGCAAGCAAGTGGTGCACAAGAAAAGTTTTGAGGAAAATAAATTTACTGGAAATAATTACTTTTACTGCTGTTGGAATGATGGATTCATGGGTAACAATCCAGATTTGAATGTAGACTGCACAAGTCTCAAGCACTGTACTCAAAACTTTATTTTTCAACAAGTTACACCTTCAGTTCTTTTACATAAAAACCTGTTCATATTTTGAGACAATGCTTGTACAGTAAAGACCAGTACAGTATTCCTACTCTCTTCTTTTTAAAATGTATATACTATAATGGTCATGGCTGAATCATCTTCCTCCAGGAACCTTCCCTGAGAAGCATCTTGTATATGCTTGGCTTTGCAATTATTTATTTAGTTGTGGATAACACCCTGCCCAAACTATACCATCCAGAAAGACAAAATAAAAACTCACAAAATACCTTTTTAACTAGAATCCTGTTGCCATCCTGGAAATAAATAATAAAATAATTCTAATAACTATCACAGAAAAATCAAGAAAGTAGATAAACATACAATAGCTACATTCTCTCTAAAAAATAACTATTATAAAAAAGCCATAAGCCTGAAGTCCCATCTTACCTCCGATGACAAGAATCTTATGTTCCATTGGTAAGATCTGTTAGGTCAGTACAGTACAAATTTCTGTTGAGAAGCTAACTGCACAGGAAGCCAGGGGTAGTGAAAGCAGTACAGTAAAGTACAACTGTATCCAACCCTTAATCAATGGCTGCTTTGAAAGTCAGTGAATCAATAAGTTTCTGGGAATGAATAGGGGGCAGTTTCAGGAATAAAATAAAAGGGGGGAGTCAGAAGCTGTGGGTGGGGGAATATGGTGAGTGCAGCGAGCCCACCCAGAAGATTTTTTGAAATCTGACCAATATCATGGGCATTTTGAGGCCATTTTGAAGACGTGCATTTGATATTAGGAGATATTCTGAAGTCAATAGTAAATACTTTTTACTATACAAAAATGCCTGAGTACAATACTGCATTAAAGAAAAAGAATTGAAATTTTCTGGTGAAACAGGGGGGTCCGAACCATCAGGATCTCCCTTGATGAACCCTGAAAACGCTGGAGGTTTTATAACTAACATGAAAATCAGTGAAAGATTTCAAAGCACTTTCTAGTCCTATCCTCACAACTAGAGTTTATAAACTATGGAGCATGTCAGGTAGCTATGTTGTGTTGGAGTTCTGTATAAGAAAAAATGGCACTCATGTTTTTTTTTTTACCTTGTTATATGTGTTAAGTCAAAGAAAAAGATTGTATGACTTTCAATTTTGTGGATTATATATTAGGTAGTGTTGGTACTGAAGGACCTTGAACACAAATACATTACTGTAGTGTAGTGTATACTGTCACCCCATCTGGTCCCCGAGATATGCTAGGGACTGACTGTCGGTTGAAAATGTTCAAAGGAGGGCTACCAGACTGGTGCCTGCACTTCGGCACCTCAGATACCCTGAGAGATTGGAGCGCCTGAACTTGCCTAGCTTATACTACAGACGAGCAAGGGGTGACCGAATTGAGGTGTATAAGCATCTCAGGGGCACTACTCAGTCGAGTGTCCTTACTTGGAGCTGGAGGACGCTCGTCCCACAAGGGGTCACAGCTCAAGATTGAGGAAGCCGCAAGTCCAAAAAGCTGTGAGGGTAAACTTTTTCAGAGCGAGAGTTGTGAACTCTTGGAACAATTTACCAGAGAGTGTTGTGATGGCACCGAGTGAGAGCTCTTTCAAGACCAGACTTGACAAGCACTGGAGCAGGTTCAGATACATTGAGGAGCCAGTGCATGCCCAGTACTTGCCAACAGTGCGTAACAGCGACGTGACCAATCACCCAAGCGGCTAACGAGCCGATCAGTGATGAAGAGGATAAAAGTTAAAAGTATTGCAAGATTTGATATTATTCAAACAACACAATTGATGACTCACCATATCAATGTGGTACAAAGTAAATTACAAGATATATGATTTAGTATTTGACTTTAAATCATTTAAATAAATAAAGAAAGTACTGTGCTATGCCTTGTGATGTTACATAACAATGAGCAACACAGCTTTTGGCATGGTGATGATACAAAGGTTCTCACATCACACCATGCACTAGCATCTGCAATAAGTCTCCTCCAGTGCTTATAGCGGTACTTACTGTGTTAAACGTGATATTTCGTTAATCAATCTATGAAATGAGTAATTACGGGCTACCAACGAGGTAAAATTTGTTGTCCCAGGTGACCTCCCCTCCCTTACCACTGGACCTAGCAGTCAGCGCTAAAATATTGTGTAACCTTTTATAACAAAACACAATAATGATTTATTAAATATACAGATTTAAGTAGTAAGTTGTACAACCACGAGTAAGTGCTACAGTTGATGACATGACTCGTTACAAAGGAGGGGTCAAGGACATAAAAGGGAAATAGACAATAAACAATGATGATTCAGCAGTGATAAACTGTTAGATAATACGCCACACAGACACAAGTAATTGCCACAGTGAATGTCTCTTTGTCACAGAGAAAAGGTCCAGGACACGAGAGGAAATGGACAACACTACTCCTACTACTACTACTACAGTACTATACAAGGTTTGCATCTGTCATCCCCCAACAAAATCTCCTCCACTCACCTCAAACACCTTCAACAAGAACTGCACATATCTTTGTCGGAGGCCTAGCGATTTCCCTAAGCTGGCCAGAACGAGCACTGACACGAGAACAATTAAGAAGGGTGGTAATACAACACTGAGAGCTACAGTAACCAAGGCGTCAATGAGCGCCATTGTGACTCAACTGAGATACTGTCGGGCCGACGGACGACAGAGTGAGGCAGGCGAACCTCCAGTGTTGCCAACCTCTGCCGCTCGCTAACTAATTATGTTGTTCTCCTCTGTGTTATTTATATTATACAGTATTGTTTCTTCCTCTCTTTTGAACATTCCCCTTTTGTGTATATTATCTAGATGCAGTTGTCAAAGATCTCCTGGCTACGCTAAATTAACCTTTTACACCATTAATAAGCTTATTGGATCATCTAATACCACACCAATATCGTAGTCATACAGTAGTTGTGTTTTCAACGTTCACTGGCTGTCATCATTGCTGAGTTAACTTGCAATCACTGATAAGTTACCATTTATTTTTACTCATAACTAGCTGTAGTTTTCCCTCTAGCTACACCATTAATATCTAAGTATTGTATACATGCATCTATTTCTTCTATATAGCCAATTATGAAGATTTATTACTGTATTTGAGTGATAGTGACTGTATTTTGTACTTTAAAGGATCTGATTGACTTCAGTTAACACCCTTTTCTTAATTTATTACCCTTGACGCCTCCTTTCAACGTAAAGAATACGCAATTAAATGAATTAGGTCATACAAAATGTTCCTCTTCTGTATCTACTTATTGATGTACAGTATATATTAATTTGGTACATGAGTGTGTGGGGTATGGGATGTTTGGTTCACACTCAGGATGGGATGGAGAAAGGAAACTCACAATGTGCTCTCTGTATACATGTTGTATTGCATGAACAATGCAGCTTGGTGCTGGGAAGTGGCAGCATGGTTACAAGCGTGATGTAGAGAGAGCTGGTTGGTGAGGGTGCTCAGAGGAGGACAGCTTGTGGGTCGCCACACTCGCCGGCGGGAGCGAGGGGCGAGGACTGCCAGGCAGGCGGAGGAGGTGTTGCTTGCTGCAGCTGTAGCTAGAAGAGAGGTCACCACGAGGTCAGGTCTTTTATAGCGGAGGTAGGCGTGGGTAGATAGTTGACCCCTGCTCCGTGGGCGGCGCTGGTTGACCTAGACCACGAGGCACACACTGTGGAATTCGCGGGGTCGGCTACTCAGCGACAAACAGCGTTTGTAGGGGAGAAATCCACTACAGGTGTGCGTGGGATTTTTTCCAAGGGAGTGCAAGAAAGACGAGGACAGTTTACTTTTTTATTTTATCCTATTCGCCACTAATTGGCTCGTTAGTATTAGCCGGTCGGTCACGTCTCGGTTACACACACTGTTGGCAAGTACTGAGCATGCAAGGTACCTTGCTGAGCATGTAATGACTCCAGAATGTATCTGTACCTGTGCCAACTGCTAGTGTTGTTCAAGTCTGCCATCTAAAGACACCGCAAGACCTAACACTGCTCAAAATATCGACTTACTAATGGTGTTAGGTAATTTTAGTTATAGCTTCTTGATTATAAGTACAGTATATGTAGCTTAAAATAAGGATATTTGTGATGTCGCTTGCATTTTGCAAGAATTTATTTATATTGTTGGGGAAAAGAGGTAGATATTTCACATAACAGTTAATATTTAGAAGTTGCCACCACTTAACTGACTCTTGAAAATGGGTTTATATAGTGTAAATCATCGTGTTAAATCAAATATAACCTTCACTGCTGTCGGAAAAAAGCAGTAGTTGAGATATTAAAACAAAAGTGGAAGGTCAAACAATGTAAAAACCTAAAAAAAATAATAAGAAAAATAACCTACCTAACCAGATCCAGGCCGATGCAACTGATGCACTTGCATCGCTCAAAAATTTCTGACCAAGGCAAAGATATCATATGCATTGTTCAAATAATTGACATATTGGTAATGTGATCTTGTAGGTAGAAGGGTTAAGTTTATTAACCCTTCCAGTCCTAAGCACAGTCTACATTTGCATCTCCCAGCATAAAGTTTTTGAAAACAAATTACAAAATTAACCATTATAGATTAATTAAGCCTACTGTTAAAAGCCATAAAACATAAAAAAAAAAGTAATCTTAGTTAACAGCTGCAGTTTCCTTAGGCTTCCCTTGTAGTACAATAGTTTCGGCATCTAAAACTTCCCAGCATTTCCATTTCCGTGTGCTGACAGATTCGAGACCTAAGCTCAACTTCATCCTCATCATAAAGTTTCTCTATATCACTACTTTTCATCAAACTTGCACCTAATTTTACCCCTGTAGCTACACATTTATGTTTACACCTTACAGATGTGTTTTCTGATAAATGTTCTTCCTCCAAGGTATTTGTAGAGTATACTGTATGAGCAGCTGTGAAATGTCTGAGGGTGAATTATTATTGTTGGTAATACAATACAATATATTATATGGTATCACTGTATGGTTCAAGGCTACTCCAAGATATTTTAAATAGGGTGGGAAAAAAAAGTATCTTGTACATCCATAGAACTTTGGTCCCAAGTGTACAAAGTGTGTTTAGTAGGATTGAAAGGGTTGATACAAACATTAAGTTTGTTAATACTGTACTGTACCAACAATGACAACCACCACCAGTGTTGGGAGGTAACATAAGCTGTCCCTCTATTGTAAGCAGGAATAAACTGTAGAGACAATCTAGTCTTAAATTCTTCTCTAAAGTTTATAAAAAAACTACAGTATTATATATTATATTTATAAATATTAATTAGCCAAAACCTATAATCAGCTTTCAAAATTTATAATACAGGTACTGGTAAGAATAAATACAAGAATTTTTCAAACATACCAGTAATTCTACTAAATTTATAGAATAAAATAACAATACAGGTATTCTTCTTACAATGTGAACAGATGATGTCAAACAGTAAAGAAATCTGTCGACAAGAAAGTTTACAGAGAAGGAAATCACATGTGAATTTTGATGCATACTTTCTTGCAATTACTATAAGGTGGTCCAGGTGCATAAAGTATGTATAGTTTTCTAGGGATCATACTGCTCATCTACCTCCTCATACATATTGTAGTATGTATATTGTGCAGCATATCCACCACCTATCACTTTATGTTCTAATATGTCTTTGACATAACTGGTCATTTTTTCCTTTCCATCATGCTGAGGCCATTTTACCTTGTTCTACTCATATTTAACATCTCAGAATACCAAAAGTATCCTCAAATTCACCTTTTGAATTTAATTTCAACTCTAAAATTTTAATTTCTTATACAGTATACTGTACTCATGATTCCCAAGTAACACATTTTATTTATATGTATCTATTTGTTTGATTTCCTTCATGCATTCTTGGGTTGACAAACAGAAATTTCTTCAGCCTTTAGGTTCACAATACAGGTACATATACAGTTTCTTTTCATATTCATACAAGCTCCCTTAAAATGAATTTGAGGTGACCTTCCACCTTGTCTGGGGTCTCCTTCTCTCTCATATTTTTCCAAAATACTACTGTACAGGTAACATCATCAATATTTATTCATTCACTAAAAATGTACAATGACTACTGTGTTTATTCTTTTTTTGCTTTTCTATATCTCCATTACGGTATTCTCAATCCTCACTCTCACTACTCACACAGAAAATGCTATCTCATCTCATGGATTCTACTAGTCACCCTTCTACTCAAGACCCATATTTCATTACTGTAAATCATAGGAATGATGAAACACTCCATCTAGTAAACACCTCCACAATGAAAACTATTTTTTCTCATCACTTTCCTTATGGACCAAGGAATTTCTCCAATATTCATCCCTAATTTCCAGTTTCTCAATCTTCAACTATTCACATCTACATGGTATAGACCAAATGAGTATAATCTCATTAGGAAAGTAAAAACACAAGTTACACAAGTGTGGCCACATATGTAACTTGCCTGGTTCCATGACAAAACCCCAACGGGTTTGTCATTTATCAACACTAATCTAACCTAACCTAAACATAAAAGTGTTTTATTTTATATATGAGACTGGGGTTTTATCCGGTCGCCAACTTGCCTATAACTTGTTACGTAATAATCACAGAATCTTAGTATTGGTATCTTGACTCCCATCGTCAGTGTTGCAAGAAAAACAGGACGAAGCCTTCCCATCTTCCAACACATTCATTATTATAAGAAAGGAACCTAAGAGAACAAAGAGCATTGGAACAATACTTTTTCTTATTCTTTCACTGATGCAGACACACTGGAGTAGACCAACTGGCTGAGCTATGTCCACACCAATTATAACATCCTCAACCCTGAGAACACAAACTTATATCCTCAATTTATACTGGGAGTAACAAGGTGAAAACAGTATTGTAGAGTACTGTACATGCATTCCAACATAACTTGATCGCTTCATTGATATTCATTTTACTCACTGAATGTTTTATCTTCATTATTGTAAGTCTCTATTACTTCCTTTACTAGAAGTTACAGATACTGTATATGCCCACCTAAACTTTAACACCAACAAGATATACTGAACTGCAGATAGGCTTTAAGAGAGTTAGCTCTTATCTTACATGTCAAGAGTATTGCCAGATACTGTCTTCAGTACTCTATGAAAACACAACATTGATTTAAGAAAACATTTCTTTCCTTCCACTCTTTAACCACTGCCTATAATTTCTATTACACAACTCAATCAAAACACAACTTTTGTATTCTGAAGAAATTCTAAACTACCTCAGGAAACTATGTAGTGTCAGAGGGTAGAAACCAGTTAACTACCTTCCCTTTCCTAATATATTTTCCTGAGCTACATCTTCAATATAATATTTATTCTCTAAATCTATCATATTATTCTCATTCTCATTTTTTTTAATACCATTTTTATTTTCTATCCATAATTAATTTATACTTCCTTTCCCTTATCAGTCATTGTATCCTTACTCATATAATGGTCTTGTTTTTTAACATATGAACTGCTACATCAATATTGATGCAAGCAAAAAACTCACCGCACAGTACTGTGTGTATGAACACAACAAATAATATCAAGTATCATTCGTACTTCATGTCACAATAAAGAGAGGCAGTGACAAGGGAGTTTAAAAGTGAGAAAAAAATCAGAAAATATGATTATACTGTATTAAGTACAAAACATGACAAATTAAGGTAGGGCAGAACATATAGGTGTTAGTCAACTTTTTTTATTAACTCACAATTAACCCTCTCGATACTAGGTCAAGTGGGAAAATTTCTTACCATTTCCCACCTGAGGACAAAAACATAAAGGGAATACCTGGTAAAAAATTTTTGGTGCACTAGAGTTAGCATGCCAAGTGTGTGTGTGTGTGTGTGTGTGTGTGTGTGGGGTGGTGGTATCACCAGAGTCTGGGATCTCAGCCGTCCTAAGCTGTCTACCATTTGTAGTGAAATGGATGACACATACTTAGTCATTGAGCAACGAGAGGGTTAATATAAACTTCATTCTTCAAAATTTATTTTTACATATTAAAGAAAATTAACAAACATATTCTTAATGTTTCAGCCGAGCAAAATATGGCATTTAAAATGTAAATTCTATGATAAATGGTATGAAGCTGTCAAAGTTTAGGAATGGTTCATACAAATTTTTTGGCAAACTCTTTATCATTCACACAATACTATATATATATATATATACTGTATATCCTATGACACATTTTTCTCCAACACATGTGTAATATATGCCCTTCTTTTACTATTCCACTTCCCCCAATTCATTATTCAGTGTTAATTTAGCCTCATTTGGGCATAATAACTAAACAAACCCTGTGTGGGTCCCATACTTCATCTCACTGTAAAAACTTTGTGCTATAATAATTACTGTGTTAAAAACAATGTAAACCATACAAGTATTTATCAAAATATCATCCAGAATATAAAGGTAAGTACAAGCTCAGAATATAAGTGTTCAAAAATAAAAGAACAAACACATATACCAGAGAGGAAGATAAGTGAGCAGAGAACAATAAAATGATGTGAGGTCAATCTTTAAAAATGTAAACAAAAAATATACTAACAGTTATGATAGTTATATCCATGAATGTTCATATGAAATACAGTACAGTACAATACAGTAGTGTCTAAGCAACAAGGAAGATAACTTGAGTAACTTTAGATTTTTATAGCTTGGGATATGGACATGTAATTGATAGAGAGGAAATTATATGAACTAAAATAAAGTCAGCTATAAGTTAATTTCAAAGCAATTACATTTCACTTTTGTTACAGGTGAAATCTGTGATCCTAACTACAGTAGCACCAGTTATGTTAAGCAACATACTGTAGAAAAAACAGAAATACAGTACACTCGGAACCTTGTTGTGTAGATCATGTTTGTTGAGGAATGATGACAAGTGAAGGGAGCATCTTTACTTACTCTGATTACCCCGCATTATAATGGGGAAAATACTTATAAGTGAAAATAATAAGAATTTTGAACAACTATACAAATATCATGGTCTTCCCGTCTATTATATAAGACAGTTCAATACATATAACACAAATTAGAATAAATCAAATTCTTGTCAAATGAGAATAAAAACATTTAGTATTTATATTGAGTAAGTTTTCAGCCTCTCCTCCACCCATATCACTACATTAGTGTGTATAATAAACATAATGTCTGACAGCTAATCATTCTTTACTCTTAAATCAGCAAAGCAAGCGAATTCCCCGCCACTGCTACCATTAACTAAGTGGCTCTACCATTATATTACAGTACAGTATTACAAATGGAGTGCACACACTGCTGGAAAACCCACTGGCTACAAAAAAGTAAAGTATGGTAATTACAAAGCAGAATAAATGAGCAACAGGATGTGAGGACATTCTGGAATTATTAAGTATAAGATGTCTTATTAACTATGAGCAAAGCCTATGGCTAGGGGGAGCTTTAATTTTTTCAATACATATAAAACAAAAATTATTTTACAGAAAGCCTCAGCAATGAATTCAGTGGTGTTTCACGGTCAAATAAAGACACTACATATTCATATCTTAGATATGTTGTTACATTGTTTTCACTTTTCAATACTACCAATATATTACATCATAAATGGAGGTTACCTGTGTAAATAGTGAAATAATGACTTGTTCCTCACAAGTAAAGAACATTCCAATCTGTGACTACAGTTTCATGATCATTTATTGTTTATCATAGTAATTTGGGTTTATTTTTAATGTATGCATTTTGAAGTTTTTTCAAATTAAGCTCACCTTGTTCTCACTAAGTCGTTGAACTCTGAACCACATTACTGGATTTATATAGAAGTTTGGTGTTAATAAATCAATTGGTTAACTTTGAAACCATTTATAACGAACGCAGTTATTATTAGGGAGTACTGTACTGTACCCAGTGTTTACCGGCCTGCTGTTTTAACCTGTTGATTGTCCTGTGTGCCTCACTGTTATCCCTCATTTAGCGATAATTTTGCATAACATTAGGTTTTTCAGGAACACAACCCCATCATTAAATGAAGGTTACCTGTACATGATTTAACAAATTTTAAATTCCTTAAGGCTTATGAAAAACATGCAATATTAGTTTTTCTCATGTTTCTATAATATTGGTATTGGTCATTACAAAGTCCTGTGAAAAGATTGGGATTTTAAGTCGAACTTAATATTCAGTAACTCATGACAACTTAATGATATACGTCATCATTATCTACTGGACCAAAGGTGAAGGTAACTGCCCCAGCCTGCCTGTCCACCACCTTCACCCTCCTCACCTGAAAAAAATAAATTAAATAAATAATAATAATAATAAAAAAATAAATAAAAATAAATACAGGGTAATACGAAAAATATAAATTTTGAAACAACATTTACCCAAATAATTGGTGAACAGCCAGTTCGGTATACTGTAGTGAGTCTTTCAGTATAAAACGAATCCGAAAAATTCATCTAATATGAAACTTTGTTCGGTAAATTTAATAAGGTTTGGTCTTTTTTAGTCTGGATAAATTGTCACAATACCATTTGTTTTTTTTAAATATAGTTTGGTAACATAAGACAAAAACATCATACAGTATCTGTATGAGTTTATCTTGTGAGAGTTAAGGTAAATAGTTTTCATTATTTTCTATAATATCTGAGATAGGAGAATGTGTCCCTGTACGACCTAGTTTTGAAATAAAAAAAAAGAAATGGAATCCAACAAAAATGCATCACCATAGTTGTTTGTTTTGATTTCAGCCAATCAGAACTAAATGCATAACTCAAAACATAATATTTGTCTCCAGTCAGCTGTGGCCTGGGAGATGCCATTGTTACATTTAATGAAACTATAAAAGTTATGGAGAATCATTTGAATACTTGAATGTGATTTAGAAACAAAGTAAAAATAATATAAGAGCATAAAATAAGGAAAATGAGGAGCACGTAAATATACCGCCAATAAAGGGTTTAAGCAGAAGCAACTAGAATCTATCATTATTAAATCTATTGTCAACATGAAAGAAATAATGCAAAAAGGGAAGTGTGTATGATATATCAAGCATGCAGAAAGTTTTACATCTTAGCCTGCAGGCAATAACAAGGGCTTTACATTACAGTAGTATTATAATTTACAATTCTATAACAGATAATAGACACGAAGTCACTGTGCTCATTTATGACTACAATATACTATATGTACACTGTTTAGTGAAAAAAGAAGGTACACTATACTAAACAAATAATAGAGTGACAAATTAAAAATTCAGTATTGCATTAACATGATGAAGTAACTTACCAACTGCTAAGTGCTCAAGTTGTGATGTTTCAGTCGGTGACAACTGCAGAACAGTCTTAAGAACTGGAACCAAATGTTTCCTTTCTTCGCCATTCTTCAACACTAGGAACTAGAATTAAAGTGAAGCTATTACTAAAACAATTTTGGAGCAATAAAAAGAAGAGGGAGAAATGATGAGTGTGACAGCAATGTATTGGGTGAAGCAAAGAATAGAAAATAGGGATATAAAGAGATGTGGAAGGAATGGTGTGCCAACAAGGGTTTGTTAGGAGGATAGTATGGACATACTGAGAGGATGAGAAGTGATAAATTAGTAAAGTAAAAAATTATCTAATTCAAAAGTAGATACTGTAATGTGGAGTGGTTTTGGGGATAGACAGACTGCTGTATTTTATGAAGTGACAGATAAATTATATGGAATCCTTTGGGCTATGTTATGTTTTAAGACAACACACCTGATACATCAGCAAGAACTAATGAATGAGTGCTAATACAGTACAGTATATGAGGTGAAGACTGCCTTGCTTTTCATTCTGGCCCTTGTACATCATAGTATGAATGGACTTGATTTTCACAAGTGCTTTGAACAGAATTTGCCAACATTTCTGCCCCACATAATCAATATATTGTACAGTACAACTTTATGAGGTGGGGTGGGGGGGCAAATATTGGATGCCAAAAATTACAAACAATTTAATTTTCTTCCTTTCACTTTCTTATATTTATAGATAGATATAATTTTATTAAAATACTCCCAAACAGCAATTTTATTTATCAAGTTAAAAAAAAAATAATAACTAACCTTGAGTATGACATTCTTCATGTACTCCATGTTCTCCATATGTTTCTCACGATCTTCATTTCTTACTGACCTTCTAATTTCTTCTTTAAGGGCATCTGAAAGTTGTATGAGCTTAGCATTCTCTGCCTCTGACTCATGCAGGAGGGTCGTCAACTGCTGGATTCGTGTCTCACCAGCACTCAACTGTAAAAAAACATAAATGCTAAGACAAAATATTCAAGTTGATAAACATAACATACTCTCTATTCAATAAAGCATCACACTAAACAATTTTCTTCAAAAGAGGTTTTCAAACTAAGGTACAGTACCAGTATCCTCGAGGGCATGCAATGGTCTTCCCAGGGGTTATGGGATGAACAAACTGTTTGATTTTCAATTACATTAGAGGTCTCTCTCACTCATACTGAGAATTATGTTACCAGAAAAATTCAGCATAAGCAAATAAGGCATACAGTAAATAAAGAGTATGGCATACAGTAAATAAAGGGCATGGCATACAGTAAGTAATAGGTTTCCATGGTAAAATGGAGGTTATGTACCCAGACAGACTCAAACAAAGTCTCCTTTTGATGATTATGCTATTGTATTAATTTCAAGAATACATTAACAACAATCTAATAAATAAATACAGTACTGTACTATAAATTTTATTGAATGAATCATCCTCCAATCTTTATACAGTAACTTAAGTCAAAGTAGGAGAGGTGACTATTAACTAGGAGAGGTGCTTATTAACAAGAGTGGTGACTATTAACCAGGAGAGGTGATTATTAACTAGGAGAGGTGACTATTAACTAGGAAAAGTGACTATTAACTAGGAGAGGTAACTATTAACTAGGAGAGGTGACTATTAACCAAGAAAGGTGACCAATAATTAAGTGAGGTGACTTCAATAACTAGGACAGGTGTCTTACTATCCTAAGTCTACACTCCATACATAACACTGTACATAACTGGTAACTTTGACACTCTCACCTTGGTCTCAAGTCTAGCAATTTCCTTCCCTGTAGCATCTGTGTTGAGGCTGGCAATGCTGATATTATCATCCTGAGATGTTAAGCCAACAGAGGCAGGCAGAGGGGAGTTTATGAGTTGGTCTAGGGGCGGAGGGCTGTAACCCCTAGGTTTACCTGGGGAGCGATGCACTGGTTCTACCCACTCTGAGCCCTAAGGTTAAGTGAAAGACACTATGTTAATGATTATAACAAAGTACGTACTGTACTTATTTATACAGGCAGTCAATGGATAACCTTATAGAATTTTACCAAATACAGTAGGTATATAAACAAAACACTGGACAATAAAGTCCATAACAAAGTACAGTAACAAAAGAACTGACGAACTGCCCAAATGGCTAGTAAACTAATTTTAATACTAATAATAATTCAGGCCAAAACAACATAATACAGTGAACCCTCACTTTACGCGGTCAATTGAACCCACGGAAGCCCGCGTAAAGCGAGAAACGCGTTAAGTGAACAACATAACATATGGGATTAAATGAAATAGAGACCGGCTGACCCCCAAACTCCACTTTTTCCGACACAATACCTATGTTCTAGTAAAAATAACATCTTAATTTTATGATGGTACATGCACACAATTAATACTTAAGAGAAATAGAGAAATACAGTCGCCAAGTTAATGTCCATTCAAATAATGGACTCAACTCCCTCCACCTCTTCTCACAGTACACTCGGTGGCTCTTCCCTCACTGAGAAATTTATGGGGGAAAACCACTAGATTTTAAGGTATAGTAATAAATAATACCTCAAACTAAGTTAGGATAATATAATTGACATTGCTGGATTCCTTGTAAGACCAGGAATATTTTGAATATAAATGTCATATATTTTGCACAAAAGATAACATATTTACTCAGAGTACCGGTAAACAAAATACTTACATTAGATCTAAAATTTGTATGTCTAATGCAAAATCTATGATGTTTATATTCAAAATGATCATCAAATTGTAAGAATTCCAGCAATGTAAATTATATTCTGGCCGGGTAATTTGTATGAATTTTATGAGCTAAAACAAATATCTTCAGTTAATAAAAAAAAAGTATTCTTCACGACACTATCTGTCAATCAAAGTACCCCACCTTGCCTCCCCCCCTCTTCTAACCGCACCAGTTGGTCGGTCGGTCCCTCCCTCCCCCCCACCAACCCTCCCTACCAGAGAAATGTGTGGGAGAAACCAGAATATTTACCTTTTTAGTAATAAATAATACCTCAGACTAAAGTTAGGATAATATAATTGACATTGCTGGATTCCTTGTAAGACCAGGAATATTTTGAATATAAATGTCATATATTTTGCACAAAAGATAACATATTTACTCAGAGTAAACAAAATACTTACATTAGATCTAAAATTTGTATGTCTAATGCAAAATCTATGATGTTTATATTCAAAATGATCATCAAATTGTAAGAATTCCAGCAATGTAAATTATATTCTGGCCGGATAATTTGTATGAATTTTATGAGCTAAATAAAAAAATTATACTTCACCCGCGTATATGAGTAGATGTACTGCGTAAAGTGGGAATTCCGGTTCTGGCAGGGTACCGTGTAAATGTAGAAACGCGTAAAGTGAAACCACGTAAAGCGAGGGTTCACTGTATACCAAACAATAGTATCACTAACCTCTCCCTCTTCTCTGACCATATTAGTGACATCAATCCTGGGCTCATCATACCCATGACTGGGCTGGCGACGATGCTGGTTCGCGCTGGTCTGGTTTACATTTAGCACACTGTGATCCCCTTCAGAGCGTAGTGGATGAGAAGTACTGGGAGTCGCTTGCAAAGTGCTGCTGGAGGACGTTACTGGTGCTGAGGTGCTGACAGTGTTCTTCAATTTCCATAATTTATCCTCAGACTCTTCCAGTTTAATTGTGAGTTGCTCCACTTCCCGGGAGTGTGTCTGCCTCACAGTATCCAACTGTTTCTGTTCATCAAAAAAAATTAAAACAATATTTAGTTTATTCTCTTTAATTAGTACTTTACACTTCGGCTTCATTTCTTATAGCCTTCATACTAAACAATTTCACCATGGTGATGGTACAGGAGTCCTCACTATATGTCAGGGATGTGTTCCAGAGAACAAGCAACTTAAGAGTGTAACATTTTATAGTGAGAAATTTTTCCTCATAAGAATTCATGTAATTTGAGGTATCAGTAATACCCCTTGAAAGCTATGGCTGCATTTCTGGAGAGAATGCTTTCAGCAAATCAGCTTACGTACAATGGAGTCATTATAACATGCTGTATAGTATTTAACATGGAAATACATTCCTAACAACATTATTTGAGTGATACAAAGGTTTATTATGGCTCAAATTGACTACTTTTACATTTAGACAACTAATTAATGAACAAACAAGGGAATAGGTAGATGCATAATACACTACAATATTATTTATTAAGTGCTGAAGATAGATGTTGTGGTAAGCAGTGACAGCGGAGGTGCATTAGAGATGGAGAGAGCTGGCAACACTGAGGGATGGTGAAGACGGTCAGCTGTTCACAAAATGTAAACAAACTACCGGGAATTTTATATGCTGCATGAACTCATCTGGGATTGAAGGATCTTTTGGGGGAAAACTTAATATAATGATGTTTTATTAACCCAGCATCAAATGAATAATAATAATGACAGTTGGTCATTTACTTCTCAAAAACACCAATTCCTCTAAAGAATTCACTTGTGCTCGAAACACTACAAAGACTTGAGAATAAAAATAGATACTGTACTACTGTAAAAGATCACAAAATGTGATATTTTGACTTCGATCATTCATAAATCCTTAAGTTTCAATACTTCCTAAACCCTGTAATTCTTCATCACTGTACACTGTTCAGGATCATAAGCTTTCAAAAAAGATTAATTTTTTCACTAACCTTGAAGTTATTACTCATTGCTTCATTCTGGTTGGACATATTTCCAATGATCATTTGGTAATCGGCAATTTTGGCTTCCATTTTACTTTCCAGGCTGGCAATATTTTCACGGTGATAATTTTCCCTCTTCTTTAAATCCTCAGACAGTGATGCTGCTTGTTGTGTAATTCTATCTTTCTCAGATTGTAAGAAATTGTGCTCTGTTTGGAGGGCTGACAATTCTGATCTGAGAATAAGATTTAAAAAAAAAATATTAATTATTTGGGATGGGCATACTGTTGAGTAATGCTGCATTGCATGAAGTTAAAAAGGTAAACCAGATATATATAGAGAGCAGGGCTGTGCAAACCCTGGCCCATGGGCCACAAACCTTTCAATGCTGGTCACACCTGAAATTACAATGAGTCCTATCTGAGGACTCAAAACCTAAATACAGTAGAATCTCTATACACTGGACTTCAATACTGTACACCCAAAAAAAAAAAAAAAAAAAAAATCCAGACTCTCTGAGGTACTCCAGATTTCCCCCTCTATTCACCAAAAATATTTTAAAAAGTCCAGCACTAGTATAACTATCCATAGTCGTTTCCCCAAACCCTATTTTCCCCATAATATATAAGGTATGCCCATTATAGATTTGGCTAATACATCATTTTTAAGGAACCTAAACCACACACAAGATGAGACTAATGTTTATACTGCATATATTTTTTAGAAAATTAACTATCTTACAAATGTATAGTACAATAAAGGTATTTAACTCATAGTTCCTTCATTCTTATAAAAATTCTATACCCTGTATAAGATTTGCAAACAGCCAGGGTGTGGACTTTTTGTGAGAAACTACTGGTTAGTGAATTTTCAAGAAAATACTTACTGGATCTGCTGTACTTTTAGTTGTGTTGCTTCACAATCAGCCTGAAGCTGATCCTTTTCTGACTGTAATTCATTTACATTAACTTCTGGTGGACGATTCTTTTGTCGTAATACACTAGTGGCTCTGACTTTGTACCCTAAAGGAAAACAAATATGAACGTCAATTAAAATGCTCCAAATATTAGCCTGCATGTAAAAAATAAGTTTTATAATACAAACTATAAGGGACAGGTATATTTGGATGATAACCAGTGAATTTGTTTAAGGTTAAAGCAGTATATAATGACTCCCAATACATTTTTGAAAACTGATACAGATTCAGGAATGAACACATACATATTTAATTTCTCTGGCCAGAATCTTCGATCCCTAGAACTCTCTAATAGCCACTTTTTTTTTTTGAGCATTCCAAGAAATTCTAGGAAATATCTCTCCATTCCGTGCATGGGAACGAATTTCCATGGATTGCACCATGTGCATTTCCATAAAATTCAGAGAAAATTTCTCCGTTCTGAGCATGGGATCGAATTTCCGAGAGATTGCATCATGTTTCGGATGTGTGGACGCGTGATAGGAGTGTGAGTGGGAAGGCTACGAGTGTTCATGAACTATAATTGTCCACTACTGTCATGTGACTGCATGGGATGTCTATGATTGGCTGATGTATCTCACAGCCTATCTCCTCAAACTCTTGCATCATCACATTATTAGTTCATTGTCTGCTACCATTGTACAAGCTTGTTCGCTCGCTCACTGCTGTTTTCGCATACGATCTGTATTGTGCAGTACAGTACTGTACATTACTGTACCAGAATATAATCAGCCAAAATAACTTCTAAAGCAGTGTCAAGATGTAAAAAGTGATTTCAGTTACAAACAGCATACTGTAGCTACCATACATTCAGTAAGTGTGAAAGTACCATATGTACATAGTAGAGTGGACAGTGTATGCCTACTTTAGGTTAGTGTGTAGAGGGTGTACGTTCAGTATACATTACATATACAATCCCTCCTTCTTGGAGGGAGAGGAGAGGGACCGTAACACCAGCTACAGGAGATGGTAGAGGACAAAGGCAGCCCATCCTGTGTCATCATATCACCATTTGGCCAGCATGCATCACAAGCCCAAGATGACAGCATCGTTCATTATAATGTATACTATACAGTAAGGTATATTTTGTTTATTTACAATATATTGTATGTGTACAGTAGTGTTTGCATAAATAAATACAGTTCTGTATCTGTCCATGCGAGATGCATAGTTTAGACTATACAGTATACAATTTTTCATGGGGATGAGCAAATTCGTCTCCATATTCGGAAAGCTCTCAATCACGGAGCCGCTCTGCACCAATTATTCCGGCTAACAGGGATATCACTGAAGTACAAGTACACAAAAAGTAATCTATTTAGATTTCTTATATCATAATCAAATTATACAGTGTAAGACATGGTTGTGTAAATTTTTTTTATGAAGATTTCAAAGCATGAAAAAGGAATGAATGATTGTTAAAATTAAGGTTTGAATGAAAGTGCTATGTCACTAAGACAGTTAATCACGTAGGTTAATTAAGTCTATTCTCAACACAGATGTCAAACTTGTATGTCCAGATCTTCAATCAAATGGGTGGCAATAATTAGTAATGACTGAAAGGGGCTAGTGGCCCCACATGACACTCAGGGCTAGTGGCATCACTACACATACTCAGAGAACGGTAACTGTACATAACTCCTTGGTAAGCAAGTGTTTTTGATGTGAATTATCGAGAGCTATAGTAACTTTTAGGAAGAATAACTGTTAGTGAAAAGTCATCAAAGAATATTGATGAATTGGAAAGAAAAAACTTGGTAAAATCTTGGTCGTGACAGCTAATGGCTATGGGGAGTATGAATGGTTGTAAACTAAGAGTTACAGAAAAGAAAAATGAAGGAAAGATTCACAGAGGACAAAGTGGTGACAATTGACTATTACAATACCTAAGTTCCCCCTATTTTTAGCTTCCATAGCAACCATTACAATTCAAAGAAATTGTTTGGTGATTTTTAAGTGAGGGATGATGATACACTGGGAAATTAAGTGTTGTTTCTTTCTTTTCAATGTTTAACAGAATTTCAGGCATGAAAATAGCTTTTTGACCATTTGGATTTTTTCAATAATAATTTTGTGACATAATCAAATGATTAAAGTGACAGTCTCACCTTCAAACTCATTTTGAACAGCATCCCGCTCAGCCATGAGTTGCTGCACTTCAGTTTTGTGTTTCAAGAGCTGTTCCTCCAAGACCTCGATCTGTATAATACATATACTGTATTGAATATATGGCATTAATAATAGACTGGAAGTAAATTTTATCTGCAAACAAGAAAATAAGTTTGGTTTATAGTGAAAAGTAAACAATATCTCAAATGTAAGGTTGTTATTATTTCTCAAGCCATTTCCATGACTGCTATCTATTAATGATAATTCATTACTGTATAATTTTTGGGGTATGATAAAACCATTTAGCCATTTTTAGTGTGTATTTAATCATTTTAGTGTGTAAGTATCCATTTTTTGTGTACTGTATATTTAATTTTTAGTGTGTAGCTTCTTACATCCAGACCCAATGTTAAAATGATCCAGTAACATGTAAACTTATGTCACACTTTAATGTGTCTACACAGTAATGTGAACCCTAATTTGCATTACTGGGTGAATCCACTGCACTAACATATGTAGGAAACTTGTAGCAGAAAGGAACACCAAAACAGAACTTAATTAGTAAAGCAGCTAAACAGAATGAAAGCAGTAATAGTAAATTAAGATAAGAGTTTGTATTTGCTCTTGATTTCAGCCACCTTGCAGCACAGGAAGAGAGACAAAAATTAAATACCACATTTCAACTCACCTGTCGTTCAGATGATAACTTGGTTCGCCTGGCTAATTCTTCAAATTTTGCTTTCTCACTGGAAATTTCTGCTATTACTAACTTTTGCTTTTCAACCTCCTGTGAAACAAAATAAAATACAATTAAAGTTAGAAATGACTCATTTTAAGACAAGAAAAAACACCTCATCCTTACATCACACTCAACACACCTTATTCTTAGGACCAAGCAGAGTGACTCGTACTAACTCTCCTTCAAACATCAGATACACTTCATGTTTGTGAATAACTTCATCATAAGCTTGTATGACAACAACAGCTAATACACAACTAAAGTATGAGGACACTAAATACATCTCCCTCTTTTTTAACCTTAAATCACTTACTGTCATAAATCACCCAGTCAATGTAATTTCAATATTCTTGTCTCTTTATGTAAAGCATCACTTACTTCTATTACATGTTATGTACAGTACACCACATCTACCTTTTGATATACAGTACAGCAGTCCACAATCCTCATCTACGGTACCTTCTATCATCCCTGTATCTATAGATGTGTCGTACACTCATTCCACGTACCAATACTATCACTCAAATGTACAAAACTAACTTGCACAATTTCATGGAAAAAACCATGATTATTATTGCTCTTTATTCTTGTTACTTACTACAAACAAAATGATGATAAATAAGGTATCTTATCTTATTAAAGAGTTTTGAACCACTAAAATATGACATAACAGATATGTGACCACTACAACCTGTGTCAGGTGTTCAATAGTAACCCGGTCCATCTCCTTGGTGGCTGAATGAGCTTCCTGGGCGAGGCGTAGTTCGGCCAACTGTGTTTTGTGTTCCAGTAAAAGTTTCTGGGTTCAAAGATGGCAGAAAACAGGGGCTGAGTTAGTAAAGTTGCAAACACCATTTACTTGATTAAATTAAAAGAAATTCAGTTTAGGTATTTGCATATCATTTAAAACATGATTAAAAACTTAGTAAAGTCACACCATGCATACACATTTTATTAGGAAAAAAACAAATGCACCAGAAAAATCAACATTCCTATTTCATTACTTCTTAATTAAATCAAATGTTCAATTTCAAATTGTTTGTGCCAAAATTCCTTACAAGTCTCTGTATCTGATGCTAATCAAGCCAATATCTCTTGATTTCTTTTACATCTGCTATATGATACAGGAAATTTAAAGAAAACACTTTATACTTTATAAAAGTTGAAGGTTAAGAGTAGGGTAGTAAATTAATTACAGCCAGTCAGTGCTTGAGTCGAAAAAGATCAAATAGAAGGTCATTCTGGCTGTTAACTTTTATAATGAAATTGTTCAACTATTGAGGCAGACAGTTAATATTACTATTGCTACAACTTTCAGATCTCAACAAATTATGGCACCAATAATGCTAATGTGCAATCTACAGTACATAAATAAGCCTGATAAGAATGTCATCAGGAATTTCAGGAAGCATTTAATCATTTACTATTTTATTAAGACTAAAGTTTGCAGTATGGGATGCTACAGATGCCATAACAGATATAAAACCACCAAACTAAAAAAAATCCCTTGTGGGAGCTATCATTACTTTCTGTATTCATACCCATGCAATTCATGCAGCATGGGACTGCTATTCCAGCCTTAGGACAATTTTACACTTTGTGCTAATGACCCCCACACCTTAAGTCAAAGGATTAATTGGGGCAGATTACAAATTAAATATATCTGCAGCATTCAATCAGCTTGGATAAGTCATTTGCAGATATTTATTTATTTATTAATTAATTAATTAATTTATATTTACTGTACTAGTTATATGCCCCTTCAGGAGTAACAAAAATAATTTGATTGTCCAAAAATTAAATCCTTGTAGAGAATGTTTGGAAAGCTTGATGACGAGTGGTTCTTGGGTATGGGCAGGCAGGGTACGTGGAGTGAGAGGGGCTTTGTTTGGATGAGGAACACCAGAGTAAAATACAGTACTGTACATATGTTATGGCAGTAAGAGTAAATGAATGACAGCAAAGGACAGAGAGTCTGACTCCAGCTACCTTGCAGTACAGCATGAACAACCTTACAAGTGTGAACCAAAAAAAGTAATTATATTATTACATACCTTCATCTTCTCAGCTCTCTCTCTCTCAGTGGCCTCCTGAGTGGTGAGATGAACCAACTGGTCCTGAAGACAACTTGAACGATCTTTTTCTCTCTCAACTTGTGCCTGCAGCTCCGATATAAAAGAACATTTTTCTCCTAACTGACCATTCAGTTCCTCTACAGTAAGTTCATAATCTCTTATTTCAAGGTCTAAAAGGCTTCTTGTTTTAGAATCCTGTGTAAAAACAAAAAATTTAATTATTTATATCAAACACATCACTCAGAAAGAAACACACAATTATCATATGTAATTTCATTCTACACATGAATTTTTGTCATAAATATTAATGCTTCCCACTTTTGAAATTAGACAATGGTTTATAAATTTATCAATAAGCAAAGCTATTTCTAAGCTCAAAATTACATCAACATAGTCTGTGATGAAGCACTGTAAAATATCAAGTCCTGTTAGTGCCACAAACTACAGAGTCACAATTCATTCAACAGTTAATGCTAAAACCTAAATACTGTACCTGCTTTACTTCCTCCAGTTCCTTTACAAATTGAGCTGCTCGTTGTCTTTCTTCTTCCATTCTCTCTTCTGCTTTCCTTCTGCGGTCCTCAAGTGTTTGCTGCTTTTCAATTTCGGCTGCTAATCTTTTTTCCAATGATGTAATTTGTCCTCTCAGGCTCCCAGCTGCATCTTCTTGGCTTGAAATTGTCACTTCTAAGTTCTAATTAAGGAGTGGATAATATTCAGTCATTTAACAGAAATTATAGTACTGTATAATAAGTGTCACTTTTCTAAAATCAAATTTGACTTTGTATGTTTCCTATTACTGAAAAGAATAATGATACATATAAAATCCTCACCACCATTTCACAGCCATATTCAATGGTTGCATGGGTTAGCTGGGACTACCTGTTGTCCTGGTTACCATCAGGTAAATCTAAAGTAAGTTTATGGCTGGATGCCCTTCTTTTTGCCAACATTATATGTAGGAATTTCAGGCACCCTCTTCCTTGACACAATTATTATTCTGATATGAAACTTGAATAATTCCTCTTGCATTCTCAAGAAAACACTCTGAATACAGTACTAGAGGAATGATAAAACTAGAAGAGAGTAATGATGTGCTAAAGAAATACTGTACAGGTATTGGACCAATTATCCGTCATGCTTGGGACCTTGGAGTTACCGGATAGGGTGTTTTTTCCAGAGAATTTGGAGTGCCAGGCTTAAGAGGCACTAAATGTACAGTATAAACTCAATACAGTCAACCCTCGCTTTACGCGGTCCCACATTCCACGTTTACGCGGTACCCTGCCGAAACAGGAATGCTCACATTCCGCGGTGCGTGTACCCCTTTACGTGGAGAGCGGCTGGCGAGCCGCGCCATTTTTGGAACCAAACCTCCCGCCCTCCGCCATGTTGTGTAAGCGGCGCGAGCAGGGTGCGCACACGGTCGCCCAGTCATCAAAACATTACCGAGTTCTTCACCCGCCACCCACCACAGCCGGCCCAAGTCAGTGATAGTGATAATTATAGTGAGGATATGGACTTATATGGACTTTGAGGGGTTTGACAAAGAGGCCCTGCAAGCCTCTGTGGTGGATAGTGATACAATTGATACAAGTGATACAGGTGAGGGCCAATAATCTGCCCTCTGCCTCGGAACCAACCCTCCATCCCCGTGTGCCCAGCCATTTTTTCTACTAATGTAAGTGTTAAAAAAAATAATATTATTGATATTTCTCTTAATTATTAATTGTGTGTGCATACCATCATAAAGTTAAGATAATATTTTTACTACAACATAGTTGTGTGTCGTCAAAAAGTGGAGTTTGGGGGTCGGCCCGGTCTCTATTTCAATTAATCCCATATGTTATGTTGTTCACTTTACGCGTTTCTCACTTTCCGCGGTACCCTGTGGGTTGAATTAACCGCTTAAAGTGAGGGTTGACTGTACTGTAATTAGTTGCAAAGCCTCTGTTCAGGTCACTAGATTAACCCTTAAGAGTAGCTTTACCCTTACACTGTAACATTAAAACTTAAAATTGTTGGCATATAAACAGCAAAAACAAAAGCATGTAAATAGCAATAATGAAAGCATACAGTATAAAGCAAAACAATATTATATAAGTCAGTGCACACAATGCATCACAGTCTCCACTGATGCTTGCCTTGGAATGCAGCACCGTCCCTAGCAGCAGTTTTCTGAGTTGTAGATCCCCTGGCCTCCAGATGTTTGAAACATAACTTCATGGTGGAAATCCCTAGATACTTAAACTTTTATAACTTACAATAATTATTATTTTGGGGGACACTTTCTGTATGTAGGATTGTGTGCATGTAACTTAGTAAAAAAAATAATAAAAAAATTGCAGATCTACCAGGAATTCTGAGGTGAAGAATATCCATAAAATAACACAGGTGAGATGCAGTTGGAAATTTTCCTGTCAGTCCACACCCGCCCTTCCTCCTACCTCTCCCACCCAGAATTCACTTTCCACTCTTCATTTTTCTTATTTTAAAGTTTTATATTATGTTTTCTATATTTCTGTGTCACGTTAGAGCATTAAAATGATATTGATATTATATTTTCTTTTGTTCTAAGTTATATTAGAACAATGAAATATTTCCACAACTATTATGGTCTCTTATGTAAATGAACACTGGCAGCTGGTGCTCAGCTGCAAATTATAAATATTTGATGAGTGTCTTTAGACAGCCTAACCAGGAGGGGAGGTGGTTGCACTGATAGCATTTCTGCATGTTGTTTGTCTGAAATACAGTAACTTTCAAAGCCTTTCTTCACCTACCACATATATATGTCTCATTATCCAGTGTTTTTAAGACTTCACCAGTTATAGTTCCTTTCCACATAATGACCCAAAAGATCTGTCTGGTTTATCTTCATCGTTTCAAAAAACTTAACAACAACTAATGGTTTAGTACCCTAAAACACCATTAAGCATCATTTTCTCAAAATAAGTTTAAAGGTGTAGAAAAAGAGACAACTCTTACAATCACTAGCATCACCAAGCAAACATAGACCTAAATTACCTTACCTTAACAGTTCTATTCAGAATCTCATTTTCATCTTGCACATTTGCCAGTTCAGACTTGACAGTTGCTAACTGTTCAGCGGCAGAATTTAGTTGTTTCCCTTGGTCTTTTAGCTCCTTAGTTTTACTATCAACTTCATCTTGCAGTCTGTCAATCTCACCTTGAAGTACCTGATAATATCAATATCTATTAACATAATATATTATATGTTATAAATTGTGTTTCTAAAGCCATAAAATACTATACTATACAGCATCATGATCCCTAATTAATATTTTTAGAAAACTTAGTAATAATAGTGCAGTGAGCCTAAACGTGTCAACAGTGATTCCTTAATAACAGAGGTTAGCACCCATGGTTCACATGCATTTCCACAGTTTAGAAGACAGAGTTGAAATTTGGTAGAGAGGTGCAAGTGGCCTTGGGGATGGTCGTGCATTATCGCCAGTCCCTGCCTGCCTCCAATGCTCTCATTGTCCTCTGGGGTCTCCCACATATCATAGTGACTGGCATTTCTGTTGTTTCTTGATTGTCCTTATAAGTCATCACCAACATGAATACAAAGTGACTAAAAGTAGCAAGAGTGTTGGTGCTAGCAAGAGACGAATAAAACAGGTTTAGGGTCAAGGTGAAAAGAAACTGATAAGAAAATCTATTTTGGTAGAGGTGGCAAACAAAGCAATTAAATGTTTTGAAAAAGGAGATCACACTGCCAATTTTACAGGTGCAGTGGGCCTTCATGAAGCAACCATATGTATGATTTGTGCTCATGCAGATTATAACAACAGTTTACAATTCTTACTGTAACAATATTCTCTGGCAGGTTATTGTGATTACCAGTGTGTTTAACCTACATTCAGTGTGTTGTCTGGTTTGTCATCATTCAGTAAACAATGACACAGATATTTGTGCATCTTATTTACAATAACTGTGTGTTTCATCGTCATCTCTATGCTAGGTTAGCTAATAAAAATTGTGCAAGTATTACATTGTATTACGGTAGTTTTACTGTTTGAATGTCACAAAATTGTGATAAAATGGGTCTAGGGCACCACTGTACATTATAGGTTGTGGTACACATCCATATTTCTCACATTTAAGTAATACTTGTACAGTAGTTCATGACAACAAATTCAGTTTATGCAAACATTTTCTGGAACACAACCCCCACATATATCAAGGACCCCCTGTATCTAAATACAGTACAGTACTGTACAGTAAAGGGTTTCATATGATTGTGAAAGTAGTAATGGAAAAAAATTAATATTGACTTGTCAGCAAGCAGAACTATGCCTCACACAATAATTAAGACATTTTCACCACACAGTACCTGAATGTTTTTGGATACAGCCTTCATATTGTCTTTAACTCCTACATCCACCTTCTTCTTAAGATCTTCTTTCTCCGATGCCAATTTATTGCGATTTTCTTCGGAGGAGTTCAGCTGTGCAGTTAGTTCGGCTACACGTTTCTTTAGCTTAATGGCTACACTTTTCAGCTGGAAGAAATACACTTTAATGGTACATTTCACTATCAGAATAAGATTTAAACTCAAAGAAGGGCATTAAATGCTTATACCATCTCTGGCAAATTCCCTGTATAACATCTACTACATTACAGCACCTGAAACATAGTACAGTATTGTATTCACTATTATATAGCATTAAACACTCATGAGTGATATTTTTTTTAAACCTAATGTGTGGAATCACAGATATCATGATTAAAGTTTTTAATGTAATCGTGCATGAATATTATCACCCTCAATATGCATTTGTCATGGGCTGTTTTATATAAAAAACACTTTTGTTCACAGTTTGCTAAGTGTTGGCAAAAATAGGATAAGTGATTAATATGAATAAATGATGGAGGGTATCATTTGTTATGAGTTAGGCCTATACTATACAGTATTGGGAGATACTATCTCCCCTCCACTCCCTGTCCAATAACACAGAATGAAGGATCAATTGGCATAAGCCATGATAAATATTTTCTAGTTTCATTCATTCAACTACAGAGTAAAAAAATTCAAACATACATAAATTTAAGTAAGCTATTGGATAAATGAAATAGGTTATGTGAATATTTTGATGAATGTACAAAAAGTTATTGGTAATGAGGAAGGGGTTTTGGGCCTCCAGCCCCAAATCCTATTTTTCAATAGAAATTAAAGATACACCATGAGTTGATTCCATGATTAAAGAAGTTTATGCACCACAAATATAAATAATGTAGGTATGCAAAGAACCCCTCCATGAATAATCCAAACTGCAAATATAAAACGTGTTAATACTGAGTGAGGTTCACTGAACAATACAGTTTACCTTCATATATCTTTCCTCGAATGTGTCCTCCAGTTCCTTCATTCTCTGTGTATCTTCTGCACGACTAATAGTACTTGTACTCATGACCTCACTCTGGCCATCATGACCTGCACCGGCATTCTCACGACTAGATGACACCTCATTCTCCAGTGCCTGAATTGTCTGAAAAATTAAAGAAGCCTCAAGTCATTACAAGTACACTAAACAGTACTGAATTTTTTTCCTTTTTTTCTCAAAAGTAAAATTTTTCCATCTTTAATCACAGTTGTCAATGGTTACTGGAGAAGTGAGTCTAGCAAAGTGCCAACCACATCTATTTTATTCACTGCCATTTATTCTTTTAACTTACTTACTGACTAGAAATGTTCTGCTATTGTGCTCCGAGTCCACAACAAGTCACTTATATAGCCCTTAACCCTTAAGCCCCAGGTTAGAGTGCTGCTGGCAGTACACCCCCTCCCACAGGGTTAAATCAAAAAAAAAAACTAAAAAAAAAAAAAAAAGGCGGGAAAATAGTCGGACGTTCTGGAACGTCACCCAGGGCCTAAGGGTTAAAAGGCACCCAACATTACATGATGTTCACTGTAGGGACGGCAGCCCACATCAGGTTCACCTTCCTTACTGTTTAAGGGTTAAATAATCCATCCATTGTTTCACACAGGCCAGCAACACTCATTAACTAACAAATAAATCACCACAGTCAAATAACAATAACTTACCGTCTTTAAACTGGCCCTCTCTTGCTCAAGGTTCTCTATCTCTTCCTTTAGTTTGCTGATCTGTTGGGTGTCTGTAGGTGGGGAAGTGGGGGCACACTCACTACTATATGACTGTAACTTCTCTGTGATGGTCTGTAGCTGTTCCTGCTTGTTGGCCAACTCAGCTTCCCTGTTATACATCTAATAAAAGAAATAAAACACACAGCAAATAACAAATATATTTTATCCATAACAGAGAGAGCCAAACATTGCTTGGTCTCTCATACCTGAAAATTCAAATGTATATTACCTACTTCAAAACAAGGGGTAACTTCAAGAGAACAAAGTTTAGTATGAAACTGATTTTGGAACATGTATGTATGTATGTATGTATGTATGTATGTATGTATGTATGTATGTATGTACTACTAGGTAGTAGGTAATAGGCAGCTACCAAACAGGGAGATATTACCGCCTAGGAAGATATTGGAAGCATAATGTATTGTCTAATGGTAAACCCTGCTGCCATATGGCATCACGGAAATTGTGACCAAGTCCCAGGTTGCTGATCTGATTTTCTGCCTCATTTACACCCAATTGCAGGGTCTCAATTGTTTCTCTTATTACTGACAACACAACATACATACAGTATATAATTTCTCACTTTTGATCTTTTTTTCATTTTTGTGTTTCTTTATGGTTCTTTATTATTATTATTATTATTATTATTATTTTATTATTTTTTTTTTAATTTTTTTATTTTTTATTATAAATTTTATTTACAGTACTATGAATTATTATTATTACTACCCTGTATTATTATTATATTTTCGCCCCCAGGCCTCGATGTGGGTCAGTGACCTGTGCCCGGGTGGGCTAACCCCCCCCCCCCAAAAAAAAATTGTGTGTGTGTGTGTGTGTGTGTGTAAGAAGGACCTTTATAAGGAGTTGAATTAATGATCTAACGATCGCTTATTTCAACTGAAACATGTACAAACATCCCTACTGTATAACGAAATTCGCTATACAGGTATCCCTCGAGATATGAACTTTTGATACGAAAATACAGTGGTCCCTCAGTTAGCGAACAGTTCAATTAACGAAATTTCGGTTAATGAATTACCTCCCATAAGGATCTTCAATTCAGTTAACGAACAAACCTTCGATTAACGAAATCCTTACGACAAACACATTTTGTTGTGAGCATCAGCTGATGGGCTAAATTGCCAATTCAGTAATCTGCACTATGTTTACATTCGTTTGCAGTGGATTAAATATCAAGAAAGTTATGCTCTTTAATATTTTTGCATTTTTTATATTAAAATTAATAGTGATTTTTAAATTTAGTTAACATATTGATAATATATGCAGTACAGGGGACTAGTTTTTTGTGCGCCCATCAGCTGCTTGACTCACCCACCAGGCGTCAGTTTGGCTTTGTTTACAGTGGAGTGAGCATTGATTTTGTTGGTGTCTTGAATATTTTGCATTTTTACATTAAAATTATTGGTCATTTTGAAATTTAGTTAACGTATTGATGATATATAGCGCAGTGCTGTGTTGATTTAAATAAAATAATCTTGAATTACACCTAGTGAACTTAAAATTTTATTGGTAAAATTACTGCATCAAGCATGGGTCCCCTGAAAGGTGATTTATCCTCCATCCCCACTTCCTTCTCTTCTCCCTTCTCCTCCACCCCCACTTCTAATTCCCATCATCATCATCATCATCAACCAGGAACCTTCTACATACACACCTCAAAGTAAGTGTACTTTACTGCATTTTGTTTTTACTTTGTATGTACTTTTCTGTGAGCTGGAACCACTTACCCAATATCCCATTGAAACAATGGATTCGGTTAACGAAATTTTTGGTTAACGAAAGACTCTGTGGAACGAATTGTGTTAGTTAACCGAGGGACCACTGTACACTTACAGTATACGAAATTCTTAAATTACCTCCTCTTTTTCGTGTTACAAAAGCTTTCACTGCATATATGAATTTGGGTCCTGGCAAATATTGAAATTACGTGCCCCCTGGAGTCAGCTTGGGCGGCCACACCCCCCCTCCCCTTAGCGTGCTCTTACCACGCTGAGGTTGGAGTTATGTTATGGTTATTTTTCAACTCATAATTTCTGTTATATAATCAAAACTTGATTTTTTTTTCATCCAGTTACAAGCACACACAATCCAACATACAAAATGTGCAAAAAAAAAAAAAAATAATAATAATAATAATTTTCATAAGGTCATAAACATTTCTTCATGCACCAGCAAGAGAGAGCAAGATGAACTGGGGGGGTCATTTTATAGTTATTTTCAACTCGTAATATTGCATAAATAAACTTAGCTTTTCACTTTTTTATTCATTTACATGCACACACAATCTTACATACATAACGTGAAAAAAGTAAAAGAAGGAACTATCATAAGGTAAAAAAACAAAAAGGGAATAAATATTTCTTTGTGTGTGAAAGCAGGGGAGGGAGCACTGCTTAGAGTCAGCAGAGGTGGCTGGGTTGGTTGCTATGGTGACACTTGAAGGTGGCCACGCGAGAAGCAGCCAGCATCTACGCAAATGGCGTGGCTGGCGGCTGCGTTAAACATTAATTTAGCTTTTCCTTAATAGTTTTAGCAGCAGATTGTATGTTAATAATGTGTTAGGTAGTAAATTACAGAAGTTGTTTACTATTTATCATTAGTTAGAGATGTGTTTTCTTGTTTGAGAACCAATTTCGTGTTTTTTGGGTATGAAATTGGGACATTTTAGTCATTGGGGGTCAAAACCCATTCTTTCCCATATGATTTTCTATTTGAGATACGAAAATTCACCCCAAAAATTTGTTTTTGGAGCCTAACCTACCGGTATTTGTATCTCGAGGGATACCTGTATACCAGTCTGGTCCTGGGGAAGCTAGATTTGGGGGGTTGGACCCATAATACAAAAGATAATCAACATACCTTCATTTGCAACTCCTTTAAAAGTGAGGAGGTTCTCTCTAGTTCCTCTGATTTTTCTTTGTTAGTGACCTCTAACCGGGATATCCTTTCTCCTCTCTCACGCAGGACCTTGTTCATCTGGTTCAGCTCCGTCAGCAGCTCCTCAGATCGACCAGTTAAGGCTTCAATATTGGAATCAAGCTGAACTTTATGGTTTTCTGCATCCTTTAGTGTCTTCTCTAAGTCCTCTTTCTCATTTCTCAAACCCTGTGAAAAACAGGATGACTAAACACTGAGATATTTCATTCATTACAGTCCACACTATGGTACTCTTAAGAAAAATCAGCCTCCACCTAGCCACCCAGTATCACAGTTGGAAAAAAGACTTGAATAAAACAACAACTAAATTTAATTTTGCCATCTCTATCAATAAGAACACCCTAAATATGCAAAAATATTTCCTATATCATTAGCAATTCAGAAAGATAGGAGTTATATTAAAGGTTTACATATGTCTTTCTATGAAAAGTTCTTAAAATATTGTAAGTAAAATTTACATGAATGTTAGCCATGATATGAATACTGTACATCACAGCAACTCCTGTGGTCATTTTATTCTTCAAACTATTGCTTTGTGCTGAAATGATAAGGTAGAGATTAAATTTCTAACAGCATTCAGAAATCTCTCCTCAGGTGTAATGGATTTTTATATGATCACTTCTATAGTACAAGAGGGAACACTATAAACAATTTCATATATTTTTGCATATAATACTGTAGAAGACGACAAGAAAAGGATAAAAAGAGTACAAACACAGCAACATACACTTGCTCATGCCCTCATGTGGAATGTGAAACAACTCCCTAACCACCATACTAACTGACAGGTCCATATCATACCAAGTTGAGCTATCAGTTATGCTACATGAAAACCTTTAAATTACTCACCTGTATTTCCTGCTCTGCCATCTTCTCATTACTCTGGAGCCTCACCACTTCATCATGTAGCTCCCTGGTCTTCACCTCAAGCTCTTCTGTCTTCTTCTGCAGGACAACATTTTCACACCTTATACTTTCTGCTTCTCTGAGTTGACTATCTTGTTCTTTAATAATAGAGTTTAATTTTTCTTCTAACAAACTTTTTTCTTGATTCAAATTGTCTTCCACTGACTGTTTACTCACAGTAAGGGAAGCATAATCTTGTTTAAGTTTAAGTTTCTCTGTTGATAGTGTTGTGAGTTTCTCCTCTAAGTCATGCTTTTCATCTAACCAACTTTTCTCATTAGCAGCATGCTGCCTAATCACATCTTCTGATGTGTTTTCCAAGCTTTCAATCTTATTTTCTCTGACTACCTTCTCAGAAACTAAAGCCTCCTTTTCTCTAAGAAGATTTTGAAGATCTTCAGTTTGTTTTTTAAGTAAATTGTTAAAATGTATTTTTTCTGTAACAGAACCTTTACACTTAAGCATAAGAGCTTCTCTTTCTTCTTTAACAGTTTTTAACTCCTGTCGTAAGTTATTAACAAGTTCTTCTTTATGATTATCCCCAGATGTTATTTTACTTTCTAGTTCAGCTCTTCTGTTTTCTGAAGAGAACAACTTTGCTTCCAAATTACAGATATTCTCTTCCATTTGTAATTTTTCCTTTTCCAAGGACTGACTCAACTGTTTTTCTTTTACTGCCTCAGCGATCTGATTTTCAAGCTGGTTCTTTTGTGTCGTCAAGTCTTCCAGTGTGGTTGAAACCTGAATGAATTTGAATCTTTCTTCTTTCAGAGTGTCACAAAGCTTGGCAAATGCTGATGATGTTTTCTTACACTTTTCTACCATAAAACTATTCTCCTCCACATCAAGTGCCTGTGTTGAATTAAGGTAGAACAATATTAAGTTCTTAGTAATACTTTCAAAGCTTGAAGAAAATAAGTCCCAAGTTGTGCAATCCCTTGAGTGAATCAAGTTCTTACTATGATCCTGAATCTGTTCAAGAGCAACAATTAAATGTTGAACATCTTCCCCAGATTTAAATCTATCTTTCTTACTGAGTGCTGTAATGAGTACTTCCTGTACACTTTGTAATTTGGCTACAAGATCTTCCTGGTCAGCTGGAAGCAAATTCTTGCTTAACATAGGGTACACCTCCCTACACACTGATGTTAAGGATATTCCAGTGTTCTGTAATATGTCTGAGAAAGTTTTCATATTTTCAGCTTCATTCTGCAACTGTTCCACTCTAGAAGTAAATTCTGTATTTTGGGATTTTAGTTCTTTTATATCTGTAGCCAACTGATCAGCTCTTGCTTTCTCTTCCACTGCAGTTTTTTCTAATGCACTAACCGATTTTGAAAATTCAACATCTAAATTAATTTTTTCCTTCTGAACAATATCTAAATTTTCCCTTATATGAGACAGTTTGTTCTCTAGGTCTTCACATGTTTCCAATAACTTGTTTTTTTCATTATTAAGTTCATCTACTTGTGCAGTCAACTCTTCACATCTTGAGTTGTTTTTTATCAAATTGCTGTGTTCATTGTCTATCTGGATCAACTGCTCATTAAGTCTATTGTTCTCATTTTTCAGTTGTTCAGTTACATCATTTTTCTCCCTTTCTAAATTACTTACTTTTTCCATTACCTCTCTATTACATGTATTACTTTTTTCCAGTTTTTCTTCCATGGCATTAAGTTTTCCTTGAAGGTTTTCTACATCAACATGCAGTTCTTCCAATTTCCCTTCACTTTGTGTTTTTTCTTGTCTCAAAAGTTCTTCCTTTAATTTAAAATTTTGAATTTCATCTTGCATGGACTTTTCAATATAAGATTTTTCTTGTAATAATATCTGCAATTCTGAGTCTTTCTGTTCATTACTTTTTTCAATTTCTAAAAGTTTTTGTTTAAGGTTATTTAATTCTCCAGTAGTGTTGGCTAATTCATTTCTTTTCTGAGCTTCCAGTTCCTCAAGATGCTGTTCAAGTTGTTTTTTCCTCTCTGCTTCTACTCTCAGCTCCTCCCTTAATGTGTTTACATCTGATTCTGCTGCTTCACTTTCTTTCTTTAACTCTGTGTTAATGTCTTTAAGGGACTGCTTCTCCTGTTCAAGTTTCAATATTTTTTCCTGTGATTCTTTAAGACTATCTTCTGAACACGGAATTAACATGTCATGTTCTTTCAAATTGTTTTCAAGTTCGTGAATTCTGTCCTGATCTTTTTTTGAACTTATAACTATTTCTTCATTTAATTTCTTTAACTTCAAAACCTGACTCTCAAGACTTCTAGCTCTGTCCTCAAGACATTTCTTGTCATTCTTAGTACTCTCCAGGATAATCTCTGATGCTTTTTTCTCTTCTTTCAAAGTATTCAGCTCACCCTGTATCTTGATACCTTTAGCTACAAGTTTCTGTTGTCTTTTCAACTCCTCTTCAAGAGTCGACTTTTCATCAAGAAGTTTCTTACACTTTGTCTTGAGGATGTCCACCTGGCCAACCTGTGCTTGTAGATTTTCCACTCTTTCCTGTAATACAGTACTTAATTAATGAGATCCTTACTGTATATACTATAGTATTACTACCAATAAAAATGGCTTTAACAGTGCTATGCATTACATCTTACCAATAATATCCAACCTGGGTACTGACTCATATGGTAATTTCAGATGAAACCATTTTGACTAAATATTACACAGGAAATATAAGGTTTAGTTTAGATATCAAATGTGTGATGGCCTTAGTGTATGCGAGATGCAATGTGGTATATGAGTTAGTACTGCCCCCTTTAACACCTTATATGAGTAAATGTTAAAGCTGTTGACAGCATAACATGCATTAACCTTCACTGGACAGCATCACAGTTAAGAAAGACATATATTGTATGCATACAATATAGCATGATGACCACTATATAAGTTTAGTTGACTATACGTATATAAAAATAGGGCTGTATTACAAGAGTCAAGATGGCTGGGATGTCACATAGGGAGGAGGGAGAGTGCAGCTGGCCACAGTTACAGCACACTGCCTCAATACAAACGTTCACTTCCCAGTGGTCTTCATCTTTCTTATTTTAAAGCTTTATAGTATACTTTATACTATAAAATGCTGTATTGTATTGTATATGGTACATTTTGACATTGTTTGGCAATTTCCTAATTTTTGTGTTCGATTATTTGTTCATTTTCTGTTCAGTTTTTGCACCCTATTTGGATTGTTCCAAACATTGTTCCTCATTATTGCAAACAACAAACATACTCAGTTGACATACCTTGACTGCTAGAGAAAATATTATATTTGTAATTACTGTGCAAACAAATATTTGTTTAAATGTACAAACAGCACTGTAATAATAAAGTACTGTAAATAATACAGTAATAAATAAATGTAACACGTACATAGCGAAGTGAGTTGACAATATGTATACAGTATAATATTCAGAAAGTGAAATGGTCACACTGGTAAATGAAGTAAAAACCCACATTGCAGAAATAAAAGACAAAACCTTGAAGCTGATATACTGTACTAGGACCCTCTTCAGCCAACTAACAGAACAAAGCAGGGAGAAAGACCTATCTCCTGAGTTGAGATGGGGTGGGGATTAGGGATAATCTTCTTGATGACAGTATTCAGGATCAGGTCAATGGACCCCACAACTACATCCAGGGCCGCCATAATACAGAGACCCCTCGTTTAATGAACACTTCGGTTAACGTAATTTCGATTAACGAACTGCCTTCCATAAGGATCTTCAATTCGGTTAACGAAAAAAAATTCGGTTAACGAAGTTCTTACGAACCGACCTCAACATGTTTTCGCTTGCACTGACCGGGCAACCAGCTTTAGTATTAGTCCGCCAATACATTAATCGGTTCTAGGGCTTAAATTCCTTACTATTTTAGTAAATATCAAGAAGTTTATACTATTCAATAATTTTAAAAGTTTAATATTAAATTTTTTAGTCATTTTAACAATTATTGAACATAACTGAAGGTAGAGTGACTAGTTTAATGTGCGGCATCCAGCCTCTTAACACAGCAAACAGGAGTTAGTCTCTCTCTGTTTTCACTGGAGGTAACATCTTGCTTGAGACTCTCTTCAACTAAACACTTTTTTTCTGTGTTTCCAATCAAATTATTGGTCATTTTGAAATATATTTTACATATTGACAATATATAATGCAGTGCTGTGTTGATTTAAAGAAAATAATCTTGAATTACACCAAGAGAGCTAAAATTTTATGGGTGAAATGGCGCCATGGGATGACTTCTCTTCCACCCCAATGCCTTCTCTTTTTCCTTCTCCTCCACCCCCATTCTAAATCCCATCATCATCATCCAGGAGCCTTCTACATACACACCTCAAAGTAAGTGAACTTTTCTACCATTTTTGTTGAATTTAGGAAATTTTCGGTGAGCTGGAATCAATTACCGTACCCAAAAACCCATTGAAACAATGGTTTCGGTTAACGAACTTTTCGGTTAACGAACGACCTTCTGGAACGGATTGAGTTCGTTAACGGAGGGGTGACTGTATTCTCACATCAAATTTCAAGAAAAATATTTTCCACATTTAATCTTGAGTGTTCCATGAAGGAATTATTTCTCTTTACAATGAGCATTATATAATATAATTTATTGTAAGTTAGAGGCAAGACACTGTGTAATAGACTCAACTTATACAATAATGGCACGCAGTATCCCTGCACCAGCACCCCACGGATCACCAAGTATTGCCAGGTAAAATTGCGAGTACGAGAGCAAGGGTGGGGTCGATGCATCTTTGGCTGACTGTACAAACCCTAGTACAGCCTATGCATAAATGTAAACTATTCCACAGGAGCCCTTATTTCATCAAGATGGGTTCAATCAAACCCTTCAAAACCCTCTTGGGTATCGTCCTACAGGTCGACTGTGCAAGAGATGTAGAACACACAGACATACCTTTCTATCCATTATCTACAAGGCTTTACTTCTACAATATACAAGGCAAGTTTTGTTAGATTACAGAGCACAAAACCACATACAACTTCTTGTGGACTGCTGCTGTCATGAAAATCTACCAAGTACCAGTGAATAAGGTTACTATACAACAAAATCAATGGGTGGTATTAATGCACTGGTGGATGTGGTATGTCTGTACCAGTTGTGCACTACTTTAAAGAAGATATTACCTCTAATTTTATTGCTGAACATCACTAAAGCTACTACTCTACCTTTTCTACTCCCATATCAATTCAGAACAACATGCAAATTTAATTAACTAACTGTACAGACCTCTAAAGCAATTCTTTCTGTATTCCATGCATGTTCTAGAAGCTCTGATTTCTTAGCAGCAGAAATCTGGAATTCTTTCAATTTTTTTATGTTCCTCATATTATCCTCTGCTAACTGAGAATTTTCACCCTCTAGATGGTTTCTATCCATGACTAAGTCTTGTTCTATTGCCTGAAGAGATTCCACCTCACTAGAAGAAACCTTTAACTGCCTCTGAAGACTCTCAATCTGCCAATGGTAAAGTGCTGCTTACTCAAGTCATCAATTATACAAATGAAATTCATAAAACAGTATGTATACAGTACTATACCAAACTAAAATTTATCACACAGCTACTGGAACCTGCCTCATAATAAAGCTCCAAATCATGCACTGTACTGTAATGTACTGTATTACCAAACACCATTAAGGGGTCAAATCTGGGGTTTTAACTTTTGACACAATATTGGTTTTGAACTTTTGTATACTGTACTACAGTACAGGCAGTCCACAATTTATGAAGATCCACATGGACAGGCATCTTAGGGCTTTTTCTAATGAACCAAGTCAGTTTATAAACAATTAAACAAAATCAACATATAATAATGTACTGTACAGTAATGAGAGTGGTTAACTAAGATTTAAATAAAACACTAGAATATATGCAGTGTTTCAGTTATCATGGCTCACAGGTGAAGTAGTGGCAAGACTGTGGGAATGCTGATGTGTTTAGCATCTCAATTAATATTTACTGTATTTTTTTCACTTTCAAGTCCTTTCTTGCAAAAGTAGAAGGAAGTTAGAAGAATTATCAGAGAAACAACCTGTCATACATACAGTACAGGTACATTAATACTAATTTAATAGAATTGTTTACTTATGGTTTTCCTCTTGTACAAGAAGGCCCCCAAATACTGCACCTATTGACTTAATCCACCAGCATTACACTGTCATTTTATTATACAGTAATGTACAATCTTTGTCAAACTGAAACATTAAAATGAGTGAAGTAACAAAAGAGTCAACCACTTACCTTGGTAGTAAGAGCCACCTTTCCTTCTGTCAGGTTGGCCACCATCTCCCTCAAAGCATCAGCCTCTTCCCCAAGCTTTTGGTTTGCCACCTCAGCTTGCCTTGAAGCAAATTTTACCTGTTTTAACTCAGCAGCCATTTCTATTTGATGAGAAAAATAATCATGTTTGCATTTTTCACTTCTAAAAACAACAAATGAACACTATATACAGTATTTAAAACTAATTTTTCCTACAGTTCAAAGCAGTGACCTCTCAAATTCCAAACTTATTTGTACCCAAAATAATTTTTTACTGCTCCCTTGTTAAGATTGTATGGATAGTTCAGTTTAAATGCATGGCTACCCTTATCAAACCAAGAAAAAATAAATTACTGTAGCTACTTTAAATCAATAAATGCAGAGAGGTAATTAAGTGTTAAAGTAGTCAGAACAATACTTTCAGGTGGTTTTGTCCACTACTGAACAACCAATCTCAAAAGAAATAATAATCAACTTCATAAGGAAAATCTTAAGGCCATTCTCCTTGATGGCAATAATTCAACCTACTCGGTCTTACCATCTTTGGCAGACTTGGCCTTGTGAGCAAGAGTCAACAAGCTCCGACATTTTGTTATGAGTTCCTCTCGTGTCAGCTTTTCCAAACCTCCTCCTCCTCCTCCTGCAGTAGGTCGACTAGGTGCCTTATCTTCACCTTGACCCCCATTGGGAGTGCTGATATTACCATTACTCTCCTGTAAAAACACAAAATCATATGTAAATTAATCATTTATACACTGTAAAATACTTCACCCTTTCAAGCCCTACCCAACTTAATACAAGATGGCCAGACACATTATCAAATACTGTAAGTAGCACCATAATTATAGTATCGGTAATTTTTTTTTTTTTTTGCCTGTAAAGGATGACATGAAACTGCAGCCATGTGATCAGTGTTTGAAGTGTTTTTACCCAGTTATTTCCCTCTTCTTTCAAGACCTGCTCCGTCATTTTAATTTTAGTTTAACCTTTTACCATTAATATCTCGGGTGCCATATGACCTTGGCTGTTGAGGTGCTAAAATAATATTTATAATCATTCATTCATGCCCTGCCCACTAACAAGTAATTAATGATCAAAGGCTAGGCTAAAAAGAAACAAATAACTACAATGTTGTCACTTCAATTTTATTATTCTGTATCATCCAAGCATCTCCGGAAAATTTGGTGCAATATCATAAATTCCTTTTGGTGCTATAACAGTCTCCTCCACCTTTACCCAAAGCCCTGCTCACTTTTGGCAACCAATACTGTTAATAATTGGGGAGGAAGATCATATCTCCATAATAAACCATTTCAAATAGAAATGAAGGTCAGATTCATATGCAATACGATCAGTGGCCACTTGTGAAAAATAAAATGGAGGGACTGCAAGCCTCACACAACAGTAGGATACACAAATTTGACCTACCTCAGGTATGAGTTGTAGTTGATGTCCACGAATTCCCAGGGCATGGTAGTAGTGTTGGTGGTGATGGACCAGTATTAATTGAAAATAAAGTCGGCGTGTCTGCTCTTCGATGTAGCAAAATTTCTGATAAACACTGATGTTAAACTGGCGTGTATATTCTTTGTTCCTGCTTGTACTGTTCTGTTGAATGGATAAAACTGGTGTAGGTCTTCCTCTTGCTTTGATTTCAGTCTTTTCATTTAATGTCAGCTGGGAAAAGTTGATGTTTTGCAAATACTTCACTCGATTTTCCATCGTCAAAGGGTAATTAAAGAAAGCACGATTTAACCACACCGTCCACACGCAATGTAAACACGTTGTACGAGACTGAGCTGCTTCAAGTGCAGCTCATTGTGCGGCGGCGGCGCCAATTAATAACAGACATCAATCGTACAGCATTGACAGCAACTATGAAAGTAACTTAAATTTTGGTCTGATTTTAATGAAAATTCACTTAGCAACGTATTGAAAATAATTAAATAACATATAAAATGATATATTTGTTGGTAGTGTATTATTCAGCTGTCTCTCTAAAGGAATCATACGCCTGGCAGTGGGTGTCTGGGGGGACTGCAGCTCTGCAGCCCTATGCACGAGCCGCCACTGAACACGATGAAAAACATTATAAAAACTTATTTTCCATTGTAATTTCTGTGCATGGCAACTTCTAAATATTAACCTAACTGGTAGCTGCTCAACACCAACTGAAAAGTTTTAAAAGTAAAAAGTAAAGCAAATGTTTTGTTCAAGAACTTGGGTCAAGTGACCCAAAAGGCTGTTTCACACCGGAGGCAATGGTAACTACACTGCAGATGGAAATTACGTGGCTTTGAATTGCTTCTGCTGTTTTTCAATGAGGCTGATCAGACAGAATGCGATTGTACATATCCAACACGTGCATCAGATATATAGGTACCACCCCATATTGCCTCCTTCGCAATTTATTCTCGGCGTGGCTTCACCGCTCATACACACTAGAGCATTTTGGCAGTCTGGAACTGACAGTTGAGAGAGATGGCAGCTATCACCCTGCTTCAGGCCTTGGGGCTTATGGACTGTCTGTATTTTGTATCTATTTTTTTTTTTATATCCTTTTCAATTTTTAATATTACTTCATTGAACTGAGCATGAGACAATCTGAAATATTATCAAAACTTTTCTTCATCAACGTAAAGCTCCTGCACAAGATGGTGGTATTCGCCAAAATTTGTTCTTTTCACACTTGTTTAATGTATCCACTTTTTTCTTTTCTTAAGACATTCCTAGAGTCAGCAGTAAAAATTTTTCCTCCTCTTAAAACCACTGTGCACTGCCTTCCACCTTGACTGATACAACAACACTGAGTCTCTTGTAATACCCGGGGTGAACAACCATGGGGTCCAGTGTAAGCGGCACACAACTATCACTCCTCCACTAACACCCTCCACAACATATACAAATCAAATAAAATTATATTCAAAACTACACACCTACCTCAGCACAAGTACGAAATGTTTATATACTTGAACAATTAAATTACAACCCTCCTCCCCTAAACAAAGAAGAGATAGTTACCATGGAGTACTTCAGGTCCAGCTCTCCCCCTCGGCTGACATATCTGTTTACGTGGGATACACAGGTCGGTTACACACGTGATGGCCGCCGTCATCTGTAGAAAACGGGTGTTTCTTTATCATCAACTATTTTAATATATTTACTTACGTTATTTACCTAATGGTCACCCACAAGAGGTGGCCACACTTAGGTAAAGAGGCCAGTGGTCTGTGTAGGATTCCGCCAGTGTTCTTGATAATTGTTCAAGGGCTGATTAAAGCCCAGCAGGGTTTCCACTAAAATAATTCTTTAACCCCGACCTCTGTGTGAATTACCCCAAACTTCCCTAAATTACACACACACACACACACACACATATATATATATATATATATATATATATATATATATATATATATATATATATATATATATATATATATATATATATATATATATATATATATATACTGTACAGTATAGCCTATATATAGTTGAAGTCCCCCATGATAAGGAGGTGGCTAGGGTTGAGCATTGCCGCGTTGTTTATTAAGGTTCTTAAGTTCCTTTGATTTAGTGGGCCACAGTTTGGGGATCTGTAGATACACCCGACGATAAGTAAGTCCCCCCCCTTTAATTTAATTTTACACAACTTGGACTCTTCAAAAATATCATCTCCCTGTACCCTCGCCTGGCTGGCTCCAAGGTTTTGCCTAGCATAGATAACCACACCCCTCTTGCAAGTTTCTTGAGAAAGGTTCGTAAATGAGTCATATCCAGCAATACTGAACGCACATTCCTCTGGGTCGATTCTCCTGTTCTTGTACAACAGTTCTAAAACACCTACAATATCGGGTTGGTGTACTCTTAGTAGTGTTTCAAACTCCTCTCTCTTATCAAGGAACGTGTCAGTATTGGTGTACATTACATTCAAGCCAGAATTTGCTCTCGGTAACGTCTCTGCTCTTAGTAGTAACCCCCCCCCCCCTCTCCATTCTCATTAGCTGCAGCATTTGCCAAGTACTGTACGCTGTAAGTTGCAGGGTGTGGTTAGAACCATGTCATTGTTTACACGGCGCTCTCCTCCTTCAATATCATGAAGTGTAAGAGGATGTACCTGGAATGTACAAACGGTAAGGAGGCGTATCATGTCCCAATGGGACGAAGAAACTGCATTATTGAGACTGAATGAGAAAAGGACCTGGGCGTGAATGTTGACAATGAACTGAAGTTCTCAAGCCATTGTGAGAAGGTGAATCAAGCAACTAAATTATTAGGTCTTATAAGAAGGTCAGTCAGATATTTAGATGGTCCATGAGGTGCTTCCCCGCCTGGAGTACTGTCACCCCGCCTGGTTCCCGAGATATGCTAGAGACTATCAGTTGATTGAAAATGTCCAAAGGAGGGCCACCAGACTGGTGCTTGCATTTCACCACCTCAGCTACCCAGAGAGATTAGAACGCCTTTCAATTGCCGAGCTTATACTACAGACGGGCAAGGGGTGATCTAAATGAGGTGTATAAACATATCAGTCAATGTCCATACCTGGAGCTGGCGAACGCTTGTCCCACAAGGGGTCACAGCTCAAGGTTGAGGAAGCCACAAGTCCTGACAATTGTGAGGGCAAACTTTTTCAGAGAGAGAGTTGTGCGCTCTTGGAACAATCTGCCAGTGTTGTGACCGCACCGAGTGTGAGCTGTTTCAAGACCAGACTTGACTAGCACTGGAGCAGGTTCAGATACATTCAGAAGCTAGTGCATGCCAACAGTGCGTAAGAGACGTGACCGACCGCCCAAGTGGCTAACAAGCCGATCAGTGGTGAAAAGGATAAAAGAAAAAAAAGTAAAAGAAACTCTTCATATGAAAAATGGAATCACCTGTGATGAAATGAATGTGAAACTTTATTATTCTTTGTGAAAGTTATCTCTGTTGCACAGTAATAGAACCAAAATATTTCCTTTGCAAGACTTAATGTATATTTTACAGCAACAGAACCCAAAACATTTTTCTTTGTGAAGTATAGTCTCAAGTTCACAGCAATAAAACCGAAAGATTGTATACATTGTAATCTACCAAGCAACTAAAGACAGAAATTTTCCTGTCAGGGTTACATGCATTTTACATATAAACTGTGGTTCATTATATTGAGATATATACATATATATATATACAGTGGGGTATGCTATAACGAATCTAATTGGTTCTAGAACCTTGTTCGTTATAGCATTCGTTCGTTATAGGATTAATCCGTTCCAGGCCCCCAAATACAACCACTTAACACTGAAAAATATAATATAAAATTGTAAAAAAGTGCATAAATATGCATCTAAACCCCTGAAATAATGAGTATCATTAATACTTGTAATAAAAAAACAATAAATTAGTAAAAAAAAATAAATAAATAAAATAAATAAATAAATAAATAATGTTCGTTGTAGGAGTTTCGTTCGTTATAGCATTCTCAATTTTATAGGTAAAACCGTTCGTTATAGGAATATTCGTAGTAGGATCCGTTCGTTATAGCATACCCCACTGTATATATATATATATTTACATATATATATATATATACTGTATATATATATACAGGTTGACAATCCCTTACCCAAAATCCTTGGGGCCAGAGGAATTTCGGATTTCGTAATTTTTCGGTTTTCAGAATGGTTAATTATTTTTTTGTTTTAATGTGTATTAGCCCACCTGGGCATAGATCACTGACCCACATCAGGGCCTGGGGGGGGGGGGCGAAAATATAATAAAAATAATAATAATAATAATAATAATAATAATTCATAGGTCTAGGTTGTGTTTCTCACTTTTGATCTTTTTTTCAATCTTGTATTTCTTTATTATTATTATTTTTAGTTGTAGTAGTATTTTATTATTACAGTATTCCTGTATTATTGTTATTTTTATTAATTTTATTATTATATATTATTATTATTATTATTAATGTTATATTATTTTATTTTGGTGTATTTTTATTAAAATTTTTATTTACTATGAATAATTATTATTATTATAATTATTATTACTATTATATTTTCGCCCCCCAGGCCCTGATGTGGGTCAGTGATCTATGCCCGGGTGGGCTAATCCCTATTAAAAAAAAAAAATTGCCCCACAAAAAAAAACTTTTGGTTTTCAGAATTTCGGATAACCTTTTATGGTGCAGTCATTGCCTTAATCACAAATTTGAAAATGTACAACGGGCAATAGCTGAATAGGACCTCAATTTGTTAAGTGTTGCATGTGGTTAGCTTATTTAACCTGTTTGTATAACATGGCATATCACACCAACAAAGTTATTACCGTAAACCTGTGTCCTTGATAGCATTAATATTTCCAAGAATGAGTCAACATTTTTATATGATATGAAAACTAAAAGAACTGGGTTTTAGTACAACAATATTTTACACCCATACACACTCTTTTGGATTTTTAAAACAAATAAAAAACTCGTGACATTAAAAGGCAGCTGAATTCTTTAAATTAAATTTTTACAAGCAAAAAATTGAAGCAGCTTTGAAGATGAGGTAAATGTATTACTGTATACCTCTCCTCCACCCATGCAAGTTCTTATAAGAAGTCCATGAATAACAGCATCCAGCCAATATGCCTGTGCTTGATATAAGTTCCTGGTTCTGCCCTTGTTATCCTCATGCAAATACAGTACAGTATTAGTTAAATAGGAATTATACAGAATATATTGGGGAAAAGAAAGAGTGTAATAATTTCTTTGATAACATTTATGTACATGTCTCCAACACAAGACAGCACAGTAACCCAATATGTTATAAAAACTCAACAAAATATAGTTATTTCATGCAATAACTGATGTATAATAAGTGGTAATTGTTTAAAAGTGAAGGCAATTAACAACAATAAAAATAAGGCAATGATGGTAACCATCAACAAAAGTATGTAGCTTTGCTACTCTTGCAGTTGTGAGCTGGGAGCATCAGTAACTTCACCAGTACTTGTGAAATAATCCTCAGCATGAAAAATTTTTGGCGGTTGAAAGGAGAGCTGTGATGATGTTGGGGTTCTGATGGGAAGTTGATCTTTTTTCTGAAAAAATGGGACAAAAAGGTTTAATACAACCATAACACTTACAATATGACTTATACTTATATCAGGAAGACTTCTTAAATTGGATTCTGTATTAGAAGTGGTGCCAATACTGTATAGTATACATGTACTCCTCGACTTACGACCTACTCGACTTACGACAACCCGGACATACGACCGCCGTAGTTGTATAAAATAATTTTCAATTACGTATTTTCTAGTCCCGAAACGTTTCCGTCCTGTACGACAGTGTGGGCTGGGCCGCCTCGTGGTGTACAGCATCCACGCCGTAGCCTGCTCAGTTGGTGTTTGGCCGTTGTTGTTGTTAGTGATAGCGCTGTGAACTGAAAATTTTTTTGTTTCTAATTCCCTTTAAAATAGCTGGCAAGCGTAAAAGTGAGAGTTCTCGTGGTGCTGATAAGAAAAGGAGACAGTCAATTACTTTTGAGATGAAAATGAAAATACTAATGTAATATGAAAATGGAAAAACGGTAGCAACCATTACAAGCGACCTTGGCTTCTCTCACTCGACGATATCAACAATTTTGAAGGACAAGGCAGAGGCATTTGCTACTATTAATAAGGGGAAGCAAATGTTTGAAGAAATGGATCAAAATGTTGAGGGTTTTGCAAAAGTTGACGGACTGATCCAAGATGCACTTGCTTGCTACAGGGAGATTTACAATAAAAAGAAAAGGCAAACTGTGCAGTCTAAATTGGACATATATTTTAAGAAGTCCCCCACTGCTGTCTCCTCACGCCCCATCACTGCTGCCTCTTCACTCCCTAAAGATGATCCAATACCTTCAACATGCAAGTATGTTAGCCTGTCTGAAGAAAGCAAAATTGATGACCCACCCAGCCCTGTCTCCTCCTCTGCTTCATCCAATTAATGTAGTCTCCATGTTTAATTAAAAAATTGAGGCCCTGTGTGCATTCAGGTGACTACATTATTGATTACTTTTACTGTACCGTATTTAATTTTAGAATTTCTATGTATTATTTTCGCATTTTCGACTTACGACCTGGTCGTCGGTCCGGAACCCCGTTGCATGTCGAGGAGAGACTGCAGTCTAAATTAAATAAATGGGAACAAATGGTAACTCACAAAGAAAAGTGGTCTTATGACTGTTGTAAATCCATGACTAGAGCCTATGTCTGTCTCAGCTTGGCTTACACAAGTCTCCATCTTAACCAGGTCTTCTTTAACATGTTTCACTAATATTTCCAAATGGTCAATACTCTGGAATGTGCGTTGCAGTGCCTAAAATTAAAAAAAATTAAAACTTATGAATATTCTGAACAAAAACCTATCAAGATCGATACTGTCCACCTACTGTACTTCTATCAAGTTATATTAAATCCACAGTAAAGTCTGACCTTGAAGTTCTGTATGTAAAATTAAGTACGGTACTGTAAACATAATACAGTACCTTTCAATATTTCATTAAAGAAGTGAGTAACAATTTTTTGTAGGAAAAATACTGACACTCAAAATGTCATCAGACAGATAGTGATTAACTACAGAATTCTGGTGTTACCAACTGTACACACAATATATTATTCATCAAGATGTGGATGCATCTTCTTTACCTGATAATGTGAGTACACCTGAGGTACCAGGACATCTAGTGTGTGTCGACTCTCACTGCGAGTCTGAGTGAGAGAAAAAAAATGACAGTGCAGTACTTGCAACATTATTTACTAGAGACATGAAATGTTATTGTTATCATAGATGCAAATAAAATACTGTACAGTTGCCCACATGTGTTTGTATACACCTTAAAGGTTACTAAGCCCAAACTGGTCTGGTAACCCTGCTCAACTGCATGTCCAAACAAACAGTAAAGCTCAACTCTATCCCTTCCCCATGACTCCACATTCCTCCCTCCCTCCTAATTCGTGGCTCCACGATGTACAGTATTTCCATCACCCCACTGTTTGTTTCAGCCGTAATAACCATCTGACAGTTGATGGCCAGCAATTCAAAACAATGATGACGACCTCACTGTGTCTATACAGTCCTCTGGGATTGCCCATTACTCTTATGTATATATCCTTGTTATTAATCCTGTAATTGTCAATATTCATACAGTATTATTATTATTTTTTTTTTAATTTTATTACTTCATCATCAAAACTTATACTGTATAACAAGAAACACCCATGACAATATATCCCTGCAACTGTGATTTATCAAATACAAAAGAATTTAAATATTGCAAAAATGAGCTAAGAGGGTGGCTATGTATTTAGAGTATTGGTGAAGCTTTGCATAAAGGTACGCTGAGATGGTTTTGGTATATGGGTCTTTAGGTGCATGAATCTAATTGTTGTTGGGACGAGAATGACCTGGTGAGAGGAAATAAGAAATGACATTAGTTAAGAACCTGATGAGAAAAGGATACGGGTAACTGTGGCTGTAAAACATTGATGATGCTGTGTTAGTGAAACAAACCAAACATTACCAATATGTTAGAGGAACAAACCAAACATTACAGGAACCTACTGTATGGAAGAATGCCATTACAAAATCATGTTAACCATGAGTATCTTAAATGCAAGAGGCAGGAAACAGTAATAATTGTGGTTGTAAATAATAGTAATTTGTGGAAATTTACTGTTTGTTACCCCACAAGAGAATTTTGGAAGCTTGATGCGTCACTCAAGGTGGAGATATAAAATTTGTACTTTCGAAGCATTTCAACTTTATAATGATGAATTCTTGAGGTTTGACTGTACAGTACACTATATTTATTTTTGTCAGCCAAGAACCTTTGCCAATACATTATTACATTTCATTTAGTATAGAGTAAATTGTAGATAACTTATGGGGTTATCTTGTCAGACAGGAACCCCATTTTCCCATAGGGCCTTTGACTCCCCTTATGCAGAAGCATCACCCATGGGGTTCCAGGAATATAACCCCTGCAAACAGTGAAATGTTACTGCACTGCATTTCACAGAACACTGCAGAAAAATCTAAATAACTTACTATGGCTTCAAGTTTCAATTCAACCATCAAATCACTGAATAAAGATAATGTAAATCAACTTTGACTTATGCTCACTCTTTCAAGAAGACTTCCATATTCTTCTAATCTCGTCAACATCGACTCCAGTTCATGATCAAGAGCGGCTCTCTGTAAAAAATAATAATAAGAAGAATATTAAAAATAACAATAAACACAGTAATAATAATAACAACAATACTTGTAGTACATTAATATTTTTTCTTTGTTACCGTACTAGCCTTTTCCTACTGTAATACTGTACAGGGTAACTGGAGACAAGGGGAAAATAACTGTATTCCTGCCTTCAATGTCATTCATTCACTCTTACTACTGTATAGACATACAGTACTGTATTCTCCTATGTTATTATATTCCCATTCAACAATAAGGTTCTAAGACGTATTATTTTACAAAATGTAATGAAGTGGAACCTCACTACAGCACTTTTTGACCCGAATGGGCAGTTTTTCACTTTTGAGGGCCTAAGTGAATGCTCCAACTCAAAGTATATTCAGTATGTCTCCTACATCATTTCTTGTATATTTATCAGTTCATGTTTTACAATTGTCAATTCAGATTGCAAAATGTCATTTATCAGCCTTCACCACCAACTGAAAATACTGGGTTACTTACATTGGCATGAACCTGACTGTCTGATTGCCACCCATTCTCATTTCCAAGTGTTTGCGCGGTGAAAGTATCATAACCAAACAGGTGTGTTATTGCGTAAAGCTCCACTATCTGCTGATATTATTAGGAAAAGTTTATCTAGCAATCAACCCTACCAGTGTTCGGTAAATTTTTACTTTAGGACATGAGTCCCTAGGAGTTGACCAATACGTTTTTCCAGTGTATTTTGGTGTGTTTTAAATGAATCTCACCTTTATTTTTCGTGGAAAGTGCTAGTTTTTGCCCCCCCCCCCCCACCCCAACAATAATGGGGGAGAGCCTGGGAAATCGGGGTTTTTGGGTGGGGGAGAAAACGAAAATGAGTCATCTGACCTAACAAAACCTAATCTAACTCCTAGCCAGGGGCTACACCCCCGGACCCCCGGAAGGTCTAACCTGACCCCTAGCCAGGAGCTCTGCCTCCAGACCCCTGGTAGGCCTAGCTTAAACTAACCTTAATGTTTCATTAGTTAAAAACTTTGCGGCGCGTCATGTCCGAAAGTACAATACCTTAGTTAGAAGTGGAAGGACCAGGGATACGTAAGAATTGGATAGAATAATCGTACAATTGAAATCGTACCCAGGCTGCTTCCTTTGAAAAAAATCAAATGTGATTGGTCGAAAAAAAATTGGCGTGATGATATCGATACCTCATTGGTCACGACTGGATGACGTCAGTCAATATTGCTCATGCATGATGTGCTGATAACATCTCCTCACAGACGAAGACTGAAAACTACTTAAAATCAATTAGATTCAATTGCGTCGCTATTATCCATTTCCGCAATGTATATATGGGGGGTTCAAAATGCCCAGACTAGCGAGATCTAAATGATTCAGTAGTTTATAATACCCAGTATTCTTAAGAAGTAAGGTAACTTATCCCCACCTACTCGTGCAAGGTTAGCTAAGGTTTGTTTGGTATTATTTTTTAGCATTTTACCCCATTCATTCATAAACAGTGGTGTTACTACGTCTGGAGGCGCGGGTTACCATGGGGTGTAGGAACACATTTCCACAACTGTACCATAAAGTATGTAGACTAGCTTTCTCTGTGCACAAGAAAGATGTTTTATTCTACCTATTACATACAAATAGAAGACATTGAAACACGACCACATAACCCTGCACCAGTAACCCCCCAAAACGTATAGTAGAGTACTGACTTGTGGTGAAGCATCAACTTCACAATAGGAGGCGTAATCATCTGCAGTTTGTCTCAGTAACTGCTCTCTCTTATCTGTATCATAATCACCAGACATTGTTAACTTTAAACTATTAAGGTCAAATGCCTTCTCCCACCCACGGACGAGTTATGTTGTATTTATCAGCTGATTTTTGTCACGTTTTCTTCTCCACTGTTAACTTTCAAAGAAAACGTTTATTGAACATAACATATTTAAGTAACATGTAAAACGTCTCATGATCTTAGAAAGGTTATTCATTAAAGGTCAACGCCACTGCAATTATGGTGAATAATAATAATAATAATAATAATAATAATAATAATAATTATTTAGTAAATTTCAGAATTGTAATTAGATAAGCTTGTAGTTATATATAAACTATGCATACTTCACCCGATAGAGAGGGTCCTTTGGCGAGGCTCAGGGTTGCTCTCTGCAGGGGTCAAGTGGCTCAGGGTTGCTCTCTGCAGGGGTCAAGTGGCTCAGGGTTGCCCTCTGCAGGGGTCAAGTGGCTCAGGGTTGCTCTCTGCAGGGGTCATAGAGGCTTAGGGTTGCTCTCTGCTCAGGGTTGCTCTCTGCAGTCATAGAGGCTCAGGGTTGCAGGGGCTCAGGGTTGCTCTCTGCAGGGTCAAGTGGCTCAGGAATCAGTTGCTCTCTGCAGGGGTCCAAGGTTCTCTGCAGGGTCTCAGGGTTGCTCTCTTCAGGGTCATAGAGGCTCAGGGTTGCTCTCTGCAGGGGTCATAGAGGCTCAGGGTTGCTCTCTTCAGGGTCATAGAGGCTCAGGGGCAGGGGTCTGGCTCAGGGTTGCTCTCTGCAGGGGTCAAGTGGCTCAGGGTTGCTCTCTGCAGGGGTCAAGTGGCTCAGGGTTGCTCTCTGCAGGGGTCAAGTGGCTCAGGGTTGCTCTCTGCAGAGGGGTCAAGTGGCTCAGGGTTGCTCTCTGCTCTCTGCAGGGGTCAAGTGGCTCAGGGTTGCTCTCTGCAGGGGTCAAGTGGCTCAGGGTTGCTCTCTGCAGGGGTCAAGTGGCTCAGGGTTGCTCTCTGCAGGGGTCAAGTGGCTCAGGGTTGCTCTCTGCAGGGGTCAAGTGGATTGGAAGTGTTTGAGAAGTTCAACGCAGTTCATTGTTTATGAAAAGTTTTGTTCGAGTTGAAACTACTCACACACAACTCAATTAAAAATGTGTCTTTTTAATTTAAATACCGTTATACATGATTGTTTCTGTGTTTTAGTGTACGCAATAAAACTAATATATCAGAATTCAATGGCAGGAGGATGGTTACCATGGTAACATCTGCTGGGATGATGTTTGTAAACAAAAGTTTGTGTTGATGTCCCGTGTGTTGGTGAGAGTGTGTGGTCAAACCCCGTGTAAAGTGAAGGAGGACAAGACAACGATAACACAACTAGGAAGGCAACTAGTTCTTGAATACGTAAATGTCAAATAAGAGTTATTGGTAAAGGTGGAACAGATGGCTAACCTAACAAACTTTGATATCTGGTACCAATGAAAGCAACTTTCTTAAAGTGGCAGGGTGGAATTTTACATATCAGTTGTTGCACTGAAACAAACAAAGAGCAGATGACAAGACTGAATATTTACAGTAAATAATTAATTTCTTTGCAGACAAAGAACAGTGTCATATGATCAGTTTTTCACCTTGTTTTACTCATCAATTTCCCTCATCTTTCATGCCTTAATTGTAGATAGAGGAAAACTAGAAAAAAAATTCTACTAATTAAAATAAAATGTTGCATCATTTTTATTACTTACTATCATCCTAGAGGAGGCACACACCATGTAAATGGTGTCATCTCTGGTCACCCTGCAAAATATGGTGAGTTTAGTACACGAGGTAGCTGCTGAGAATAGTGGGAGGCCAGAGTCACTACCAAGATCAGAGAAGTTACCAAGGACTATTTCCAGCTTGAAAGTCATATACACTAATACTGACAGTTTCCCTGATAAGAGAACAGGAGAATTGACCCGGAGGAATGTGAGTTCAATATACTGTGATGAATATGACTCATTTACAAACCTTTCTCTGGCAAGTAAAAGTAAAGAACATTATGGAAAAAAAATTAATTAAATCAAACAGCTCCTTCTGGTGTTAGCTGTCTGCTCCACTATTAGCAAAATGCATATGATAATTGGGTTAGATTAGGTGAGTTTAGTGCATGAAATTTTTCATATGTGATTAATGCCTTACTTTTATGATAACTGACGTCCATTGTCACTTCATAAGGAGACTTGCAATATGGTCCCTGTTTCTGAAGTAACAGATACAGTAGTATTTAGTACAGTATTCCCATAAGAAAAAATTACCAAAAGTGGCAGTATATACTGTTTATATAATTGTAAACTTTCACCAAAACATCACTAAATTATATACTGTATGTATGTCTGATTTTAACTGGAATGAAGCATTGAGCAATGTGCCTTCAAGTCTGTTAGTACGTGTAGTTAGTGGTTCATTCCTGTTAAAATCAGACATAGTCAACTGATGAATTTTTCTTAACTACCCTACTGGTCCAAGGGTGTGGAGAACATGGCCTACTTGATACTTCTTAGTTAAAGTCAGAGTAATTTTGTTGTTTTACTTCTGGATTTGTCTTCTATAAATTAATACAAACCATCTTAGTGATAGTCCTAAAGAAAAGCACAATTACCCTGTAATATAAGTTATTAAATTATACCACTTCCATAAGATTATGTCCAACTTTCAAGATTATGAAGTTGAATATGTAGCAGAGAACGAGATGAAACACCTTGCTGAATTACTGCCTGTGTCAACTGTTTCTTAATAACTGCCATTCCTGGCAATGAACCATACATCATGTCAAGAATTCAGGGGAATGCAAGGCGCCTTGTATCAAACACTGTTGAAACCTTAACAGGGAAATTTTTTCCTGGTGTTTCATTCAGTCAACTTGGTGACAGTTCATTTGGTAAGTCTTGGTTATTGGTAGTATTGTACTGTATATGAACTTTTGAACTGTTGCCTGCTGGTAACAGCAGTGTATGTGCATGTCTGGCCTGTTGGTGCATATCTTGGTTGTAGGTAGACAGCATCTGCATGCCTTAGCTGTAACCTGTAGGTCTACAATATGTGCATGCTTGGGTTGTAGGTAGACAATATGTATATGCTTGGGCTCCAGGTAGATAATACAGTATGTACAGTTGTCCACAGGATATTAGTTAAGTTCCGGACCATAATTAGCTACAATTATTTTGATGTGTTTAGTAATTTGGTTCTCGTTATAGTACTTAATCGTATTTTAACTGCCAAAGATGAATAATAGTAATAAGACATATGATTTACTGTTTATTATTAAATCCATTACTGTATTTATTTTCAGGAAATGAGGTAGTTTCAAGTCTCCCTCTCCAGATGGTTATATATTTTTCAGCACTCTTCTTTCCATGTTGGTTTATAACTTCACTGGTCATGATGATCTTAAAGGTAAGTATTGTATTGTACTGTACTTGAATTGTAATAAAAGTTACATTTTTGAAAGGCAACATATAAGACTCCTAGGTCAATCTTCAATATCTTATTACAGTCTCTCAGATTAGATGAAATATATGATGTACGAAAGAATGAACCAGTTAGATGATGACTCATAATAAGACGTAGTGTAATAGTAAACCAGGATGGTTCTTGTTATAACTGAAGACCTACTTAGTACTAGTACAGTACATAAAATTATTTCTTCATACTGTACTTATAAGTACTGTACAGTATATAAATTTGCACACACAAATGCCTCCTCAAATAGTCTCTCTACTTGTACAGTACCTACGGTACAGTCTGAGCCAAAAGTTAAGTTGCGAGACGGTCGACACCTTAACTTTTGATGGAAATAGTTGCATCCATGCTATAGTGTGGCTTGGTCAGCCATAAACTGAGTTGTATATCTGGCAGCGAAGATGGCAGGGCTTAGACAAAGCAAGCATATTTCACCCGCATCTGTTACCATATGAGCGCCATACTAGGGGGATACAGTATTCTTTTGTATTGTCCCCCTGGAGTGGAGTCAGGGGAATTGGAATTCTACAAAGTACTACAGTACTGTACTAGTGGGTTGGTAAGCATTAATTGCTTTCATATCATGTCATTAAAAATGTAGTAAAAGCTATTTTTTCAGCTTACAAATGAAGGAAGCAACTTAACTTTTGGCACAAACTGTACTTACCTCTCAGTTTTTTCATGTTATTTTTTTATATCTTATCCAATCCCAATAAAGAGTTAACTAGATTGTGGAAGTAGAGAATACATTTTGAATATGCATTACCTGTACTGTACTGTAATAAGTGTTACCCAGTGGCGTGTAATCCTAAGAAGTAAAGTAAGCATTGCTTACCCTATAAGATCTTTTTGCTTAGTTAACGTACAGTATTATTTAATTGAATACTATAGTATTCTCCAATTTTTTTTATTTAAGCCTTGGTGAATTTAAACCTCCTGTAATAGGAATCTGATTTTATTCAGCTCTATGAAGACCCCATACGCAAGTGATTAAATAGAAACTTCATTTATGCTATGTTAGATATCAAAAAAGTTGAAGACTGCTAAAAGCTACAATATGTTCTTCACAGTTTCAGCACATGTCAAATGTTTACCAGTTTGTTCTGGTTGCTATTTATGTTGCTGTACCCCTAATTGAAGTGATCCGGCTCTACATAGGACATGTTGGGAATCTTGAAGAAAAGGTTAGTGTTTTTGAGTCATTAAAGAAAGTGTAGAGTATGGTACTGCATAGTATTGGCAAAGTTTTGCATAAGGGAGGCTGAAATGGATTGGGCATGTGGAGAGAATGGATGAGACCATCTGGGTGAAGAGATGCTTTACTGTAAAGTCAAAATATGGAGGCACAGGAGAGCTAGGGGCAGGCCAAGAATGATATGGGGAGTGTTTGTAGGAAATAACATTAGAGTTAAGAACTTGAGAAGAGAGACTGCAAGAGACCATGCAGCATGAAAAGCTGCCAACAGATTACTGTGCCAAACCCGTGCAAGTGTGGAAAATGGCCATAGAACATTAATGATTATTTTTTGTGCATTCATGTGTGTGTGCATGCTTATGAGAGAAGTAGGGCCAACAGTAGTGAACAATGAAAAAGAGTACTGTACAGTACTCCCTCGCTTTAAATGAGAAACTCGTTCCTAAAAAATGGCATTAAATTGAACCTCATTTATCATGGTACAAAGGGGGATGTGTTCCAGACCTGGTCCCTAGACCCTGATACCAAACTACTTTTGCTCCAACTGACACACCATAAATAAATGTCAGAAAATATGTCTTATAAGGAGAGAACAATCTGTATCCACAGCATATACAAATTGGTGGTGTCTTGGAGTATTTTAGTGTATGTTGGAGTAATGCTTGTGTTGGAGCTGGAACACTGTGTGTTGGAGTGCTATATGTGTTAGAGTACTGTGTGTGTGTGTGTTGGAGTACTGTGTGTGTGTGTTGGAGTACTGTGTGTGTGTGTGTGTGTTGGAGTACTGTGTGTGTGTGTGTGTGTGTTGGAGTACTGTGTGTGTTGGAGTGCTGTGTGTGTTGGAGTACTGTGTGTGTGTGTGTGTGTGTGTGCACTGGTTGAGTGCTCTGTGTGTGTGTGTGTGAGGTGCTGCTGTGTGTGTGTGTTGGAGTGCTGTGTGTGTGTGTGTGTGAGAGTGCTGTGTGTGTGTGTGTGTGTTGGAGTGTGTGTGTGTGTGTGTGTGGAGTGCTGTGTGTGTGTGTGTGTGTGTGTGTGTGTTGGAGTGCTGTGTGTGTGTGTGTGTGTGTGTGTGTGTGTGTGTGTGTGTGTGTGTGTGTGTGTGTGTTGGAGTGCTGTGTGTGTGTGTGTGTGTGTGTGTGTGTGTGTGTGTGTGTGTGTGTGTGTGTGTGTGTGTGTGTGTGTGGAGTGCTGTGTGTGTGTGTGTGTGTGTGTGTTGATGTGCTGTGTGTATTGGAGTACAGTACTGTACTGTGTGTTGGTATATTACTTGTGTTGGAGTACTGTGTGTATATGTGCTGGAGTACTGTGTGTACCAGTATGTGTGTTGGAGTACTGTGTGTACCAGTATGTGTGTTGGAGTACTGTGTGTACCAGTATGTGTGTTGGAGTACTGTGTGTATGTATGCTGGAGTACTGCGTGTGCTGGAATCTTGTGTGTGTTGGAATACTGTGTGTGACTTGTATTTGGTGGGAGTTCCCATGATACAATCTTCCTAAGAGCAATGAGACGTTTACCTTGTTCTTGTTAAGTCGTTTAACTCTCAACTACACCATTCATATAGAATTTTTGGTATTAAAGATCAGTCATTTAACATTGAATTCATTTATAATGAAGTTTAAAGTGAGGGAGTACTGTACTGTATAACTATTTATAAAAATTCTTTTTGCAGGTCCCAGAGTTGGCTGGCAGCTGGTTATTAAGTCTTCTCCTACAGTTACCACTACTTCTTTTCTTAGTCTTAGTGCCTGGCACTTGGCCATTACCAATGGATTATGCTATCAATTGTATTTTTCTATTTTTTGTAATTTTACATCTAATTTTTGGCTACCGTGCAATCAAAATTACAGCTGCTCATCAAGCACGATTATATCACATGTATTTAGTAATGAGACAGATGCAAGATGAAGAATGACTTTTCCTGGAAGTAAAATCGGTAATCAATACTGTAAACTGTACGTATAACTTTGTTAAACTTTTCTTCTCAATTTATTTTGCATTTGCTATTGTTTCTCAGGCTGTAAAGGGTTAGTGACTGTATTAGCCATTATCCTTTTCTGGTGAATCATTACAAAATTATTTCAAACACAGTACCCTGTACAGTTACTTGCTTAATTTATCCCATACCTGAAGTCCCTTCATACCATACAATCTCTCCTCATATCCCCAAATTCTCTTGTAAAAATATAAATTAGTCAAAACATTGCTAAAAAATTCTACATGCTGATTTGACATCTGATAGCTTTACATTATTAAAATACAAATGAAAACTTGAGTGATCTTCAATAAATTTTCATTTTTTACATAGTTAAAATGAGAATTGACAAACAAAAATTATGTTTCGAAATATGATGAGCAGGACAGAAGGATATATACCCTGTACTGTACTAAGTCCAGGAACCAAGCAAAGTCAGAGGGTAGAAGGGCTGAAAAAGAGTTTCAGAGACAGATTGCAAGTGAGGTCAAGTCAAACCCAAAGGCTTTCTACCATTATGAAAAGTGGAAATTAAAGACACATGGGTGTGTTAGATCGGAGGCTTGAATTTTTTTTTTTTTTTTTTTTTTATGGGGATTAGCCCACCCGAGTGTGTAAATAGATTATTAAGTCCCAATGTCTTACTAACTGAAACCCTGACTGGTTGTTTTTATATCTACAGTAAACCCTCGATAACTCATCACATAGTATAGGGCTCTGGCCTTGCCAAGATCCCAAATTCTGACTTATTGAGGCACTTCTCCCGCTACAAAAGTACAATAAAAAATTATCGACCCATATATGTGTACATGTAATAACTAAATGTAAAAAAGTAACACTTAGCAGCAAACAGGTGAAGAATGATGCATCACAGATGCATGGTAGGTGACACAGATGCATGGTAGGTGACACAGAGGCATTGTAGGTGACACAGAGGCATGGTAGGTGACACAGAGGCATTGTAGGTGACACAGAGGCATTGTAGGTGACACAGATGCATGGTAGGTGACACAGATGCATGGTAAGTAACACAGAGGCATGGTAGGTGCCACAGGCATGGTGGTGACACAGAGGCATGGTAGGGTGACACAGAGGCAGACACAGATGCATGGTAGGTGACACAGGCATGGTAGGTGACACAGAGGCATTGTAGGTAACACAGAGGCATGGTAGGTGCCACAGGCATGGTAGGTGACAGAGGCATGGTAAGTAACACAGAGGCATGGCATGGTAGGTGACACAGAGGCATGGTAGGTGACACAGAGGCATGGTAGGTGACACAGAGGCATGGTAGGTGATGCAGGTGGCAAGATATGCTGAGATTTTCTCACATAATTTTATATATCTCAGCATTTCCTGAGTAATACATTCTGAGACCATATCCATGCCGAGTTATATGAAATTCCAAGGTATCAAATGCTGAGTTATCGAGGGTTTTATATGTCATCATTAATTTGTCTCGTAGAAATAGAAAATACAGTAAACTGTAAAATAAATTGACTTGCACCAAGATGTCTTTTTAATTCCAACCCTGCTATTATGTCACATGCATTATTTTATTAGTTTATGTTTCTGACTGGCCTAAACTGAAATACACTACAGTACATTGTGAATGTACTGTACTGTAAATTGAAAATAAATCTATGTGCCTAAAGATTGTTTCATTCTACAGTGGAGTACTTCCTCATGTACCAAGATTAACATTGACATTTATTCTGGTAGGTGCTTCTCATAACTATGAAAAATAATGTAAATGTAGCAAAAAATAGATGCATTCACAGATTACTTTACTCCTCTTTTGTTTCCATTGTGAAGCTGTGCGGTGAGTGTATAGAAGTTAGAGGGTCCGCAGTCTGGAGCACCGTTGCTAAGGACGCTGCTGCATTGCTAAGGCTTTTGATATTGCTGTTTATATGTGTACAATTTTAAGTTTTAATGTTACAATGTACAGTACATTGTATAGTTAAAGTTACTTTTAAAGGTGAATCAAGTGATGTGAACATTGGCTTTACAGCCAGTTACAGAGGATTTACTTTAGATTTAGTTCATTTTAGACATGGTGATCCAAATGACAGAGCAAATTCCTTATCTGGTAACCCCCAGGGCCCAAGTATGCCAGATAAATGGTCTCATACCAGTATACAGTATCCAGTAATTGGGGGTGAGGGATGTCTAGTTTAGTCAAAAGTCAAGAGTATCCAAAATACAGAAAATAATGCATTACACATGTAAAGTAAGCATAATAAATCTATTCTTGATATTAACCAAATAAATTATTAATACACGTACTAGATACATAGTAATAAGTATAAAATTTAAAATACTGTATTGCATTTTGCCTAAAATTATTTAACAGCAGCTCCTAGTGGCATGGAAGTAGTAAAGAGCTGTGAAGTCATTTGAATGTGGTAGAAGTGACTCTGAGGAATACATGTGTAAACAGTCTACTACAGTGCCTCCATTTTTATACTTTCAAGCTTTTCTATTATTTTGTTAACTTATCTGTAACAGTTTTCCCTTTCCCTAACTCTTTCCTTTCTTAGAACCCATTTTAAACATTTTATAGAAAGTAAAAATTTTGAAAAAATACAAAGACTTGTGAACATTTGCTCAGAGCACCTCACCACGTGACAGATTAACACCAACTGACACCATGTGGTCGCTATAACCGCTAGCTAGTCTGGATTAAACAAGATCCAGACATTTGAGGGTTCTCTGTATACAGGTGAATAATGCTCATTGAACTTTCCTCTATAACTTTTTTTTTATGGATTTAGCCCACCAGGGCACAGGTCAATGACCCACATCAGGGCCTGAGGCCGAAATTATAATAATAGTAATAATAATATTAATAATAAAAATTAATAAAAAAAATAAGAATTAATATTAAATAAAAATATAATACAGGTATAATTTAATAATATTAATATTAAAGGACCATAAATAAAAAGAAAAAAGATTAATAGTGAGAAATGACATGTATATTGTGTTGTCAAAGTAAGAGAAACAATTGAGACCCTGCAATTGTGTGTAAATGAGGCAGAAAGTCAGATCAGTAACCTGGGACATGGTCACAATTTTTGTGATGCCATATGGCAGCAGGGCCTACCATTAGGCAATACATTATGTTTCCAATATCTTCCTAGGCGGTAATACCTCCCTGTTTGGTAGCTGCCTACTACCTATGGTGTCTTTTGAAAAAAATTTCTTAAGTGTGCATTACTAGTTTATTAAATCTTGTTATTTAATGAATCTGGGATTTGGAAACATCAATCAGTCTTTACATGTAGCTTTTATTACAATTTTTTTTTATATTGCATACATTTTTTTTATATCAAAATCATATATGTGACTTTTCTCTTTTAAAACTACTCAGCTCTGTACTTAAAGTCTACTCAAATTAAATCACAATTCTGTTTATGCGATCATGGTGACAGTGAAATACTAGCTGTAAATATCTTCTAACATGCACACACAGAAAGGCAGACAAAATCAACCAAGTATAAAATTGAATTTGGAGACAATTTCCCTCCATCATAAAGAAAGCAGCATTGGAATTATAGATATGTAATAGTGCCAAGCAATCTGTGTTTTCAAGCTTAACTGCATTTAACATCAGAATCTACTGTATAGCACTGCAACACTAAATGAAGCACTGTATAGTCTAATAAAAGATTATTATAATAGTGTTCACTTACCTCCTAAGACCCAAGCCTCTTAATATTTGTGATCCCCAGTCACAGGGAAAGTAGAGATGTTTAATGATTATTAATCAAGAGAAGAAAAATAGAAAATATTTAGCGCAGGTAGAGTTGACATAAGATAATGTATGCTCCCCATACAAAAAGGAACAAAGCTCTGGTTGCTGGTAAAAGGCTAGAAATAAAAGTCCCCTGGGTTGGGAGCATGCAGGCTATTTTTATGTCAGCATTTATATATGAGTGGCTGAGCAGGTAATGCATGAGGGCTTGGTGCTTAAGAATATAAATATATTTCTACTGTTAAAAATTCATGACTATCAAAGATATCATAAGTGACAAGGAAAAGTGGTTTGGAACTTCCTGGTGAAATTCAATACAGTACTGTATTATGTCAATTAAACACCAAGATTTCAAGAATGCCAAAATAATACTAACTTAAAACTCAGTAATAACAAAACCGCTGTAATTAAAGTGTAAATAATAAAAATATAATGATAGAAGAAATGACAGCCTCTATTAATCTGTTGACATATATCTTCTACTTTAGAACAGTTGACCAATTGCAGTCCTGTACTTAAAATGACCAGAGTCCAAACACTGTAAAGTACAACTGGCCTAATGCTCCAATATATGAAACTTGGTCAAATTGTTACTACTGTACAGTGACCCCTCGGTTAACGAACTCGATCCGTTCCAGAAGGTCGTTCGTTAACCGAAACCATTGTTTCAATGGGTTTTTGGGTAATTGGTTCCAGCTCACCGAAAATTTCCTAAATTCAACAAAAATGGGAGAAAAGTTCACTTACTTTGAGGTGTGTTTGTAGAAGGCTCCTGGATGATGATGATGATGGGATTTAGAATGGGGGTGGAGGAGAAGGAAGAAGAGAAGGCATTGGGGTGGAAGAGAAGTCACCCCTTGGCGCCATTTCACCCATAAAATTTTAGCTCTCTTGGTGTAATTCAAGATTATTTTCTTTAAATCAACACTGCACTGAATTATATATTGTCAAAATGTAAAATATATTTCAAAATGACCAATAATTTGCTTGGAAACACAGAAAAAAGTGTTTAGTTGAAGAGAGTCTCAAGCAAGATGTTACCTCCAGTGAAAACAGAGAGACTAACACCTGTTTGCTGTGTTAAGAGGCTGGATGCCGCGCATTAAACTAGTCACTTTACCTTCAATTATGTTCAATAATCGTTAAAATGACTAAAAAATTGAATATTAAACTTTTAAAATTATTGAATAGTATAAACTTCTTGATATTTACTAAAATAGTAAGGAATTTAAGCCCTAGAACCGATTAATGTATTGGCGGACTGATACTAAAGCTGGTTGCCCGGTCAGTGCAAGCGAAAACATGTTGAGGTCGGTTCGTAAGAAATTCGTTAACCGAATTTTTGTTCGTTAACCGAATTGAAGATCCTTATGGAAGGCAGTTCGTTAACCGAAATTTCGTTAACCGAGGCGTTCGTTAAACGAGGGGTCACTGTATTTGTAATTAATATTTGCCGATTGGTGATTTATGCCTGCTTATGGTATGGAAACATGGTAGTTTCTTTTAGAAAATAAGAGTTAAATAATGAAAGATGCCATCATAATACAGTATGTCTACTTATCTTCCACTCTAGATTTGAAAATGTCCTAAGACCATACAAATGTTTCTGAAGTACTTTTAGAAATTAACAAATTATTGCCAATGAAAACCAATAAATAAAGTGTGAAGTTTACATATAGACAGCAGTAAAAGTATTAAATGTCTGAATGATAGGAACATTACAATTCCCTAAATACATGTTTTATACCTGCTCATTTGTTATACTATACAGTAATTATATTTCTGCCATAGCTCATGTCAATGACAAAATATTGCTTTCCAATTCAAAGCTAATTAATATAATAACAGCAGTGCCACTTATTTCAAGATAATTATTAGTACTGTACAAGTAGTGGTGCATACAAAGTACACTGTCATGCACTTCACATGCCACCTGGAGACGATAGGAGAGGGGTGGTTTAAAAATTAAGGGGGAGGTTGCCAGACCACTTGGTCACTACTGTGTTCAATTCCAGCTTTCTACCTCAAACGCTGCCTGAGATATTGCCTTGACAAGCAGGCAGAAAAATAAATAAATAAAATAAAATAAAGCCAAAGTTCTTGGTCACTATGATACATATTCAAATTATATTTTCCTAAAAAGTGCCTGAATGAGCAAGAAAACAAATATATGGAGCAACTATGAGTACTGAATACCCCCTTACACACTTTAATCAAAACCTAGAGATAAAAGAGGAGCAGTGTGCAGTACTACAATAATTAATCTTAACCTGTATGTGACAAGTGATGTTAGGCCTACATAACTAAATGACATCTTGGGCTTGAGTATAAGTCAGTGTCGGGACACACCCTTACGTGTACAGTACCTCCCTTGGTGCATCATAAAGGAAAGTACTGCATACATAAAACCTATTTGTGTATAGTACTTTCTGTCTTTAAAATTGATAAACATGTACAATGGATTTTGGGCTATCTATACTACGAGACATAAAACGATAAGGAAAAAATTTAATTTTCTTTAATGCCATCACTTGAAAAAAAAAAGTTCTTTATCTCAAAATTCATAAGCAGATCAAGTTGATTGATACTACAGTACTATACACCACTTAGCAGAAATCAAAGGAAGGATTACAATATGACTGAACTACTTCAGAAAGAATGCTGAATCAGTTATGGCCCAGGCACAGATAACAGCAAATTGTAGGCGCTTCCAATTTTTTTGAGACAATCTAAGAATTGCATTTCTTCCTACTCATACCACTTAAATTAGCATTATCAGTGCATTTACTGTATTACTGTTCAAACTCCTTTAATGTGACACCCTGCAGTCCAGCAACTTCTGTGGTCTGGCATGATTTGTGATTGGTTGTCTTAGCATCAGTTAGTGAACTGCTTGGCAAAGGTGGCATTCGTGTTCCCTACACCCAAACAAAGTTTGTTATATCAGCCAGTCGGAATTCTGCGTTCTGCACTTTCATTTAACTCTATTTTCCCATTTAATATTTAATATGTGCCATAGCAGGCACATTTTTTTTAAAAAACTATTAATACATATCATAAATTTCTTTTTTCTTTACAAACCCACTAGGTATTAAGATACTGAAATATAAATTTAAAGATATTTCGCCTGGTTAATGGCAACTCCTTGTTGACAAGTTCACCTTCTTGATGGGCAGATTATAACAATATAATTTACCTCTTTTGTACAGTAATGTTAATGTCTTGAATTAAATGTACTTAATATTTTTTTGGGTCCCTAGGAGTGCATCTTCAAGTGAATGGATTTAAATAATTTTACTTTTATTATCTTGTACTGTAGTGTACTGCATTTCTATTTTATGTATTGACAGAGTAGAGATTCAATAGGTCAAGTTGTTTTAAGGTGCAGGGCTCAAGAACTTGCACAGCCAACAAGTAAGTAAACATTCTCTAGTTTCATTTCATTTAACCTTCAGCCTTCACTACTTGCAAGACAAATCATTGCAATACCAATGTTAGACATGTTACAATACCACTGCTAGACATATCATTACTACACCAAAGCCATACAGAAGGAATACATATACCCTTACAGGTAATGTCTGCGATTAGTTTACAACCAACTTATTAAAAAGTATTCTCACAGTTGCTGTGGAGAATTGAAGTACTGCATATAATACAGTCATAAACAATTATGTAAATTGTGTTGCTGGCACCATATAAAGTACAATATACTAAAGAATAAAAGTTTGGTACATTTTCCATGAAATTAATTGGGAGCTCTTGAGTAGCTTATCTGCATTCCAGTTTATATACTGTAATGTACTATTTGTAGGAGCTGTGCTACCCTCCATCACATGGACAATATTTATAACATTTACAGAACCCTAGAAAGTTCACATCTAATATCAAGGACACGAAACACAAACAAACTTGTCTGGCAATTTTTCTCACAAGTTTGTTAAAGATTTAACTACATTGCTTGTGAAGAAGAATACTGTACTGTACTGTATAGCCATGAAATCCCTACCACAGTATTTGAGAATTATTGCAATATTCACAAGTTTGTCTCTTGATCAAAAATAATGTTTACTGTAATCCTGCTTTTTAATCTGATCTGCATTTCCGATTATCCAATAAACTAGAGAAACTGATGGCATTCACATTGAAAAATATTAAAATGTTCTTCCAGGATCACCACAGCATTTAAAATTCTCACACATTCACCAACACTTTTGTACACATTGACATCAGTGGTAATTTTAGACTTGCCAGGAGTCAAGAGTCTAAACCATAAAAGCAATCTTGTATTTTTGGTGTTCTCTAGTTTACTGTGAATCCTAAAGATTTATTATGTCCTGCATATTGATTGTATTAAGTCACTCCATTTTTGTATGAGACACTCGGCGTACCATTAACATAGAGTTGACCCTTGTTATTCGCGGGATTTAGGTTAGGTCCCACGAAGTGTCAAATTCCGAGAGTGGTATTAGCAGCCATATTACTGTTTGTTTCTGGTATGTGTCACCCATAAACACAACCATACATGGTATGTATTCGGGATGTTTTTCTTTAAATACACGTACAATGGTGAAAACATCAATAAAAAATTTCATCGTACAATATACTACAGTGAAACTTCTATTTAACAGACTATGTATATGGAAAGGAAAGTCCATTACGCTGAGGGTCTGTCAGATGTGAAATCTTCATCTAATGAATTACAGTACAGCTCCTCCCCGACTTATGACGGGGCTAGGGACCCAAATCCAGGTCGTAAGTCGAAATGGTCCTAAGTCGGAAATGCTTAAATAATGCATAGATAAAATGGGTCTCTTTTTCTTTTCAGCACCACAAAACACTCACTTTTAAGCTTGCCAGCCATTTTAAAGTGAATTACAAAAGAAAATTTTGTCTGTGTACTGACTTTGGGACTCGAAAATACGTAATTTGACCAAATTTTAGTACGACTGAGGCAGGTCGTAAGTGCGGGTGGTCGTAAGTTGAGTAGGTCATAAGTCGGGGAGGAGCTGTATATAGATATGAAAAACCATTACATACGAAACCCCCATGCAATGGACGACTGTATATGGAAAGAGTAAGTAAGTATAAAATAAGAAAATGTGTGACAGAGTAGGGTCTGTGGCTGGGCAGGACTCGGTGGAAATTTGGTGCCAGGTTAATAAAACATTATTGTAAAACAATTAATTTTCCTAAAAAAACAACAAAACACATCCCACACTCAACCCCAATGATTGTTGTTACACATCCCAGTTCCATCTTGTTGTGTTAACATCAATAACTCACAAGGAGGGCCATTTAAATAAAGTACAGTATAGCCTTTATTTTGTTGTGTTTTGTGGATATACATACTTTATCCAGCACTTAATAGAATGAGGTAAGACAAGGATCTTGTGAGACAGCAAGCTGTGTGAACCACTACATGACAGTGTAGTGATGACATTACTGTAGTTATCTTAAGTGATAACTTTGTAGGACAAAATAAGAATGTCAATATGATCCTTGTCTGCTTGAAGAAAATTTTATATTTCTTTATGGTTGCCTGACCATTCCTATCTGCCTTGTGATAGGGTTATGCACCATTCATAAGTGTATACTGAGAGCCAATATTAAAGTCGGGCAAGGAAATATTTCTTGACTTCACCATCCTTCAAAATAGCAAGCAACAGGGACCAGTTTCAAGGATAGGAATGTGTTCTCACTCTCAAACACTTAAGAGGGCTTGCAGTAAGGTCTTCCATGTTTGGGGATTTCACTACAATCAGACTGCAGAAGGGCAAGGGTACCATGTATAAACAGTCTCAGCAGTGGCTAGAGCGTGTGTTAGTTGAGAAGGTTAAAGAACTGAAGGCCCTCTTGCCTTATGTCTGCTCCTTGAAAGCAGTATCTCACGAAGTTGAGTACACTGTAAGAGCGGCAATGACACTACAGCCTCATGAAGGAAGCTCTCGAAGACAACCTACTTTGAGTAGTAGTTACCCTCATCTTCCCTACCATCATCAGTGCTTTTACATACTACAGTACTATTATTCTAATTATACATTAACCCACATAAAAATTATGTTGGGTTATTGTTCTTATAACGAACTATTATCATCATCACCATTTTACTGTCACTTTCCACTTGATGATATGGCATCCTAGTTGCCACCAGGAACCTTAGAAGCAAGTTTTATGCCTGGATGACCTTCCTATTGCCAACCCACTTTTACAGAGTGGGAACTGGATATTATATACTTTACAATCAAGTTGTGTATCGGCCATTACCAAAAGCCCCAGTCATCTCGCAATATGAACGTTTCACTTACGTTAGGTTAAGTTCCAAAGAAACCTTTGTGAAATAATCACCTTACAAACGGCTGATTGCACAGCTTGACTATAGCACACAGGATTTTCAAGTGCCTTCTTAGCTTGCAAGATAATCTAAGAACACTTGCCCATCTACTGTACATTGTAAATTAATGATTTTTCATGTTACTAATATTAGTGGTTGAATTATTACTAATATTATTGATATTTATACATACAATATGCTTTTCCAGTATCACCTACACCAAATTGCAATAAAAACAAAACTAATTCAACCCAAATCCATCATATTTTGACCAAGTACTGTACAGTATAGCTTGGCTATTTATAGTTGGAAAACTTTCTAGGTCATTTCCTCAAAAGTGAGCTGTGGTAAGTTTATAAATGACACACCGAGTGCCTAGTATCTTCAGTCATATGTTGAGTACCGCATATCTTTAGTCATACGCTGAGTGCCTCATATCTTTAGTCATACGCTGAGTGCCTCATATCTTGTCATACGCTGAGTGCCTCATATCTTTAGTCAACAGATACTACAATGTGAAAATAAACACAATTATGAGATTAGAAAATATTTAGTTTAGCTGCAATATTGTAAAAAAATAATAGTTTCCCATTTTCCTAGAAACAAAACATTATTAAAGTTCTAAAAAATACAAGATGCTGTCATGCTGGCCATTACATAATTTCCAAACTTGTTATATATTTTTCAGCATACTGTACTGTACAGTGGAACCCCCAAGTACAACACAGTACAAGATTATGAACAAGGGTAAAATCATCGTCTTGTATTTGTGGAACATTTCTACCTGATTATCGGTAGTCCTGTCCTGCTCAGGGAACATTGTTTAGTATTGCCCACAACAAAGTTGTGCACAAACTGGCCCACTGCAAAATATGTTCTACTCAAGACTGAACATCCTCTGCTCAAACTAGTCCAATATTCAGAAGTTCTACTGTGAAATAATGTCATCAATGATCATACAAAAATTTTACTAAAATAAAAGTTTATCTATACAGTACTGATATTTTCAATTTCATAATAATTATTGCATCTCATATTTCAACTAAAAAGCTAATACAATACTGTAGTATAATAGAGGAAATTACACAGTACAGTATGTAGACTAGCCAGACAGTAATGGAACAAACCAAAACAGTATATGTTACAAATCACAAGTTCCTGATAAGGGCACAGAAATCCTTGGCTCAAGCCATGTTACAACAACTCTGACAACATGCTTAATGTTAATACTGAACATCCTAACATCTAACAAACTTGAAGAAAAACTCCAAAGTAATACTCATATTTACAGCCACTGGAATGTAAATTTTTTTGGATAACTATCAATCACTTCTCTTACAATTAGTACAGGTATTTTTTAGCTCTGATGTTGGGTAACCACAATCAAAATATATACTAATAAATGATTTAAGTATCATGTCTTCTATAATATGGTATCAGGTCCATTGCTGCATGATATATTAATAATATAATTAGCACATATTAAAACGGTAGATCATTTTTAGTTGTCCAAGTAAAAATAAATAAATGAACTCAAAATTGAGCCAAAGTCTGCCCTGGTCTACATATTAATTGTACAATACATTAATCATAAATAACTATTAATAATATACAGCTAAGCAATACCTAAAAGTGATCAAAGATGCATATGGAATCAACCATACCAACACTCAAACATTTTGATATAAAGTGGTATATGATGGCTTTGTAAGTGAACTGGATTAATTTTGCCTTGCTCATCCAAGCCTTGTCCTGGTACAATGCAGGGCAGCAGTAATTCTTAGCTATATATAAGTATATACAGTATACAATTCATCAGCATTCAATTATGGTACAGTATATATCTAACAAAAAATACTGATCAAATGGTTAATTACACAGTTTAGATAATTTCACATTATCTGATATTAATACAAACTAAAAGGCTGCTCAACTCCTCGAGCACTTAACTTTGCCAACAAGAGAGCTTGTAAATATTAGTCCAGTTCAATTGATACAAAAGCCAAAATACTGTGACATCTCTGTAATAAACCCATGCTTAGTGGTTCTTGGGGCCATAACTACAAGACACCCATATTGATGACTATTACTAGACAAAAAGACAATTTACATCTGGCAATAAGTCCATAATGACCTTTGATATTATGATAGTTTTATTCCACAAATAATATATATAGTAATTTACTGAGTGAAATTAAAGCTTTGGTCCATTCCATTCATTCCAGTTTACAATGTAACTTAAGAAGAATTCTCAATATGTTAATAAGCATATTAGCTGCTATAAACCACAACATATTATCTACACTAAGATAAGATAGCACATATGGCAAATAATTACCAATGTCAAGTAACCCTGCTAAGAAAATGTACTGTATACATAATTACAAGTTTAACCTTGCAAAGAAAATTTACATATTGTGGAAAATGTCAACTACCGCAGCTATCAAGGATCACCTTCTAGGAATGATACTTCTAAAACCAACTTTTATGTTGTGCAAATTGACTTAGATCATTTGTAACTAGCATACCCATCCACATCAACCTACAGTACTTCTGAATTTACATCCTTGTATACGGTTTGGAATTCATTGATAATCTAAAGAGATTCTGATGGGAGTTTTAAATTGCTCAAATGGTAATATTATGATGTGAAAAAGGTATGCAAAATTACTTAGTTTACTACCTATGATCTGTTCACTTAAATATTTAAGAAAAAACTGTTCTACATATGAAAATACAAGAATCTTATTAAATATTGATATTTTACAAATAATCCTTACATACCACAGAATATCAATTATGACACAAGTTTGTTCAAGTATAATATTTATCAAGATTAGATAAAGTTTTTCCATATATTTAATTGAAGTTTTTGATACTAGTTTTCCACTGTTAGATAATAACACTGAGGATACTTCAGAATATATCTTGTCTCTTACTTTGCAGTCCTTTTTGTCAGACATTACACTAAAAATTCTTTGAATTCTTTGGTATCTATGAAGCATTTTCAACAAAACATTACAATTACTGACATCAATACAGTAACTAGATAACACTAACAAACAACACTGAAAAGTTATGAGAATTCTAAAGAGATTACAAGCTAAAAGCTCCTGGGAACTCACGAATAACATCAAGATGTCACTCAAGCCTTCTACATGTCCACATCTTCTTCTCTGACACTGTGGACTGAGTCTGCAACACAAATGACTCCAACAATGACGACAAAAACAAACCTTACCGCCCTGGCCCAAACCTGTGACGTTATTTTCACACAGGCGATACTGGGCAGCGGCAACATAGTAAGGTTTGTACCCTGTGGATCAGTGGAATCGATACTGCTTGCCTGGTTTAAGGTGCACATAAGTCTTCTTCATATCAGTGGACTCATCCTTCTTGATTTCAGTGTAGCGCTCCCCCTTGATGCTTACAACTTTGTTGTCACGGTAACGTACCATCTTCTTTCCTTCCTATAACATATGTGATTTTTAAGGGAAATGATTATCGAGAAAATCTATTCAGTGCAAAGTAAAAAATCAAGTCCAAACAGAGCTCTACCAGTGATCTTTGATCTACCCACTATACACATAAAAACTGTTCTCTCATAATTATGTACTGTACAGTATAAGGGCATATTTGTGAAACAACCATGGATGGAAGGTTCATAGTGGACACAATATAGAATAATAAATTCTCAAGAAATCCACCAACAACCACCACCACCACCACAAAACTTTGAAAAAAAATTTTCCATTTCCAGATCAACCTTTGTTAATTCATTCATACACAATGCAAAAGGTTAAGTTGTCAGCCCTGTCACAAACTAACTTTTGGCACAGACTGTACTTTATGACAGGAGAATACATAAGGGATATAAATATTAGCAGGAAATTTAAAAAGGACTAAATAAGTATTATAGTATACAAGTAATATCTGAATGACTTACCCATTTAGGAGCCACAGGTCTATGTTCTCGGGCATCATCATCGTGATCAACAAATCCATATCGGTTGAGGATTGAGGTTCTCACTTCTTTGTCATCAATCTGATTCTTATTACCTTTTGCTCCAGGCACAAGCTGAAATTATAATAATAATATGTAACCACCAAAAGCTATTACACCAGAAACACCTGGTTAACATGAATATAAAAATTAATTTCACTTTTGGCATTTTCATCACTGTTAGAGTAACTCATTATGATTGACAAATTTCTGCTAAAAAACAAGTCAAGTACAGGAATAACTATTTATCAGATGTAGAAATGCAATTAGAGAATACCGAGCAGCCAGGCCGTGATTAGTTGAAATATGTGGTGTCATGTTTTTTTAAAGCATATTTCATGAACCTCACAAACCAAAAAAATTATACAATAAAGGAGTGCATGGAGCTGTGTCACACCCAAGAGGCATGAATGGAGCTGTGTCACACCCAAGAGGCATGAATGAAGCTGTGTCACACCCAAGAGGCATGAATGAAGCTGTCACAGCCAAGAGGCATGAATGGAGCTGTGTCACAGCCAAGAGGCATGAATGGAGCTGTGTCACAGCCAAGAGGCATGAATGGAGCTATGTCACAATCAAGAGGCATGAATGGAGCTGTGTCACACCCAAGAGGCATGAATGGAGCTGTGTCACAGCCAAGAGGCATGAATGGAGCTGTGTCACAGCCAAGAGGCATGAATGGAGCTGTGTCACAGCCAAGAGGCATGAATGGAGCTGTGAATCACAGCCAAGAGGCATGAATGGAGCTGTGTCACAGCCAAGAGGCATGAATGGAGCTGTGTCACAGCCAAGAGGCATGAATGGAGCTATGTCACAGCCAAGAGGCATGAATGGAGCTGTGTCACAGCCAAGAGGCATGAATGGAGCTATGTCACAGCCAAGAGGCATGAATGGAGCTGTGTCACAGCCAAGAGGCATGAATGGAGCTGTGTCACAGCCAAGAGGCATGAATGGAGCTGTGTCACAGCCAAGAGGCATGAATGGAGCTGTGTCACAGCCAAGAGGCATGAATGGAGCTGTGTCACAGCCAAGACTGGAATTTTCCACTACGTACTGGGGAAAGTTTTTCCCGAGTCTAAACTACGCATCTCACACGGAACTGTAGTTATTTACGTAAACATTTATGTACACGTACAATAAATTATAAATGAACAAAATAATGCATACCACTACTGTACAAACAGGTATCCCTCGATATATGATTGAGTTAGGTTAAAGAAAAAAAGGAGGCGAATTTCCAAATCTCAAATAGATGAACAGCATATTGGAAATAGGTTTGGTTCTGCAATGACAAAAATACCCAAATATCATACCCCAAAAATATGAAACCAGTTCACAAACAAGAAAATATCTACCTAACTAATGATAAATAGTACTGTACACAACTACTGTAATTTACTTCCTAACACATTAAAAACATTAATAAAATACTATCTAGATGAAAATATGCTAGTACAGGTTGTACATCTCTAGTCCGGCAACCTCGGGACCTGAGCGGTGCCGGACCACGGAAATTCACCCTTTTCCTGGATAGATAGTGACTTGTGCTTATGCCTGGAAGCACTAGCACCACTTTCTCTGCAACATGGTCTCTTTGAAGACATATTGAAGGGTTAAATGTCATATAGTAGCTTCTCAAATTTCGCGAGTTTTTAATTCTTAACGTATTTTATTGGAACACAAAAAAATAAATAAAAATTTTGATGGCGGAAACTTGAATTTCGACGGGTTTGAACGGCCCGCCAACGTGCAGACGACGTACATAATCGTGTAAACAGCGTCATTTCTCTTATGTACAAAAGATTCATTATTGTTTATTACTGAATGTCTTTTTTATTGAATTAATGTTTATGTGTGCAAAATGAGCAATACAATTCATTAATAATACGTAGAATATTAAAACACACGAGGAAATGACACAGCATTTTATTCGTTGATTACAAAACCAGTGACTGACTGGTTCTACATATAAAACTGAAGAAAATAAGATCTTGGTTGTAGCTGTAGTAAAATTAATATGGCTGTTTTAAGTAATGTTATTTAATGTTAATAAATGGAACAATAGAAGTAGCTAACGATAATGGTAAAGAAAAAGAGAGATCGCATATGTAAGTGCGCATGTGCACACGTGAAAACATATCATCATTACTTTACATAAGAATATGAAAGCAACACTTATTTACTGTTCATATATATTTTAATTAATGTTTCTGAATTTGTTTTTATTGAATTAATGTACGTGTGTGCAAAATTAACAATACAATTTATTAATAATACGTGGAATATTAGAGGAGACGAGACGGCTGCCGGCATTGTTTATGTTAAAGCTTACGAAACCAGTGACTGATTGGTTCTACATATAAAACTGAAGAAAATAAGACCCTGAGTTTAGCTGTAGTAAAATTAATGTAAAAAAATGAATATGGTTGCTTGAAGTACCTGTAATGTTATTTAATGTTAATAAATGGAACAATATAAGTAGCTAACCATTAATGGTAAAAAAAAAAGTGAGACTGCTCGTATGTAAGTGCGCACATGTGAAAATATATCGTCATTACTCTACATAAGAATATGAAAGCAACACTTATTTACTGCTCATATATATTGAAGGGTTAAATGTTGTACGCTGTATAGACAAGCAGAGAGAGAGAGAGCAGCCGAACTGCCAGATGTAAACAAACCTTAATTTCCCGCGGCTTTTTTTTTAAGGGGATTAGCCCATCCGGGAATAGGTCACTGACCCACATTAGGGCCTGAGGGGCAAAAATTTAATACTCCTGTAATAATAATAATTCAGATAAGTAAAAAAAAAATGCCTATCTACCTATTGGACAAACTAAAATCGTTCCGGACCACGGGAGTTTCCGGACCACAGAATGCCGGACTAGAGAGGTACAACCTGTAGTTGATAGTGTAATCATGGATATCCAGTATATTGTAGCTACTACACAATCAACACAACATTCACTGCACTACTGTCTACACTACATACACAACACTATTAGAATCTACACAACATCCTCTCCACTATCTACATTATCATCTACATTTCATCAACTATACCACCATCTATACTACAACCACAAAACAACTTTTATTACATCCACTACACTATCTACAGTACAATAAATCCACTACACTATCTACATCTACATACATTACACTACACTACATCTTTGAGGATGAGGGACAGCCCCAAAATTTTCATCTTTGTTAATTGGTGACTGTCTATACCAAAAAAATTTTCCTGGGATATGGTTAAAAAATATATGAAATAATGATAGAAGGAATAAAAATCATGTACAATAGTCATCTTTGTTATGGCCTGACTGTCATAGTGTGGGAGGGGCAAGGGTTGTTTTTATTTCAGGAATGAGCCCCCACAACTAAAAAGTCTGTCTTGCTCCATGGTTCAGCCCAAACTGCCTCTGTCTGCCATTGCTCACAGGGAAAGGGAAGGGGGCAGGGGGTAACATGTGAGAAAGAAAGGCCTCCCATGGAAAGAATTTTTATTCATACGATGATTCCCGCCATTGTCTGAAAATCACATGACAATGCCCATCACCCTTGGGTGAATATCCAACTGGATACCACATATAATTACCAATATCCAGATGGATACCACATATAATTACCAATATCCAGATGGATACCTTATCCAGTACACCCCTAACTCAATCCACATTTTCCATGTATCATTGCTTACTTGGATCTATGATAATTTGATAATTGTATCAAAGTGTATTCTGCCATTCACATTCAAATAAACATAAAATCAACTTACCTTGCTAGTGGTGCTTGTCTTGATATTGATTCCTTGTTCCTGGCGCTGGAGTATGAGGGTCGTAGCATGTTCTAAGTCACCTCCACAAGTGGCCAGACAGTGCTGAACTTCTAAGTTGCAGGTTCCAGGAAACATTTCAAGTAAGGTTGCCAAACCTTCTGAGTATTCATCCTGCTGAAAAGAGATATAAATAATATTGAGAATGAAATCAGACAATAGTTTCAGTTGATAATACAAAGTATGCATATGACATCTCTTGAAAAGCTCATCATCAGTACTGTTTTATAGCCATTCCAGACATTCAAATGATTTACTGAGCGTTTAAGTCCTGCACTGAGTATGTAGCGAGCATTTGGGTGGGCTGACTGCATGGATAGCTTAGGTCATAGGCTCAGAGTGCTAGTGCTCTCTCATTGGCTACCATGGTCATGTGACTGCATTGGATGCCTATACAGCTACTCCTCGACTTACGACATACTCAACCAACGGCCGCCTCAGTCGTACCAAAATTTTGTCAAATTACGTATTTTCGAGTCCCAACATTAGTGATTGCGCTGTGTACTGACAAAATTTTCATTTGTAATTCACTTTAAAATGGCCGGCAAGCTTAAAAGTGAGTTTTGTGGTGCTGAGAAGAAAAAGAAATACCCATTTTAGATTTTCTATGTATTATTTAAGCATTTTCGACTCACGACCTGGATTTGGGTTCCTAACCCCGTCGTAAGTCGAGGAGCAGCTGTATTTAGCTAATGTATATCATAGCCTATCTGAAACTCCTCTTAGTTCATTGTCTGCTGCCATTGTACAAGCTGACTTGCTCACCACATGTGAAAAATAAAAACTTACCTCATCACCATTAGTACTGTTTTGTTCATCAGATCCATTTGATGTCTCCGAGAGTTTCTGTGATCTTTCACTAGTTTCACTTATGGACTGAGAGTTGCAATGTTTGCGGGTCTCCACAGGAAATGATGATATCAGAGCATCTAATGTTAAATCCTTGCCTGCTTTCGCTGTAAGAAAAGATCATTTATTAAGTAATACATAAGAGACTGGTCTATTACACATTATTATATAAAGTAAACATTAAACTTGTGAATCAGGTCAGGCACTTTGTATCTTCATATAATACTGTGCAGTATAAGGGCAACTAAAATGGCAGAATTTATAAATACTGTACAGTCCCCATTTATTAAAGCTACAGTTACTTAATAAGCATAAATACATCAAGACATTCCTTTAAAAGTTTACAGTATACAGTAGAAGGCCTTTTTACTTCTCATTAGTGTGCACAGTATATTAATACAGCCAATAGAAAATGGATAATGAAGATGGATGGACTTATAAAACACTGGTACTGTACTACTGTATACTGTCCATGAAACTATGCTCTTATAATAAAAGTGACAACTGAAATTGGCTAGACTGCTGTCAAAGGATGTCACATCAATAGAGGTACTCCTCGACTTACGACAACCCGGACATACGACCGCCATGGTCGTATAAAATATTTTTCAAATTAGGTATTTTCTAGTACAGTACTGACGTTAGTGATCGCGCTGTGTACTGACAAAAAAAATTTTTGTAATTCACTTTAAAATGGCTGGCAAGCGTAAAAGTGAGAGTTCTCGTGGTGCCGAGAAGAAAAAGAGACACCCATTTTAGAATTTCTATATATTATTTTCGCATTTTCGACTTGCAGCCAATTCGACTTATGACCTGGTCGTTGGGACAGAACCCGTCGTAAGTCGGGGAGAGACTGTATTGTTTATCAACAATCATCATGAGAAAACTAAAATTATCACCAACACTATCACCACAGATGAGATAGAACACTTAAAACAACTGCAATCATTACCACAGGACAACAATTAATACAACCAATAACATCACACGAGAAAATAATAATCACCACTAGAACCATCACCATAAAAAACAATAATTACTGTATCACAACCACTAGCATCATTATGAGACAATATTAATTATCACAATCAGTACCATCACCATGAGCACAATTATCACCACCATAACCATCAACATTAGACAACAAGTGCGGGAACTCTGGAAAGTTTCAAAAGGAGACTAGATAGATTCATGGATGATAGAGAGTGGTAGTAAATCTCGACAGGAGCTGCCATGCACAGGCCAACCGGCCTATTGCAGACTCCTTATTTTCTTATGTTCTTAATGGCATCACAAAAATTGTGACCAAGTCCCAGGTTGCTGATCCAACTTTCTGCATCATTTACACACAATTGCAGGGTCTCAATTGTTTCACTTACTATTGACAACACAACATACATATATTGTTTCTCACTTTTGATATTTTTTTCATTTTTGTATTTCTTTATGGTTCTTTATTATTATTATTAGTAGTAGTATTATTAATATTATTATTAAATTATCGCCCCCCAGGCCCTGATGTGGGTCAGTGACCTGTGCCCGGGTGGGCTAATACCCGAAAAAAACACCTCTATCACCATGAGAACAATTATCACCACTACCAGAGGTAAAAAAAATAATATTACATGTACCGGTATATGAAACAAAGCTTAAGGTAACATAATGTTCTGGTCTTCCAAGAGGCTTGAAGTGTTGATAAGACAAAACTAACCTTTACTCTTCTCCTGGTTGATAACATGCACCATATTAATGACCCAGGAGGTGATGGCATCTTCTGGAATAGCATCAAATTCTGGCACATAGGCAGCCATCACATCCTTCATGCCAGCAGAGTCCACCTCCTCGTCATCCACGGCTACTTCTTCCAACACCCCACTTACGTAGCTCACTACAATTTCATCGATGCCGCTGCAAATAATAAAAGTGAGTTACAGGGTTGCTAGCTGCAAGAGTAAACCTTATACAGTAAAGTATATATCTTGGGGTCTTGTTTTGCAAAGGAACATAACAGTAGAATTTATTATACAGTACCTATAATATGTTCTAAACCCACCTTGTGTCAGCACTTGGAGAATGATCATGAAGCAGCTTCTCAAGTGATGAACGAACAATATCTGCATCAGCACTCATGGTACAGCTCCACACAATTTCACCTGGAAAAAAGTCCCGATTTACTCCACAACTTAATTTTCATACAAATTTGTGTTCAAAACAGACACTCCTGCGCACAACATACTATACCATAGCCAGGAATTTTTGTGCACTGGGCAAGTTTTATAGATGGTGCACTGTATACAACTGATTGGCTACAGACATCTTTGTTGCTCAAATAAAGATGTGAACTAAGAAAGCTTACTCTACAGTTTGAAAAATAACATCACCTTTTTCTTGAATTGGCAGGTGAAGAGGTAGTAGAAATGAAGAGATGGAATTAATGGGAGAACAACAACACATTTGGGAGGAAAAGAAAGATTTGTTTTATGGAAGGACCTGTTATTGATTTTGAACAGTTTGGACAAGATGAGAATATAAAGCACAACTTATTTTACGTAACCCACATCCTGTAATGGCTGCTGGGAGGCTACTGACTTTCAAAAAAAGATTGGACTAGCATTGGGTATATCAAGATGTTGTGTTATGTTCCATTTGCATCAAAGCTTCAGCAAAACCCTTAGCAAGGATATAGTTCCAAGGCACACCTTTGATAATAGACAAAATGAAGCAGAAAATTTTTACTTTCGGACATGAGCCCTAGGGGTTGACCAATAGGTTTTCCCAGTGTATTTTGGTGTGTTTTAAACGAATCAGACCTTCACTTTTGGCGGAAATTGCTCGTTTTTGACCCACCCAGTCCCCCCAACAATAATGGGGGAGAGCCTGGGAAATAGGAGGTTTTGTGTGGGGGAGAGAACACGAAAACGAGTCATCTAACCAAACCAAATCAAACCTTACCCCTACCCCCAGTAGACCTAACTTAAACTAACCTAATCTAGCCTAACCCCTACCCCCAGTAGACCTAACCTAACCTAGCCTATTCACTTCCAACTGGTAAATATGAGGTTCAAAATGCTCACAATAGGGAGATCTAAGTGTTTCAGTAGTTTATATCTTTGGGGCGCTGTCCGACAGTAAAATAAAACCAATGAACCAACTAAATCTAACCGAATGATTCTATAATATTATTTTTAGTTAAGTTCATTTTGTCTGACCATAAGAGATCTTACCCCTCTCTGCCTTCATCTACAACATAGACAACTACTTCTAATGCTAAATGATAACTATCATAACCTATAAGCAAATGATCCCGTTATATCATCCCAGTACTCTACACAAGTTTGTATAAAAAACACAACATAAATGAGTTACTGTAGAGAATCAAAGTGCCTTAACTTGATCTGGAAGAAAGTAAATTGATAAATAACTTTGTACAACATTCAGTACATTGATCACTGCCATAACATATAATCTATTTAACCCCTCAAATGGTCATCAGAAACATATTTTTATATAAAAAAACATGAAACAAACGAGTTTGGGAGAGAAGGAAGGTGCCATAACTTGTGACAGTGGGGCAGGTTACGAGGCAGTATCACCACACCACCACCGTGTCTTCACCTACAACACCCATAACAGCTTCTGGCACAAACTCATCAACTAATCTTGAGCATAAAAGCAGTTATTTGTTAACAAAGACAAAAATACTCACTACCTTCAAGTACAGAGGACAAACACCTTTCGGCTCGATAGAAGGTACCGCTGTTTTGTTGTATAGACGACTGAACCTGGAATACCACAGCGCTTGTGAGATACAACACCTCTTAACACTGGGAATATTATCTATAAGGTTTCAACTCTCCTCCACACAGTGTTCGTATTAAGACACTCTAATTGTTTATACTTCTTATTGAAGGGAGCTTTTGCTCAGTTAAAGCTAATAAGCTAAATATGGAAAAGCAAATGGGATCTTATATTTACATATTAATAATTAATTTAAGATATAACAAAATACGATGTTACTATAATATTATTACTTGAACAAATAATGCATAACAGGATATATTAAAAAAAACAATATTGAGCATTATTGACTAACGTTTTTCAGATTACAGTAAAAACGTTTGTGCGATTATTCATTACATAAAACAGTAAAAACGCGATGGTGCAACGAAAAACACAATATTCTTTATAGTTCGTATTTAATTAAGCCTCACCAATCTATCAACACAGTCGTACAATTAATAAGAAAATGTCATATATATATAGTTTACCTGTATCTCGATAAAATAACACGGAAAATGGACCACCTTAGCTGTAAATTCAGAGGCAACTGAATTTACAGGGACAGAGACAGGCTATTATACGTAGGGTACCCATACAAAACATCAGGTCAGGTCAATAACATGAGATCCACTAATCCACACACCGCTAACATAAGAGGAGCTTATAAAAATGGGAGACGTAACTAGTCATGTCGAGTCAGGTCAATAACATGAGATCCACTAATCCACACACCACTAACATATGAGGAGCTTATAAAAATGGGAGACGTAACTAGTCATGTCGAGTCAGGTCAATAACATGAGATCCACTAATCCACACACCACTAACACAAGAGGAGCTTATAAAAATGGGAGACGTAACTAGTCATGTCGAGTCAGGTCAATAACATGAGATCCACTAATCCACACACCACTAACACAAGAGGAGCTTATAAAAATGGGAGACGTAACTAGTCATGTCGAGTCAGGTCAATAACATGAGATCCACTAATCCACACACCACTAACATATGAGGAGCTTATAAAAATGGGAGACGTAACTAGTCATGTAAAGTCAGGTAAAAAATATGAGACCCACTAATCATCTGTCCTACATCTAACTCAAATGTTTTCAAAGCATTTTAAACCTTGGACTACTGACAAATAAATTTATGTAACATATTATCAATTTTGTACTGACCATCACTAAGGTTTATAAATTAATTTTCCTTATCAAACTTGCTTCAATCAGAAGTCTTTCTGAGGATCACCTGAAGAATTGTCACCCCAGAGTTTGGCAGGGTGACAATCCCAAACTTTCGGTTGGCGGATTATCAGGGGTTAAGAAGGTACCTAGGTGAGGTCACCTGGGAACAGTCACGTCAGTCCCCAGTAGGAAGAGGTGAGGTCATAGTTGACACAACAATTGATCATGACTATAATATATTCACTAGTATACTGTGGGGTACGAGATGTTTGGTTCACACTCAGGATGGGATGGAGAAAGGAAACTCACAATGTGCTCTCTGTATACATGTTGTATTGGATGTGCAATGCAGCTTGGTGCTGGGAAGGCAGCATGGTTACAAGCGTGATGTAGAGAGAGCTGGTTGGTGAGGGTGCTCAGAGGAGGACAGCTTGTGGGTCGCCACACTCGCCGGCGGGAGCGAGGGGCGAGGACTGCCAGGCAGGCGGAGGAGGTGTTGCTTGCTGCAGCTGTAGCTAGAAGAGAGGTCACCACGAGGTCAGGTCTTTTATAGCGGAGGTAGGCGTGGGTAGATAGTTGACCCCTGCTCCGTGGACGGCGCTGGTTGACCTAGACCACGAGGCATACACTGGGGAATTCACGGGGTCGGCTACTCAGCGACAAACAGCGTTTACATAAGAACATAAGAAAGTGGGATACTGCAGGAGGCCGACTGGCCCATACAGGGCAGGTCCCTTTCACACCCATCCCAGCACTTCCATGTGCCTATCCAACTTCGTCTTGAAGCTCCCTAGCGTCCCCGATCCTACTATAGCACTCGGTAGCCTATTCCACATATCCACAACTCTATTACCAAACCAGTGCTTGCCTATATCCTTTCTGAATCGGAATTTATCTAATTTAAAGCCATTTGTTCTAGTTATTTCGTTATTACTGAGCTTCAGAACATCTTCCATTTTACCCTTGTTAATCCCACTTACCCACTACAATACTACATAAAGCACAAGAACAAAATATACCATACAGAAAAATTAGGTCAAATAAGAATGAGCCAAGGTGGATGACCAGAAAACTTAAACATGACATAGGAATAAAGAAAGGAATATATAAGAAATTAAAGGGAGAGGAGGAGCAGCTCAGAAATAGGTATAATGAACTATCTAGGAATGTTAAGAAAAATGTAAGGAAAGCAAAGAGAGACTATGAAATCAAAATAGCAAGAGAATCCAAGGCGAATCTCAAGGGACTTTTCCAGGTATATAGGACAAAGTTGGGCCTTTAAATTCGGGGGGGGGGGGAAGTGATCAATGGCAGTGAAGAAATAAGCAAAGCATTGAACAGCTATTTCTTATCAGTTTTCACAGAAGAAATTTGCGAGGAAATTCCAGAGGTGGAACTGATATTTAGGGGAAAGGAAGAGAAATTAAAGAATATCACTATCAGAAAAGAGGATGTTCTTAACAGGATAAATAAACTAAAGAAGACAAAATCCCCAGGGCCGGATGAAATTTTCCCTCGAGTCTTGAAAGAGTGTAGGGAACAGATTAGCGGACCCCTCGTAAATGTATTTACAAAATCATTAGATACCGGAGTTGTGCCAGACTTGTGGAAACAGGCAAATGTAGTACCCATATTCAAAAAGGGAGACAGAGCATCAGCGTCAAATTACCGGCCGATCAGTTTGACGTTAGTAGTGGTGAAATTTCTTGAATCAATTATAGCAGACAGCATCCGATCGCATTTAGAGAAAAGCAAATTAACCTACGACTCGCAACATGGGTTTACAAAGGGAAAATCTTGTCTAACAAATCTGCTGACGTTTTTTAGGAAAGTCTTCGAGGTAGTAGATAATGACGAAAATTATGATGTTATTTACTTAGACTTTAGCAAAGCATTTGACAGAGTACCGCATCAGAGGCTTCTGAGAAAAATTAAGGCTCATGGTATCGAGGGGAAAGTTTTAAATTGGATAAAATCATGGCTCACCGATAGAACGCAGAGGGTCAGCGTAGATGGTGTTAAATCTGAGTGGGGCCGTGTAACCAGTGGGGTTCTCCAGAGGTCAGTACGAGGCTCACTCATGTTCATAATCTACATAAACAATCTAGATACTGGGATCAGCAGTGACATAAGCAAGTTTGCGGATGACACCAAAATAGGGCGGCAGAATAATTCAGGGCAGGATGCAAATGCATTACAGGAGGATCTAAATAAACTGCAGGGGTGGTCTGAAAAATGGCAAATGAAATTCAACACCAGCAAATGTAGCATACTTAATATTGGAAGAACAAATACTGTCAATGTATACAGCCTTAACAACATCAACCTAGAGAAGTCGACTTGTGAAAGAGACCTAGGGGTACTTGTAAGCCCGGACCTACGGCCTAGAAAACAGTGCATTAATGTTCGAAATAAGGCAAACAGAGTATTGGGTTTTATATCTAGAAGTGTAAGTAATAAGAGTGCAGAGGTCTTATTGCAACTATATCTTGCACTAGTCAGGCCGCACCTCGATTATGTGGTTCAGTTCTGGTGCCCTTATTATAGAATGGATATCAATTCACTAGAGTCGGTGCAGCGAAGAATGCCGAAAATTATTCCAGGACTTAGAAGCCTTCCATATCAGGATAGGTTAAAGAAACTTAACTTGCATTCCCTAGAAAGACGAAGATTGCGGGGAGATATGATAGAAGTATTTAAGTGGGTGAAAGGAATCATTAAGGGGGATATAGATAAAGTTCTTATAATGTCCGAGCAGGATAGGACTCGGAGCAACGGATTTAAGTTGGATAAGTTTAGGTTTAGGAAGGAGATAGGAAGAAACTGGTTCACAAATAGGGTGGTGGACGAGTGGAACAAGCTTAGCAACTTTGCAGTAAGTGCTGGAACGCTGGAAAGTTTCAAAAGGGGGCTACATAGATTCATGGATGATAGAGTGGTAGTAACTCTCGACAGGAGCTGCCATGCACAGGCCAACCGGCCTATTGCAGACTCCTTATTTTCTTATGTTCTTATGTCCTGGGGTGATGAATCTTCAGGTGGCAACACCTGGGGTGATAATTCTTCATGTGGGGTCAGGACCCTCCATGGTTAGGTTAGGTATACTGTATTATTATTATTTTTTTTAACTTTTCACAATAAAGATGCATAACACAAAGGAATACATTTATGTTATCCTAATTATACAAAATATATTCACTGTGGGCTGGGGTGACGATTCTTCAGGTGGAGCGGGCTGGGGTGACGATTCTTCAGGTGGAGCAGGCTGGCATGACAATTCTTCAGGTGGGATTGTACCGTACTGTATGTGGCCAGTTGTAATACAACAGTTTTTTAACTGAAAACCATTCGAAAAGCGATTACGGTAACATCTTTTGAACGAAAGAAAGCGAGTCATTGCTTTCGTCACTTTCCACTGTAATACGTACGTCATTTCAGCAAAATATTACATTTCCATATTCTCAGAAATAAATAGTAGTTTTGCTGAAATGTAATGCATTTCAATGTAAATTAGGATAAACTACATGAAAACAAAAGACTTTACCTAACCTTCCGATGTTCAAGATATGTTACTCGTTTTTTTAGTAGTTTTTGGTTAAAATACTCTTATATTAGTGATATTCTATTCATACTGTGCTTGATATAATACATTCACAGAAATGTAATATTTTTGCAACTACAATGCTGATGTCAACACAAGCGTGGTTACAGCGAGACTGACTGAGTGAGGGAGAGCTATGTGTGTGTGTGTGAGGTTGCGGGAGCGGGCGGTGTCCCGTGTTCGGTGCCGCGCGCGATTTGAATGTACTTCAATGTACAGAATATTCCTCCGGCGGGGCAATCCGCGTATTTGCAAATCCGTGTATTATAAACCCGCGTATGTTAAGGGCCGACTGTATACTATATTGTGATAATTAGTAAGTAGCCCCACTTTGTTTCAGTACCTAAATGAAGGAAAACTGGTACATGTGGAACAGTACAAGCTAACCGGAAGGATATCACACACAACAAGAATATTGAAATGTAGGCTGCAATTGTAGGTTCTTTGTAAATTTTCATATTGGATGTAAATATTGACTCTTTTTCATATTATCTTTATATATGAATTACTGATTTACATAATGTGTTCACAACAAAACACGAGAGAAAAACTTACTACAGGTACTTATGTTGAGTGAGAATAAAGGACTGTTATGAGGTACGGTGTGTGTGTGTCCCTCATCTCCCGCACCCTCAAGGTGAGGGGTGGTGGCTGACTGTCTTTACAAGAGCACCGAGTCACATGATGTCTCCAATGCATTTTGTTTATTTATTTTTTCTCTGGTTTTGTTCCATCATACTTGAAAAATTGTGAAAATATTATTAAATGAAACTTAGATGTACACTTCTTACAGATGCTTTTCATTGCATTTTCACATTTCAGTAACATTCTTTCTTGTATTTTTCATTCAATGTAAAATGCAAATGTTGATAACCTTGTGATGGAATTATTGCACAATAAATTTTTGAAAAAATAAATGTATTTTTATATAATCTACATGAACCAAAATTACAGAGAAAGATTTAGTTTATAATAATAAGATATATACTGTACTAAGAAATTATGAAACCTACATAGTAAAATTATGAGGCTAGTGGGAATCTATCTCATTGTACTCCTGGCAGTTCTGAGAGTGGGGCAGCAAAATATGTCACCTCGTGAGACATTTAAATTGAATGTTTCATATGTTGTCTTATATACTGTACCATTCTATTCAGAAAATTTTGCTTTATTTTTTTTTGGGGATTTAGATTACCCAAAATATTTTTTCTGATTTTCCTAAAACCCTGTGTGTGTGTGGGAGGGTTACTGCAGCAATACCCCCCTCCTCCCCGAGGCAAAAAGGGTTAAAAATAAAGTTTTCTCATCTACTTTTAATATGAAAATCAATAACATCTTTTGCACACACGCACCCCCCCCCCAAAGAGATGTGTCCAGCATTTTGAAATGGAAAATCTGGCAACCCTAGTATACAGTAGTCCATTAATTGAAATCATATGATTGTTCATATATCATTTCAAATAGAATAAATCATGAAACACTCGTGCATCATTAAACAATATAATTATCAAACAAATAAAATTGTACATTGGTACTCTAAACCATAATAACAGTAATAATTAGAAGTTTTAAATTTGAAACAGATGGCATCACAATCCATTAATTACAAAGAAACAATCGTACACTCAATGGATGATAACTATAAAAGAATAAACACCAGTAGTCATAAACCTATAAAAATGTTTATCATATTATAAAATATTTATTTTAGAAGTCTTTGGCCAACTTCAAGTTTTGTTAACTCCCCCTTGAGGGAGGTGTGTTTTAGTCTACACACAGTCATCATTACAAGGCACACACACACACACCTATTAATTGGTAGCCTTCTCACATAGTTTTAAAGTAGAAACTGGAAAGGATATTATTACAGTACAGTAATATTTTGCAAAATATAAATTATTAGTGTGAACACTTCTCTAGGAAAGACACAACTATTATAAATCTTTTAAGATTTTTTTTTAAAAATACAATACATGGAAAGACAGGCAGCAGTTTAGATAACAGCTACATAAAAATGAGAAGGCTAAATAGGTGCAAATAACAGAAACCCACAGGTGACTAACAGTTATCATAATCCTGAATACATCTTATTCAATAAATAGTGCAAGGAATGTCAGTCACTTGAACTGACTTTTCTTAATAAATTCAGGGATAATATATTTACAGCAGCATTCTAAGAGGAGACTTGGTATCATCTTGTGAGCAATTACACCATTCTTTTAATGCCTTGTCATTTTAGTACATCACACTAAGTAGTATTCAAGAGACCCTTGGATTAAATTAATAAACAAATGTTGAACCAATCGGCACATACAATATGTGTATACTATTTGTGAGCCGTGCATGTCATATCTAACATAATAAATAAGTGATTAAATTACATGTATAGGAAAATTTTACACATAAGAAATACAATATCCAAGGATTTTTCAGAAGGAAATTATTTACTATAATACAGTTCTGTAAAGGCTTTGTTATCCAGCAACTGAGCTCTACTAACCAACAAAAATGATAGTCCTCCACATCTTACCATTCTACCATCCAGTGTCTGCTGGAGCCATCTGGTACAGATTGGCAGGCAGCCTTTTGTGGTACAGTACTGTACTGTATTGGGGTTAGTACTGTACTGCACTTCTGAACAGTGGATTCTCTACCCATCCAAACATTATGGTTTCCAACAAAGATGACCAAAAAATCAGGGGAGAAGTGTAAGGGGTTATTGGTAACAGAAAAGATAAATATGCAGCTACTGTACCTCAAGAAGGGTGAAAACTGCAATGTTTTTGCTGTGGGAGTGCAATTATACTGTTTATTTATGCAGAAAACTGTACAGTTGTAGTTTTAAGTGTATTGTAAGTAATGCTGTATGCCAAAGTCACTACCCACATTAGATTAACACTTTAGGGCACCTGGGGGGAGAAGCTCGCCCATCCCAACCTTGTTGAACGAGACAATAAAGTGCGTGTAAATGTTACTATCTTTTATTTATAGATTTTTTAAGGTGTTTCTGGTCAAAAACATATATAAATTTTTTTTATATGTATAATGTATAACATTATAGACACCATATAGTAAATATAACAATAACATCACCACTATAACAGGAGTTTACCCATCGACTCTAAATAACAACCAGAAGTAAATGTCTTTATCTCCGACAATTTCCTTGATCTCAGATTATTTTGTTTGTTTTGCATGTATTTGTGTAAGATTGCTTTATAATTATACACACCTCGTATTAAATACAGTGGTGACATCACATATAACAAGATTTTTATTGAAAAATGCTGTATTTTTAAACATATTTAAAAACATTCATCTTTTCATACTATAATATATTTAATTTTTACCTAAAAAGCCAGGCAGATAAACCCCAAATTTTTTTTTTGTGAATTTTTAAAGACTGGGACACTATATATTTGTCATCTGTTCACTAGCATAAGTATTTTGGATGATGCAATACAAGTCATCCAAATTCTAGTGTCAAACATAACAGTACAATATTATTATAGTGGATAAAAGTTCAAGAAAAAATACCACCACTACTTGATTGGTGGGTCCTGTTAATGTATTGTATTCCTTTGGTAGGAGCAACTCTCTTAACTTGTATATAAAACTAACTGGCACCTCACATTCTCCACTCATACCAGATAACAAAGCATTTATTGTACACGGTCTCTCATAGGTCATGCATCACAGAATAATTAATAATCTCTTTTTCAGGGGAAGGAATCATAAGACTTCAATGAAGATGACAGATTTAAACACAAGAGGAAAGAATCAGTTCAATTTTCATGTCTGCAGAGCTAGATGCAACACACTACAGTAATTAGTTGCAAAACAATTTAATCAACAACACCAAAGCAAGAACATTACTCACACAACTGTCAGAAGATTGGTTAACTATTTCAAACAGACTGAAAGCATTCAAAACTTCCCTCAGATTGGCAAAGCAAAAATTGTTTAGAAGTAGATGGTGAAACATTAAAAAAATTACAGTTGCATTTTCCTCTAGTGTGTAACTTATGAGACCGATAACCTGTGCTGGAATATACTTAAGATGCGATTGATCAGTCAGAACTACTGTCTGGAAATAAATTAACTTATAAATGTATCCTACAAAAACTGTTGACTGGGATGTAGGTATTAAATACGTACAAATACAGTAATGTGTAGATAGTACAGTACATTCAAACTCACATCATTCGAGGTTTGACACTTAACACGCACAAGTGTATCAACTAGGTAGACAGATTAGAAAAAAATTAATAAAACTAGTTAATCTAATTTATCTCACATTGTACTTTAAAAGGAACAATGCCTGACAATGAAGCAGTTCCATCACCCTCATCTTCATCATTCACACCATCACCAACACTCACACAAATTTTGCTTGTACTTTGCGCCTTATTATGTCATGCTAAAAACTTTACAAATATCCGAAGTTATAAAATAAATTCCTAGTGAAACCAAAAGAATTCTTATCACCCTGAGGAAAATTAGGAAATACAGTAGTTCCAATGTTTTCGAGATAGCCTACAACTACAGTACATACATTACAGTACTGTGTATTCTAATGAATTCTCTTCATGAGATAACAACATAACCCAGAAGCAATACCATAAATACAACACAATATGATGTTCATTAAGGTAAAATGCCTCATTACAGGTGAATTTAAAACATTTTTTTTATAATATCATCTGACAAGTACTGCATATCCAACAAACCCTCAATTCATTGATTTAATAAAAATTTAAGTAATTTTCACTTGCTTTTGAACAATGTCCTTGATTATTGCTTTAGTCAAAAGTCAGTCATGTCTTTGGTTTCACTATAAAATTTAAATTGTCTGTACCCTTCTTAAAAGTAGTGAGCAACTTTTTTAATAAGTCCGAGTCAAACGCCAACAAAACAATCAACGTTGAGAAAAAATAAATAAATAGACAATTTCAGTAGATTCTTTTTTGAATAGATTGTGTTACAGTAAGGAGTAAGGTAGGACAGTAAGTGTGATTCTGGACAGTTTTTAATTAACTTTCACACCACTGTTAAACAATCACTACAGTATGTAAACATGGCTACATTTGGTTCTTCCCAGATCTACTCAAAAGATTTCTAATGTTTTTTGCTACACCAGATAGACTTATGTTAGTACTGTATGACTGAAAATGGGTAACTGACTCACGACACAGTTTCTACATCATCTCTTGCAGTTCTCTTATTCTCTTGTTGTAATTCTCGAGGGTTGTGTGAATGGTCTTACTGGAATATTTACATTTTTCAGAGGCACAGTTGCAGGTGAAGTGCTTGTACTTGATGATCCAGAACTTCTCCCCATAGTCAAACCTGTCCATGAAGAAAAAAACAACAACACACATTATACACCTAAATAAATATAAATCTACCGTCATGTTAATCCTTTCCCCTCTAGTTCTAGGTGGACCAAGGACTACAAAGACAAGTGTAGAAAGTGACAGGAAAGGGCTAAAACAATGCCCAGAAATATCAATACATGTTTACTCTTACACAGAACTCATGTACAAAACTCTTATGTATCTTAATATGGCATAAACATCTGTTACGGATATAAAATACAATGAGTGGCAGCAAATGGTGGGGGGACTGTGTGTTTACTCATTTCCAACCATAAATTGAATTGGAAAAAATTTAACCATGACTTGTTCATAGAGCAGCTTGTAGTGATTAAATAGTAAGCCCTGTGAACCAAGAAGTCACATGTTATATCAATGTAGTGGATGTATCTCACATGTTAACCCTTATATAATAAGAGAATTTTTATTTACACTATTTGTTCTGATGGTGGAAGGATGAGGTTTCTAATATGGTTTTACGATGAAGATTTAAGCAAGAACTAAAACATGAACCTCAGATGACAAGCCACACTAGATATAGTTGGTATACTGACAGAATACTTCTGCCTGAGGAGGAGCCACAATGGAGCACCTGAAGATAAATTAGAAGTTTGTCCCCACAATCCTTTTCTATCCCAGTGACTGAAGAAATTTTGTCTTCAGTCACACAGCAGACCAATAGTGGCTTATCACAGTCTTTTAAGCAACAATCTTCAAAAAGATGTTCTGTACTCAACTCAATTTCTTTATATTTTCTCACCATCATCAATAACACTTCATTACTCTTTTCCTTAGGTTTACCTTTTAAACAGTGAGGGTTCTAAAGTATTAGTTATACTTGTTGAATTTACAGGTAAATTATGAGGCATTGTAGAACTGCCTTTCATAACTTAACCAAAAACCCAAGTCTGCCCTCGGGGAGGCTGTGTACACTGCATGCACATCTTGGAGCAGTGATGATGATACCTCAGACCTGGATTGGGGGCCTTACCAATGATACTTGGAATTTCTTCTACCAAAAATGTGACTATTTCATCACCACTCCCACCAACTGTAACACAAATACAGTACATAAAGGTACATTACTGCCTTCACATATTATCCCTAAAAACACTGATGGCAAAAACCTTGCTTGATACTCTACATTCCAATAGTTACTGCAATTCAGTGATGCCTCTAGTTGCCTTGCCAACATTGCATCATCCTTCTTCAGCAGTTCTGCTGTACAGGATGCAGAAGCACATATATTAACTCCATCTACTGTCTTCTCACTTCACACAGTTACATATCCTGTCCCTGATAAAATTAAAAACTTCTCCCATGATGGAAATTAATATCCACATTCTTCATTTCTCAAATTACTAATTCTATCCTCCTTTCAGCAGGGAATAACCATGTAGACATTTGGGGCCGTCACCGTGGAAAAGAAACACTAAAGCATGACATGTCTGTTACAGCCATAAATAAATTAAAGACGGTAAATGAAGGACGTGTCTGTTTATACTCTTGATCCCAGCCACCCTACACTATACAGGACAAGGTTTGAAAGGATGAGTGACCTACTTATAACTATTACTACAGCCAGAATGAGTAGAATCCTGCTTACAGTAAACTATTGTTGCAGCACTACCCTCAAGCTCCTGGACATAACTTAGTTTGGTTCAGTTGTCTCTCAATGAAAAGTCCTTCTTTATTATAGTTGTTTGTAATGTTAGAGACATCAAATGGTAGAAATGAAGGTAGGAGGGCCAGGAGAAGGCAGAGACTCAGATGGATGCATGGAATTAAGAGTTGGGACCCCAGAGAGACAAAATCTAGGAGTGATTGATCATTCCCACTAACTAATGTTCTTTGTTTAATTGATTAACTCAGTCTTCAAACTCTTTTGCTTTAGATGTCTCTCCTAAGCGTCATGATGTCAAAAAAACTGGATGCCTCACAAATACCTATATCAAACTGATTAATTATGTGAGAAGAATATCTGAGAATTTCCCACCTCCACTGACATGAAAAAAACTGATGCAGAAGCATACCCACACCTCTGGTCATCCACAAGACATAAATTATGTCTGACATTTTCCTTATTACTTACCCAAACCTTTACATGACTAAAGAGTGTCCAGCCCTAGGGTCTGATCACTTGCTTTTGTTTCAGCAACCTGTCCTCTAGAATGCGCTCTCGAATGCTCTTTACCCAAATCCTGTAACATTTGACATTTCAGTAGAACTAAGGGAATGGACTCCAGTTCTACTCATCGGTTACCTAAATCTCAACAAATAATCTTCCCAAAAATGTTCCATTTACAAACGAAATGATAAATCTAGAAAAGGAAATTCTCTCCCCATTCTATAATTATCAAATAACTTTCTTCACCTTAGATTGGTCTCTGTCCAGAAGACTGTAGAATGCATAAAAGCATCTACTTTTCCAAAGAGATTTTGTTGAGTTTGTTTGACTGATGTTCACAAATTTAAAGGGAACAATTTTGAAATGGAACTACTTCTTTCTATCAAGCCTTTTTCTGCTGCAACGCTGGGTGGTCAGAACCAAGAGTAAGCACGAACATACAGTCTGGCATTACATAAACCGGTATTTATACTTTAGTAAATAAAGCATCTAATAAGTATAGACACATAAGACTGCACTCATTCATGAACATTTAAATTATCAAAAATAAGAAAGGGAACAGCTGGTAAAGTCCTTGCATTCTAATAATTGTTTTGTTTAAGCAATTATAACTTGATATTTGTTATACAGGGGGCCCCAAAAATTTGCCAGGGTTACGTTCTCAAAATGGCCGCGAATTGCCAAATCTGTGAATAGCATTTGCGGACCGGAAAAGGGGGGGGGGGGTATTGTATATGTGTGTGTCACCCTCAAGTCCGTGCTCTATTAACAAATTAATAGAGCACGGACTTGAGGGTAGGCTGTCACATTTTTAATAAATTTGTTTCTGATTATTTGTGAGAGTATTTTCCCATTATTATTTATTTGTATGTGTTTTGTGTGTGTGTGTGTGTGTGTGTGTCCACACACACACACACATATATTTACAATACAGGTAAAGGAAATTACTGTTTCTGGAACAAATGGCTCCCTGTCCCAGCCACGAAAATGCCAGCAACTTTAAAACTACCCACAGACATTCTTGGGTACATCCAGGGTGTCATCCGCAAATAAACAAGAACTGCGAAGTAAAAATACGAGAACTTGGGGGGCGTACTGTACTTGCATCTTCTTCATTATCTTGATTAAATGTCCCACTTAATAACACTCTTGGTTTCATCCACTGTAAAAGTTGAGTTGTTTCCATCAACCTTTGCATGTGTTGTATGGTTCCTTGGACTTTCCTACTGTACACCCCATTAACTGTCTCTATTGATGTTTCTTCCTTCTTTATTTTCCTTGGTTCTTTGATCATTTAAACATTGTCTTCTCCAGCCTCGAGATCCCCTTAATGAGCATGTAACAAGACCCTTGGATAGTCATACAGCATGTTAACTACTTCCTGGTGGGAGGGTCACAGCAGGTGGGAGGGTCACAGCAGGTTGGAGGTGTCCAGTCCATCTTTCACACTCTCTGAACAGTTCAGTGATGGCAGAGTCTCTAGTCACTTCTCATTTTTCAGTGTAAAGATGAACCCATAAACAGCTTGGTGAGGTACAGTTGGGAAGAGATGGAAGTAGCAGCAGTATTATCAAAGAGAACTCCAGCAAGGTGTCTTGAACCCAAGCACAAAGTTGATGCCTGTGAAATCTATTCAAGTCACAGGGTAAGTGTAGGAAGCTGTATTCGTAATTAATATTTTAAGAAAAATTATCACTTGATTCTCTTGCTGCTTTACATAGGCAGGAAGTCCTCAAAGGATCAGTACCCTCCAGGCTACCATCCTGACACCAGTATATGTCAACTGAGGCAGATTGTCAGAATGATTCAAAACCAACAGTTGTACATTCTGTTGTTGTTGTTGTTCTACTACAGGTATAATAGATGATGACTGTATCTGATAAATAACATAACTTGTTTTTTATACAAAAAGCTATCTACATTTCCATAAATGATCCAAGAACCACTACTAACCCCACAGTCAGACTGAGGATCAGCAAGAATAAAGGTGACTTTGCCTTGTCTAGTTCGGCTACAGTACACATTAAATGTTTATACAGGATAATCTAGATAGAAATTATAAATATTGTGGTGCTACCCATCCCTCAAAGGCAGACATGTGGGATAAAATAGTAAAACTGATGAGGTTTACAAATTACAGCTGCCAAAAACCGTAATGTACAAAGTACAGTCAACAATAAAATTTTCTGCACCTTTACTGTGTTATACATTATGACACACTACCAAGAATTCTGACAAACATACAGGTATGGGTTTTATGTATTCCTGTTAATTTCTCTGAATTAACTAAATGTGTTATACAGAAAGTATTGTAGTGGTTAAACAATGATCACACAATCAGAAGTACCAACCTTACCCATAAACACAGACTCAGTCAATGATCATTACAAAGGCCATCAAACCCGAGGGTGCAGAAAATATTTTTGTTGACTGTACATGATGCATCTTAATGGGGAAATTATGGCAAAAATTAAAATTAAAAGATGTATATGTTCAAGCAACATGTGTGGCATGACTGCAGTCCTTGTGTATGAGGCATCCTCTTGTAAATCCTGAAAACAACATTAATAGATAGAATTTCTCACACACATATTTGTTTATGATGTTTTAAAGCCTATGAAACTTGAAGGCTGGCCACTAGTAATATGTTCCTAAACAACTAACCCAAGCTCCTCGTCAGCTTCAATATCACGATTTGCGAAGAAAGCAATTCTTGGGAAGGTTAGATCTTGATGGTCAATGAAGACTTTGACTGGTGTAAGGTTTGCTTCACACAGATGGTTGATGAAGCGAGCTATATTACCATATGCTCTTGCATCAATACAGAAGGTTTCACTATCCTGAAAGAAAACTTTACATCAGTATCATTCACTGAAGGTTATGCTGTACCTCAGTTTAATAATGTCAACACGTGCAAAGGAAGGGCTACAAAATGTGGAGGGTGGTAAGGGGGTGCAGAAATTTCTCTCTCAAAATGGATAATTAAAATTATACCACATTAAAAAAAATTTAGTTACAAATTGCAAAAATTAAGGACAATTTCAGATTTACAAAGCACAATTTAGTAGTAATGAAAATTTCTCAGGTAAATTGTACAATGAATAGAAAATTTTGTTTCCTACCTCCAATACTTCACTAAACACAAAATAATCTATAACATTGAACATAATACAATTAAACTAAAACTTAACTACTGTAAACTACTGTATATATAACATAATAAAGGCGTTATCCAGTAGTCTTCTCGACTAAGAGGAACCCTTGACCAGGATCATCAGCTCTGGGGTCACCTATGTTGATGTTATCTATTAGAGGACTAAATAGGGTAAATACTGTACACTTATGGTCAGAAATTTGACACTTGTATCTGTGAGTGGAAGGATGATGGTCTGTAAAGAATGTTAAAGAATGGGAAGATGTGTTATGAATGTTTTAACTAATCATGGGGAAATCAATGTGTAATAAGCATGTTTGTATGTAGAGACTGTGGTGGTGCATGGAAATTATTTTATGGGATGGAATAGTGTTAAGGTTTTGTGTGTTTTCAGTAAACATGGTGTGGTGGTGGTGTATTGTGATGGTTTATGTAAATCCTGGGTTGTGAGAAGTATTGGTTCAAAATGTGAATAATAATATATGAAGAAGTTTCAAGATTTACCTTATTATCAAGATCAAACAAGTAAGAGTCATCCTGTCTCTGGTCAGCCTCCAAATCAGTAATGATCTCTCCCACATATTCACACACATAGGAGCCCTGTAACATCATATAATACAGTTACTATCTAAGTTCAGACTATATCTCTGTTAGCTGGAACAATTGATGCAGAGCACTTCCGGGAATGACATATTTCCGGGTAACGGAAAAATGTTCTCGGAAGTTCCGGAGATGTACTTTACACCATCTCTCAAAGCCAGAAAAATACTCCCCTATCCCTGGAATTTTCCGGAATCTTCCAGGTATTGGCAAAAATTTCTCAGAATTTTCCAGAAAATCGTCCCCAAAGCCAGATTTTTCTGGAAATTCTGGAAAATTCCGGGTTTGGGAACGATTTTTAGAGAAACTTTCAATTCCGGCTATAAGAGAGTTCCGGGGTTGAGGGATTCCTGCTAACGGAGATATTACTGTACACTATTTTTTTTATGTATTAAATTTTACACAACATAATACTGTACAGTAATTTTACAACACAAACTGTAAAAAAACAATTTAGGTTATACTTTATGTTATGGTATTAAATGCACATTACTAAAAAATAAAATTAACTTCATCAAATTCATTTAAATTTTCCATTAAAATGATGATTCATTTTCAGAAGCTTTACAAAATTTTGACTCCAAGTTATACCATGACATAATTAAGTACATCTGTCACATTCCTAAATTTCTTCAGTTATTCTTTATACAAATAGAGTTCAATCATATGGTGAAAATTCAGAGTAAATTCATTACACTGTAGGAGGGAAAGATGCACTACTGCATGCCTCCACACTACTGTACGTTCCTTATTGTATTCTGTTATATGGAATGATTACTGAACCAGCATGAATAACAAAAATTAATGTAATTTATCAACAAACTCTTACCTTTTGAATGGTCTTAAGTGCACGAACACCCCAACCCTTTTCTGTTGTTTTGAACAACTGCATGTGGGCGGAAATCCCATGTTGTACCACACGATTATTGCAAGATAATTTGTTGCAACGACAAGCTCGGTTACACTCAAAGATCATCGGTGGATCTGAAAATACTGACACAGTAAGTTAAAAAGAAAAGACCATCAGGATTACAATCCAGGCTACATCAACACACAACTGCAATCCTCTATGACAATGTTAATACCTGCATAGTTGAAGTCTGGCAGGAGGCGACCATCTGGGTCATACCAACACTGGAAGTTGAGCTGACCACAGCCACAGTGGTCTGCATTACAGCCGTCCTCACACTCACACCACTGTGTTTAATTAAAAATTAAAAATATATAACTGCTGTACTGTACCATAGAAAACCCTACAGTGTTTATGTGACTCAAGAGTAAGAATGAAGACCTGAGAATTATATGTTCATTCTGTTAGCTTTAGTAAACTCCAGTAGTGTATATCAAACAAGAAACTATTTCTTTAAGTCAACAACATTAATAAAACAGACCTTCAATGACGTAATCGTGCGGTCAATGATAACGTTGGATGCCTCGCAGTTCTCGGCGATATACAAGTAGTCTTTGGGGAGCAGGTCATCATCATTACCGTTGACACATGGTATTGGTACTTCCTCTTTGCCTCCAGCAATGTCACTGTTTACAAGTGAAAATGAGAGTTAATCCACTTGAGTTTATCTTCCTTGTACAGATTTATCTAAGTTGATTCATTTTCATTTATCTCTATCTGTTTTTTCTTGTCCTGCCTATTATATATACACACATAAAAAAACATTTTCCACAGTAATACTAAAAATTATATAAAAGGTTACTTCACAACTTGCTGTCTTACCTGCTCAAGATCTTTTCAGTGCGGATGTTGTTTTGTTGCATCATTTCTATCAGTTTGCTATTTAAAGTTAGTTGTAAGTAAACATCCGAGTCTGGCAAGGCACAGTCAACAGGTGTCTGGCATTTGGCATTCAATACATCTAGACGTGCACCTCGGGCCAGTAATAGGACCACAGCGTCAATGTGGTTCTGTCTAGCAGCAATGTGTCTGAAGGTGGAAATGTTTTAGACTAATTAAAGTCATGTTATATCATCAATTGGTAACCCTGCCCTTTACAATCTATTAAAAATACACTCAAATAAAACTTCCTATCGAGCCAATTATATAAATACAGTACAGTATACAGAAAAATCTTGCTAGTCTGGAACTAAATGGGGGAATGGGGAGGAAGGGTCCAAATCACCTTACAGTCCGGACTACCCGTTATATGAAGAAGAAATGCATTATAAATAAAGTACAGTATAATAAAATTATAAGCTCTTAAAACAGTAAATTAATACCACAACCACACAATGATGGCAACAAACTAAGAGTACTGTAGCTACCTAATTATTTAGTGAGTGTTTCAGAGGTAGACAGGAGCTCAACACCACTTAAATGATGAAGCTCATACCTCTTGTGAACAACCTTTACCAGTTGTGTCACGGTTATTCTTGTTGACACACAACTCTACTTGTACTACCATCACTGATATCAAACTCTAAAGGCAACATGGATATACAGTACTGTACTGTATTACCTTTTCATTTTATTCTTTTCTATTTTAGGACCCATTTTAAACACTTTCTAGGACCCTAAAAGATAGAAAGAAGAACAAGTGTCTTTAAAGGAATGTTTTTGGTGTATGGTTTGGGGCTGTAGTCTCATACACTATATTTCCCACTGGAATACATAGAATGATATAACATGATTTCATATTGCATGACAATTTTTGGCCCAACTCATGTTATATACAGTAGAGGGTCTTCGCTATCTACCTTGTAACCTCTATTTCTGTTTTTACAGCTCTTTCATTTCTTCTCACTCTTTAGTCTGGTGCAGAACCCAGCATAATGTAACCTTAATTCTAAATTCTTAAATCTGTTTGTGTATTCTACAGATACAGTATGTTGGTCAGATATTTGCTGATGGCTTAAACTCTTCAGCATGTTCTACTACTGCTATAGGCAAATATTAAGAATAAGCTACACTGGCAGGAAAACAAATGAAGAAGTACTAAGAGTGACAAGAAAGTGCCAAGACTAGTAGATACACCAACACGTACTTGATCACATCCTCAACAGTATACAGTACTCACAAAGGTGTATCTCCATGAGCATTCATGGACCGCAGTGAGCACCCACGATCTAGGACCATTGAACAGATATGAGTAGACCCAGAGAAGGCTGCCCAGTGTAATGCTGTGTTTTGCTCCACATCACACAGTTGTGGATTTCCTCCACGATCCAGTAAAAATCTGAAAACATATAATAATGGATTGATTATGCTAAACCAAATGTAGCTTAATTGTTCTTATTTCTAAACTTTATACAGTAGCATTATATTTCCTTTATTTCTAAACAATATTAGAGTACAGTATTGTAATGATGTGCACTTGGAGCACAGAATCCCCAGTTTTTCCCAGGGAGTCTTACATCACTAAACCAAATTTTGACCAATCATTAAACAAGAAAGGGTGTTTAAAAATATCATTAAGTGAATGAACATTAAACGAGATACGCCTGTACAGCGTTTCCATCATGAATTAACTATAGTTAATCCTTGTCATTTAGCATTATATCCATCCTCAAAATACACTTTATGTCCTGCTTTCCTGTTACTCTAGTACACTCCCGGATAAACTAACTCATCATTCTAGAACACTTACGTGACAACATTAATAAATCTATTTTCTGAAGCCCAAACCAGTGGAGTCCAGCCTCCCTCATCTTGCATATTGACAGCATGTCTGCTAAGTCTCCCTGAGTCCAAGATGTGTTGACAAGCTAAAAGGTTTCCACATTTTGCAGCCAGATGAAGACAGGTCATGCCATCCTGAGTCTAAAAGAAATATAAAAATGAATAAACAAAACAAAGATATACAGCACAGAGGGTCCCCAACTTACGAACGCCCGCCAATATGGACGGGTTTAAACTTGAAATTTACAGTATTTTACTTACCTGATAACTTATTTTTTACTTTAATTTACTGTATTTCGTCATTCTATTTCTTCTTTTGTCTTAAATTAAGTGATTTTAGATGTATATAAGGACTCAGGCTATGATATACCTGTAGTGGGATTTTAAACATTGCTCTGTAAATATGCACACTTGTTCCAACTTACGTACAAATCCGACTTAAGAACGTCCTCAGGAATGGAACCCGTTCATAACCCGAGGACCCCCTGTACATACTTTCCTCCGGCAAAGCCTCAAAATGTAATGTTCTTTGCAGAGGTTACAATACTGAAGCTTGAGCGGAGTATAAACATCTACCTAAGATTTGGATACAGTGTTAACTATGAACCAAGCAAGGTGTGTTGATAAAGTAAGGGGACACTAAGACAACTGTTATGGGATGGGTAAATTTTTTCATATGTGAGGTTAAAGGAGGATACTGCAGATAAAACACTTATCATCATCGTCTTATGGCCATTTTCCACACTTGCAGGAGTTAGCCGTGATCATTCATTATCACTAGCTTTTCATAGTTGTATCATTGCATTCATTTGTCTTATTTTATATTATACAAATATAATTCAAAAGCTTTTTTATGGAAGAATTATCAAAATTTCAGCATAAACCTCCCCAATGATACTAAAGCCAGCAAACAAATGACAGCGGTTTGTTACTCCTCTTTATATCTCTTCTCTTATTTACACAAGCTAGGGAGATAAAAGTCTATTATCTTTAAACCCTCACCCACTACTGTGTACAGAAGCTTAATGGTGGTGTAGAAAGTGTCAATATGAAGGGAATTACACCATAGATGGGGGTAATCATATTTTGCAATCATACTTGATTACATTTGATTACACTTATTCAAATAATTGTTATTATAATCCATTTCACTGCCCATGAAATATCCCCATGCCTGCCATACACACTGGAGTGATAGTACTGTACTGTACCATCATTGATAACATACTATACTCCACTAGGTGTTCATTCTAACATTTCCAGAAGGTTTTCAACTATCTCACCTTGGCCATGAGTGATGCTCCTGCTTGTATTAAATAGTGAACTAAATTATTCTGTTCTTTGGTAATGCCAACCATCAGAGGTGTCATAAGCTGAGTGTCAGTCATGTCTATAGTTGCACCAGCAAGGGTCAACACATGCAGAGCTGCAAGACTTCCATAGGCTGCTGCAACGTGCATTCCAGTTTGATTTCCATACTCCTTCACCTTCACATTGGGGTTCATACCATGCACTGAAAAATAAATTGAATTTCATACAGTAGGTTTTCACACCTTCATTAAAAATAATGTACTGGAAGCAGCTATTATGAACTGGAAGTAGCTATGATAAACTGGTAGCAGCTAAGTGTGTTATGGGTAAGAAGCTTCCATTCAGTACTTGTTCCAATTCATTTGTACACAAGTGAATCCATAGCTTTCCTTAGAGTCTAAACTGATTTAAAGATTCTTCTATTTTATGGTGGGGGAAGGATGGAGATGACCATAGAAGCCAATAATAATAATAATAATAATAATAATAATACTGTATGAAGTGAGCAACGTAACATTGAAAATGTCTGGGAAGACCAAGGCACCCAGGAAAACTGTTTCTCTGGAGGTGAAGCTTGAAATTGTGAAGCTGTGTGGTAGTCAGAGTGAACATCTCCACTCCACCTTTAAGAGTCCCCTTAGCCTTGAAGGGGACCTGTGATGATGACCAGGCTTGTTCTCAGTGATGCGGGGGAGCGTTGTAGGTGTATTATTAGTGTAGGAATTTTTTTTCAGCGATACACTTGGGTATTGGACTGGCTGGGAACGTATCCCACTGAATCCCATGTTGTAATGATACCGATTTAGAATATTTTGACCTGTGATGGGTTCTTTCAAAAACTTGACCCCATCGTAAATAGGGGGATACCTTTATACAGCTTCCTGTGTGCTGAGACAGTGCAGATAAATGACAATATTAAACAGTAAGGCAACTTTACCCAAGATAGCCAACAAAGCTGCCAGATAATTATTTCCAGGAAGATCCTTTGCTTAGGCTTAGTCTCTAATCAGTAATACTGTAGTATGTCTACAGGAGTATTATCAAAAGTCTATTTGATAGACTTCAACAAGCATTACTATGTATCTATATGACACAGCTACCTACTGTACATCAAACATGGTACTGTACTTACCTAAAACGTGCAGTAATTTTTCCAAGTCATTTTGTTTGCATGCCCAATAAATTCCTTTTGGTGAAGGTCTGAAAATATTAAATACAATACTTAATATGATGCATATCTTGCAGTAAATTGTTAATATATAATTAACAACCATTTTATTCAATTAAAAGTCAAGAGGGCATGAAAGACGTAATATAAAACTACTGTACTGTACTGTATTGTACAGGGTATAAGGGTTTTTAAGGCTTTATTGGAATTTAAGGGGCTTAACAAGTTAAGTACTTCCACAACAACACGAACACACCAAAACCGCACCTCAGAAATCCATGGTTGGCCAGTAATTAGCATTGAAGTACAGTAATGTTATTTAAATCTTCCAAGTGTAATTACAACCACTAATTACCTTAAAATTAACTTACAGTATAGACCATAGATTCGTAAGCAACATGCTCAGGAGTACTTATACTCATATTTTAAATAAAATTCCAGAGATCGAGATTTTGGGCCAAAACGCCTAAAACATTAAGCCTTTGTAATTTTTCAATTGAAATATACTTTTCTTTTGGAGTTGGAACTTAAGAGGTTAACAAATTACGTACCTCCAGAATAACACAAAAACAACAAAATTGTACCTTGGAAACCCATAACCGGTGAGTAATTAGCACTGAAAAAATGTCATTAAAATCTTCCAAGTGTTTTTACGACCACTAAAACTACGACTACTATTAGTTGCATTTCTCTGGAACATATCCCCGGCATATAGTAATAAAGACCCCTTGTACTGTTGTCAATTAACAACTGCCATACACTGCATTTGGTTTTATTACTTTACTGTGCACTGTACTTGTTTATGGTACAGTATTTAAAGAAAATGTGATAATTTTACAAGCCAAAATTGTATTTTTTTCTGTTACTCTTTATCTTTGACTTTATTTCCTTTCACCCAAAATCTGAACCTCGCCCCCCTCATAAAATCCTGGTTCCGCCCTTGCTGCCATACATATTACCTAAAAAATACAACTACTGTACGTTACTGTACTTTCAATACCCATACAGTATATGAAACAAACACAAACTTACTTGATATTAATTGATTTGCCATCATTGATGGACCGGATGGCCTCTTGAAGTTTTTCTCGTCCAAAACCGAGCGGTAACTTGTGGGCGGATATAACACGGCCATTACGAAGTTCTAAATTCGGTTCATTCTCTGGTAATGATTCTGCTTCAACCACTGCCTCAGGGACCACTTTCTTTGACCAGGTCATACGGGCCGATGCTCTGCCAAAAGAGTAGGTTTATACACGTAAACCAATCATGTTGGATGAATAGTGACAAATTGGTGAGGATGTATTCAACACTTGACAGTTCAGGACAGTATTGTAATAGGTATGAGAGACTTTTATTTATGGAAGTGTTAGCAATGTTTTTCCTGAAGATTAACGTGATGGATGTGTGAGAGCTTGTGATTAAGGCATTTCTGGAAAGGTGCTACAGATATTAACATGTAACAGCAATGATATAATATACAGTACTGCATTAGTCAAACCCACAATAAAAAGAATAGAGTACTCACTCTTTCCTCTCCTGGTGCTGTTTAAGATACACTACAGGTTTTCTATTGAGTTTTAGCTCCAGCTGGACCTCCTTTGGTGGCTCCTCTGCACCACAGTGAGGACATAGTGTTGTACCAGCTAATACCAGACCACACAATTTATGGTAGTAGTGACGCATGCCACACTTGTCCCAGGAACACTCATAGAAGATGCCCTATTGTGTGAGCAAGAGTCTGCACTTAGATCTCCCATCCAAGATCAAAGAAGATCAAACATATAGAGACTGTTCCAAAAACAAACTGAAGTGACCCAGACATCAACTGAATCAGTATATTTACTCAGCAGTTGGTTTAAAATATGATAAGTGGCACATAATTTAAGTTCTGTTATTCATCCTGCAAAGTGACATTACTTGCCGGAGTAGGGAGAGCAATACTGTATTATAGATAGACTAACCTGAGTGCAGAAGAGTCCACAGCACGGACAGCAGTTGTGCCGACGTAAGCGTTGTCTGTGGATGTCACACAGCAGCATAAAGGGAATCTTTCCACTCACACGCAGATACCTGAAGAGACCAAGGATTGCTCTTCACATATTCTTGTACAACTATTTACAGGAGAAACATAAACTATGTCTATCTCTATAAATCATACTCAGTAAAACAATGAGCTGACTGACTTAATCCATTACCAATTATGTACAGTTCATTAAAAAATATCTTATTATTATCAAATATATTACCTTATTTATTATTAAAATATAAACTGTCTTTAATGGGGGTAAAGTACACTAGTCTAATCAGATTTGATACAGCCCTAACGAGAACTAATACGTAGGTATGAGGTGACAGTTTATGTGCTGGGGTAAGCACTGGCCGTTATATTCTCATATGATCTGCCTCTTATGGTGTATGGTATGTACTATCAGTAATATTATATAAAAAATTTACAATTTGTAATTTGATTTTAAAATAATGGAGATGAAGATGGACTGTGCCAGCCTGGCACAGTCCATCTTGATCTCCATGACACACACACACACATTCGTCGTCTGCTCTCTTCCCAGGAGGCTCACTGTCACCATTGTTTGAATTATTTTACCTAAAATCTTACTATTTTTCTGTGGCTGAATGTGTGTTTAGCTTCAAGCTGACCAATCACAGTGCAGCATTATAGGGGAATCCATTCTAAGAGTGGGGGAATAATCTGCTAACTCACGGGTCTGAGAGGAGGAAAGAGGCCAAGGGATTGCTCGCTGGCAGGAGTTCCATATGACTGCGAGTGTCAGTGGGAATTTCAAGAACACACATTTAACGGTTCAGACAAATGTTTCTTGCCCGGAAAAGATCTGGACTATCCGAAATCCGGACTTTCGAGAGTTTACTGTGCAGTATATAGTATCTTAAAAAAAAAAAAAAAAGTTACATACAAGGTTACAATAATAGACCAAGCTTATGACTGAAAGGGTTAAAATTCAATGAGCAGTTGATTATGTACCCCCAAAAAATTATTTAATACTACAACTGTGACATTTTATTAACCTAACAATCTGTGCTGCCTTACCTCTGGTTTGTGACAACATTGCAACAGCCAATCATCCGTCCATCAAATGAATCAACAGCCTGGCAGTATAGATCCCCAGTAACTCCTACAGCTACAGGATTTTCTTTGATGCGACACTTGCACAGCACATTGGTTAGGCTCGGTGTAGCCTAAGGCAGAGAAGGAAGGTACAGTAACAGTATACTGCACTGTACTTTTTATCATCCCCTGTTACAAGAATATTGCCAACTTTATTTACTTTAGCTAGAAGAAAACTATGGCTCTCAAAACTTGACCTATTTTCTATACTGTTCTAAGAAAATATATACAGTACTGTAATCATTACTGTCAGCAGTTACTAAACTTCAACACTTAAATACATTACACTTACCTGTACACAAATGAAAGGCTCAATATTATGAGACAACCTTAAGAAAATCTCTCACAAACAGTACTGTACTAAACCTTTTCATTAAAAGACATTTCACATGCATCTCAAGTGCCATCAATTCACAGTCAACATTATCCTTTCATAACAAAAAATAAATAAAACAAAATCCCAAATTGCACTTCTTGTTATATACTGTATACAGTACTCATTGTAATACACCGATTCTCACATGACAAGAGTGATAAGCTTAAACAACACTGAAGGAATCAACCCCACAGTGCTTAGATGGCAGTGTTCTCACTTACCATCTCAGTGGTCATGGATCACAGCCTGCAGGGGCAGTAGTGTTGCTCCTGAATATGAAGTTGCTAAGAATATCTAGTCCCAAGACCAAAGCCATCCATGACAGTGAGCACAAGCTAAGTGCACTTAAGTATCAAATAAAAGAATAAGCTTCAGAAAAAGGATATGTTGGCTCCAAAGGTGGATTTCACCCTCCTCCCCACTGGCTCATGATATAAGTTTGTCTGCCCAAAAATCATAACAATAAATATAAGATCTACTGTATTATAATTTATTGGCTTCTCATGGAGCTAAAATAAGAATATCTTTCCCTTACCACTTCAGTAACAAGAAACAAGAAATGTAAAGGAGTCTGATGTGGGAATGGATATTAATCTTCCAATCTCTATATGAACTGTGACAGGAAGCTGACAATTTTCCAGCCCAATATAAACTTACCTAATACAGAAACTATGATTCATTTAGGAGAATACATCATGACTTAAATACAAAATAATAATTTTCTTCATCTGATATATTCTACAGTCAAACAAAGCCTTTATTTCACTCCTCTTTATAAGTTTATCACATTTTATGGTCTTATAACAACTTTCTCTAACACTGATAATGCTCCCCAAATATTCATGAAGCAGCATAATGGGGTGTACACACTTGGACGTGATCATTTAGAGAACACCTCAAGCTATGCATAGGATTCCCAGAGTGAGTTGTGACAACAAAATATTAAATGTTTTCAAGAAATATTTTTGCTCTGTTTTTCCCATTCACCAGTTTTGTTAAAGGTTGGAATGCCTTTACTCATCCACCTGCAAATTTAGCCACCAAAAACAAGTGGGCTAGAAGATCCCTGACAGGCCAGCTTGACAGTAGTGTTCAGCCTCACTCTGTCACATCACCAGTACTAGACATCAATCAGCTTTATCAACCACAAAGCAACAACTGATTGTTACAATTATTTTACAGTAATTTGCTAAGCATCCTGATAATCATTACATATAACTGTTTATGAGTTTCTGTAATACAAATCCCAGAAATTATGTATTTAGACCTATGATAGAAGGAAAAATAGCTCTGTTTATAGAGGCTGAGGGGGTGATGGAGTGATAAAAGATAGCAGGGACCTGCAAGATTGATGTCAGATGACAAACAAGGTGTCCACAGAGGTAATGTGATGGACGTTTTTGACAAGAGGTTGATAACCCATAGAATGAAAGAGGGAAGCAGAATAATGTATGAAGGAGAGAATAAGAGAGGGGTTAAGTAAAAAAGATTAGGTAATGGATTCATGTAGTGAATTGGCAGTAGGAAGCATCTTTTGTTGTGGTCATCCCTACCCAGGTGAGTGGGCATGTGTGCTATGTAATGTGTGTCTGAGCTTTTGAGTTAAATTACAGCATATCTCAATACAGTACAGTACCTATATGTGAGAACATCAGGGCTCGAGTTGTAAAAAGTTATATCATAGAATCTGTGAATCAAAGTCAAAGTCTGTGCAGCATATGGCTGTCACTGCCTCAACCAAGTTATTGTACAAAACAATGTCTTCTGTGCATTACTGGCAAATCGTTTTTTATATTTTCTAGCGTTTTATCTCTTCCGTAATTTTTCTGATGTTTTGTAACGGGTTTTGATTGATTTTTTTAAACCCATACTTGGCCTAATACATAGATCATCTTACGCAAGTGGTCTTCTCTGAGCGGCCTATTATGTAGATCTACATATTGTATCTTTAAAATTTCCGTGGCATCTGAAATGGCCCAGTGTGATGTACTGTGAATGATGCCCTGCTCTGAGCTACTATCATACAATAAAAAACTACTAAACATGAAAAATAAGCATCGTAAATACTATATGTAAATACCTACATAAGTATCATAGAAGTAAGAAACTTTGGCGATAAAGATATTCACGTTAGCAGGGTTGCGTAAGTGAGTAGCAAGATGTGTTGTGCACTTCATAATATAAACAATGTTAGTGTGATCCAATCAACTTGAAACTGACAAGCTACCACTTTTAGCAATAAACTAGATATTGTACTGTACTGTATTATATAAGTGATTAAAAGTGATCAAATTCAGTGAGGGGAACAGTGAGCATATAACTCCAGGAGTTGAAAAGAGAGACTCCATGTGACAACACTATAATGATGCATGAGACAACAAGTCCAGCACTCAACACCTTGTGCCCCACGAGCTTGAAAATGGTAAGTACAGTACAAACAAAATTAATGCTATTCTTGGGTTTTATACAACAAACTGGACCTAATTGTGAAAAAAATTAAAATCACACTTTTGGCAGACCAGGGAATCACATACAAAGATTCCAGGCGAGTTTGTGATTTAAGATGGTATAATAGAATAACAACAGCCATACAGGTATCCCCCATTATCCAAGTGAGTTAGGTTCCTTGTGAAACATTCAGATAATGAATGGGAAAAATAGTGTTCAGTTCCTCAGTGATAAGAAACCCCCAATATTACACCTAAAAAAATTTAATACGTTCACAAAAAAAAAAAACCTACCTAACTATTAAAAGGTAATTGTTAAGCTAAATAAAGTACAAGTATACTGTACAGTTGGTACATTACCTTATTGGAGATCATTCAGGGCTCACAAGGGGATGAGGAAGGATGGGTAGATTTGAATTTTAATTGATTGAAATTGCCAATCTGAATATAAGCAAGGACTGCTATCGAATAGTGAAAGAAGGATCTAAGAATAAAATTTGGGGCTAAGAGAATTTTCGGATAGCGAACATTTGGTTATCGAGATATACCACCTGGCTTATGTGCAAAACAAGTACTGTAGTTCAGTACTTATATTTATTTCATGGGTGCTACTAGAGCCCCCCGCCGGTCTTCTCATGAGTCACTGCAATACTGTACATTATCATTGAACAATATATGTAAACAATATTAGGCACAATATTACATAATGTTGTAAAGTCTTGAAAATTGGAGAAGTAATATCAACCAAAATGTGTTCCTCTGAATATTTTCATAACACAAATTATTTAGTAAAAAGTCAACAACCTGATCGTTTGGCCTCAACTCAAGCTCTGGTGAACATACTGAGATGTGTGTGTACAGTATAAGTCTTTTATAGCACAAGAATAATTCAAACTTGTAGGATATAATAAAAAATATTGTGCAAGCAATTTGGAAAGTGCAAAATCTGATAGACTATTATTTCTACAGTGTGGGTTGAATCTTACTGTGGTAAAGCAATGTCCACTCATGTATGATTAAAGCAGAAATTTGTTTAACCTTTGTATCAGTTATGATACAAGGTTACTATGACCCCTTGTTAGTTAAGAAGGAAGCCTAAACTTTCTTACCTTGATGTACAATAATATAAATTCAGAAAATGTCATTGTAAAGGGTATCACTGCTTCACAAAGTGCTTTAAAACTTTATAAAATACACATCAGCATTAAGAGCTTCTCAAGTATGCAGCATTGCAGTCTTAACATATATAAAGCACTGTTCTTAGCAGTCCATTGTTACTCAATCATACACTCCTCTCACTCATGTAATCAAAGAAAAATAATATGGCTGGTTAACTGTACTGTAACTACACTTGAGTACCAGGAATAAAAAAATATTTTTTTGGAAATAATAAATTTTCCAAAACATTTTAAAAGTTCCCTCCAAATCTCATCAGATGACCTTGCCTAGGTCGTGGGTTGGTCAGCTGATGGCACAGTGTCTCCCGCATGTCATCCCATGTTTTCTGAGAGCTGGACGGTATCACCTGTGCACTTACCAGTATGCTGTCCACAGTACTCTTTAATCACTCAGATAGCACTGTGGATTCTAACCAGGTGTGCTGCCCTTTCATAATATATAAGGGCAGAGAGAGAGAGAGAGAATGGTACTGAGTTCAGTACTGCAAAAAGAAAAAGTTCTTAGTATGAAAGATAAAGGGGAAATTATCTAAAAACTTGGATAAGTGGCAGTCAACAAGTAAACTCCATGACCAGTATGTTGCAAGACCCACAACAATTTATGGCTTGAAGAAGAAATGGGACAAATTACTCAATTTTCAACACTTCAACCCAAGTTAACCCTTTGACTGCATAAATCACCAAAGTGCGACTGAAAATAAATTACTCTTATCTGCATAAAATACAATAATGACATCCACCTTCAAAAAACTTTTCCATTACACTGAGGTGAGCAAGAACTCTTGCCACACTACAGTGTCAGCACCACATGTGAGGCTGAACCCATGTTAACGTAAGCCCAGCCTCCTGCCTCTCAGCTGACTGTATCCACCCATACACTGGTACACATCTCCTGTGCTATAACTTCATATTAACCATAACATAGGTCAATTATCGATTACTCGTGCTGTTTCCTCATCAATATTTTAAATTTTGTAAGGAATGCACCGTTTTTTTTCTTCACATATTGAACAAGTATGTGATTAGTTCTTGTCACTACCGCTACAACCACAGATGATATACATGTACAGTAGCAGCAGCCCACACCAATGACCGATCGCAGGCTGCTCTTTATCCAAATGAAAACTGATGAATATTATTAAATATTTCAACTTCTGAAAGCCTATTGGATCCAAGCATTTCAGATTCCTGATACTTAAGTATAATGCATACCAAGGGTGGCCCAAAAGTTACCAGGTAAATATTGTACAGTATAAAGTAAAAAATATTTGTCTAGAATTTTTTATGATAGTTAAGATATTTATTTACTGATTACCTCACAAGATTGCCACTGAAGAGTATATTACTGTAGCTGTTTGAATAGTTATCTGATTGCTCAAATCTTAATTGGCTCAAGACACTAAGGCCACCCTGTATATGATGTTATTACCATGTTGGATGTGGTATGGGTATGCAGTTATAGCCAAAATTCCCTCAACACCCAGCAATATACGGCATTAACTTGTGGGTCATATACAGTAAGTTATTAGCTTACAGTTGGTAAATGTTGCCTTTTATAACAATATAGTGTATGTCAGAACACCAATACAGCATTAAAAAAACCACTATAATTAAAAGTAAAATCTGAGTAAGTTAATGTTAACATCCAAATCCTCCTTGTATTCATGACCCTCAAGCAGATGTCATATTTCGCCAAAAGTATTGAGAAAATTTGTTCCCTAAGTGTACCACGATTCCAACTTGCAATAAACAGAATTAAAAGGTTCAAAGTGTGCGCTTGTTTTAACGTAGAGTACTGTAAAGTTTATCAAAAGTACCCTGTAGATAGTGTCTGTTGAAGGTATAGCATAAACAAAACAAATAAAATAAGCAATGCAATAATCATCTGATGGTAGAGTATTTAGCCCATGAAAATGTTCCTGTAACATTACACCATGTACCTTGTCTCCATCTGACTTCAGTCCACTGAAATGTTTATTGGTGAAACAAAGCAATAAGATAAAAGCTCAAGGCAACTGAAACCTTCATTATGCACTCACGCTAAATTAAATAAGATTAAAATAAGCAAAAAGTGTAACAGATAGTATAAGAACTTTTGAAGTCATCTATTGTCAAACATACTTTCATCTGTACAAAGCTTGGCAAATTTCTTTTAAAACCAAACAAAATAAATGAAACAGACTTAAAATCAAACATACAGAAAGTACATTTCCCTGCTGCTGACAGCTCTGGGTCAAGGTCAGTGGTGGAGACAGGATATAGCGCTGGCGCTCTTCCGGTGATACCGGGGTCTGAGGGTCAAGAATGCCACTTGAGAAGATGATGATAAGAGGATTGTATTTAGCAGTCATGGTTATGGTAAAGGTAAAGCCTCATATCAAAGTGAGAAAGTTTCAAAAACTAAAAATAAAATAAAATAGAATAAAGAAAAATAAAATAGAGAAAAAGATTCATGAATGTATCAGGTGAACAATGAATTTGAAATGTGTACATGAATAATCAAGTGCCTCTTTCCTTCCACTATTGAAAGTAAATCTGGGTAATGTTCTCATGAAGTCTTATAGAGGTGACACAAGTAAGGGCTAACTACTGAACAATAAATGGAAAAATCTGTAGATAAATCAGCGATACAATAAAATTAGTGGATGGTAAGAAATGTAAATAAGTCCACCTGTATATGAGCCGGGAAGAAACAACCTTTTTCCACCTTTGCTCTACAGTCTCTTCTCTCAGGTTATGGCCACTGAAATTACTCCAAATTCATGATGTGCATTGCAAACAAATTTCTACAATGTTCATGAATGCTGGTGCAGGGTCTATAACAGGCCAAACTCTTTAGCTCCCACTTACTGTACAGCCACAGCCCTGGTAAACACACAGTGAAGTATCCTTACATACCAAGAGGTTATGTCTACAAGTTACTACACAGCCTCTTACAGAAATAACCAAGTCATTTTTCACAACTGTTGATACTTAAACTAAACTTTCTGATACTGTACCATATTTACAGTGACTAGGACTGTTCTTACCAGCATATAAAAACAACCTGGTTTTCCTAAATATCATCAAGCATCAGCAATTCAAGTATTACATCACTTATAAACTTGATTACTACTGTACTTCTAACTGGGATCTGGAAGAGGACAGAAATTAAGGGAGTAGGGATGTGGCAGAGTGAGATACAGAACATCAGATCAAGAGTGAAGGATGCAAAACAGAGTGTGGCAGAGATGGATCCAAGCAGTCAACCTCTAACCTCAGGGAACAGCTAAAGGTAGAAGTTAATTTCCGTCAAGGGTTCAGGATTTAAGTTTTAGGAGTTCAGTAATGGCTTTCAGACCCAATTTAATTTGGCTCTGATGAATCACTGGTTCAGACAATACCATTCAGTTGTAGCAAAGTTGAAAATGAAAAAAAAGTGACTAATAAATATGTAAATGTTAGGTGAAGAGATAAAACCAAATTTTCAAAGTTTATAAAATGAAAAATTAAATATTTTCAACAAAAGATTAAAGGAAGTGACAAAGCTAAAGAAAAGCCTGCAATTACTTTGGGGAAAAAATTATATATTAAATACTGTACCTTAGTTAATAGTTATGGTATATTATTCTGCTTGTGAAAGGAATCACAAATGCTTTTTCTTGTTTTAATAACAAAAAGACCAGCAAAAACCTACCCATACTAAGTACATGTACTCCAAGAAGGTTAACTGATACCTATGCCTGGAACAAGTGCTGCATATGGCAAAAAAAATAAATAAATAAATAAAAAATAAAAAGTTTTCTCCTTATCTAAGAAATACAATTTCAATATTGTACAATAGTTTGGAACAACTGGCAGCCAATGAGTGCCGGTTGGAACATAATGCATTTATAGGTGCAACCCTTCCCTTCATACAGCACTCTCTTACTCTCAGATCTTATCAGTGTACATAGTGTGTAACTTAAATAAACCACAGAAAAGACTATAAGGGTTTACTTGGGGGGGGGAGGGGGTTAAAATTTAATGATGCAATTTGCATCACCGATGCAAATACTGTAGAGCTCCCTAATGATTTGATGCAATTCACTTCATGATACACAAGAGGGTTAACCATGTGATAATTTACACAAATGATATGTATGTACAGTAAAACCTCGATTAACCGACCACATATGGGGGGAAGGGGCCGACGGATAATCCGAAAGGTCGGTTAATAGTACAGGTTGTACCTCTCTAGTCCGGCAACCTCGGGACCTGAGCGGTGCTGGACCATGGAAATTCACCCTTTTCCTGGATAGATAGTGACTTGTGCTTATGCTTGGAAGCACTAGCACCACTTTCTCTGCATCATGGTCTCTTTGAAGACATATTGAAGGGTTAAATGTAGTATAGTAGCTTCTCAAATTTCGCGAGTTTTTAATTCTTAACTTATTTTATTGGAACACACAAAAAAATAAATAAATAAAAATTTTGACGGCGGAAACATAAATTTCGACGGGTTTGAACGGCCCGTCAACGTGCAGACGACGTGCATAATCGTGTAAACAGCGTCATTTCTCTTATGTACAAAAGGTTCATTATTGTTTATTACTGAATGTCTTTTTTATTGAATGATGTTTGTGTGAAAAATGAGCAATACAATTCATTAATAATACGTAGAATATTAAAACACACGAGGAAATGACACAGCATTGTTTTCGTTGATTACAAAGCCAGTGACTGACTGGTTCTACATATAAAACTGAAGAAAATAAGACCTTGGTTGTAGCTGTAGTAAAATTAATATGGTTGTTTTAAGTAATGTTATTTAATGTTAATAAATGGAACAATGGAAGTAGCTAACGATAATGGTAAAGAAAAAAGAGAGATTGCGTATGTAAGTGCGCATGTGCACACGTGAAAACATATCGTCATTACTTTACATAAGAATATGAAAGCAACACTTATTTACTGCTCATATATATTGAAGGGTTAAATGTTGTACTCTGTATAGACAAGCAGAGAGAGAGAGAGCAGCCGAACTGCCGGATGTAAACAAACCTTAATTTCCCACGGCTGTTTTTGTTTTTTAAGGGGATTAGCCCACCCGGGCATAGGTCACTGACCCACATTGGGGCCTGAGGGGCAAGAATTTAATACTCCTGTAATAATAATTCAGATAAGAAAAAACTGCCTATCTACCTATTGGACAAACTAAAATCGTTCCGGACCACAGAATGCCGGACCACAGAGGTACAACCTGTACATAAAGTCTACGGAAATAAACCATACATTTTCAAAGTACCTTTCCCTAACCTACCTCATTTAATTCCCTCTATTCTTTTCTGTTCATTTGCCATTCATATTTCAATAGAATTTGCTTTAAAGCATTAACCACTTTAGCAAATAAATATGAACCAGCATAGAAACCGTGAATAACAAATGGAAAAGTCAAAGAACATGTCATCTAAAAAAAATTGTGACCAAGTCCCAGGTTGCTCATATGACTTTCTACTTCATTTACACACAATTGCAGGGTCTCAATTGCTTCTCTTACTATTGACAACACAACATACATATATTGTTTCTTATATATATATATATATATATATATATATATATATATATATATATATATATATATATATATATATATATATATATATATATATATATATATATATATATATATATATATATATATATATATACAAAAATAAATCACTGTAAGATGTAGCGTGATCTAGGTATATGCTGATAACCACAAGGAAAGAAAGAAAGCAAAAAAGTTCCCAAACGTTTTTTGCATTGACTGGGATGCCTCCTCCTCAATATTACCATGTAATTCAATTGATAGTAGGAACATCATAGAATCTAGTCTTATTAAACATACCGAAGCATTCAATATGAATTTGAGTAACGGCATGTACAAGCTGGACAATTTTGTAATTAAGAAGATTTGTGACCAGGTGAGAAGGTCGGGTCACCTGACCATCTGACCTGACCACCAACCATTGTGTGATATTTAAAGATTAGTAGGGTCATTACCTAATACCTGACCATTGTGGACCTGGTCTCACCCTTCTCTGTATATATACACCTTGATTTGTATTTCTCTCTAGTCTGTACTCACCCCTGAAGATGTGAATTACACGAAAGTGCTTGGGAACTTCGTGTTTTCTTCTTTCCTTGTGGTTATCAGCATATACCTGAATCACCTTGCACCTACAGTGATTTACTTGCATATATATAACATATATATATATATATATATATATATATATATATATATATATATATATATATATATATATATATATATATATATATATATATATATATATATATATATATATATTACGTTTGTAGGTTGTACTGTATTGTACACACAGTACAACCTACAAAGGTAAGAGATCATTTACCAAACTTAAAAGGATAAAAAATATACCTGTTCTGCTTTAAGGAGTCAACTTTGATCAATGGCATTACTCAGCATAAAGAGATCATGTTAAAAAGTTGGACTTTCAGGACATTATTGAAGACTTTGCAGCAGCCAACAAGTGTACTTACTATAATTTATAAAATTATAATAACTGATAATAAACCATCGAGTTGTTAAATATTTTGATGCTTGATAAAAACTGTAGAGTACAGGTGTTATATTCAGTATGAAAATAAACATACGAGTAAAGTATGCTTATTTAGTTACTTGTGATTATATTCTTTCTGATTTTATTAGATCTTAGTTAACTTATAAAAGGAATAAACTCTCCCTCAAAATAAGAAAGCATACAATAGTAGTTTAATTTGCACAAATATATAGTGACATGCATCAATTTCCAGCTGGGTGACTTACCTATTACTGTAGTAGCAAAACAAATATAATTGGCAGGTTTCTTACATGATACAGTAGTAAAGAAATGCTTCAAGAATGTTTACTTACAACATAGGCCGACTGTGTACCGATGGGTTTAGACTGGTTTTTACCAGCATCCTCGGGAGATCTTGGAGCAGCAATGGCAAGGGATGTGGGCGAGCTATTACGACTTAACCTCTTGCTTTTCCTCACGCCTTCTCCCAGTGGATTGAGCTTCACTTAAGGAGTCACTGGAGTCAGAGTTATGTCCTTCAACACCAAGATCATCTAACCTTCTTTTGCTCACACTGTGTCGGCTTTCCCTAAGTGTCGATTGCCAGGATCATTTGAAGGAAGAGTCCCCACTGGTGTGGCTTAAGAGATGTTTACATATGACTTCCTGAGAAGGAGTGATTCCCATTTCTGATGGAACAGCAACACTTCCAGCTTCATTGGCCATTATGGGAACATTTTCTCCTGATACTGATTGGGATTCATCATTAGACTGTTGTGTAGGATTTTCTTCAAGTGCTTTTTCTCCAATTGCTACAGTAGCACTTTCTTCAGGAAGCATATCCTCAGTTCCAGGGGTTGCTGAATGTTCCAACTCTGCTACTGGACAATCAGTATCATTGAGTAAATTAGATGAATAATGAGATGCGTATGAAAGTGTGTCCCCTGCTGGTGTATCCTTATTTTCCTCAAGTACAATTTCTTCAGTTGGTTTGCTTGTAACATGACCATCAGGTTCTGAGTCTGCCATTGTTACCTTCACTTCTGTAATCTCACTGAGCTTCACTTCTTTGTCCAAACCTTCAGCTGAACTCGATTCATTATCAACCAAAACTTCTTTGACCAACTCTTCGTTAAGTGCCATTCCAGCATCACCACCTTCAATGCTAGTGGTAATTTTTTTTATTTCTTCAGTTGAAATATTAATAGGAGTAGCATCTTTACTGACACCACTTATTGTCTCATCAGAGTTCTTCAATACAGTAGGTTCTGCTGAATTATCCACGACAGCAAGTTTTAATGATGACTCTTCATTTGTACTATCAGTGGCTTCCTTTCCTTCATCAACTTTTTCACAAATTTCAGAGCTTTTGATATTGTCTTCATGACTCTCATTGTCTACATCCTCATCAATTTTGTCTTTATCCACAAAATCTTCATCAATATTTTCTACATCTATGTCATCACTCAATTCTTCATCTGCAGGAATATCTTCAACTTCACTATGAACAGGATTTACTAAGGCTTCTTCTGGATTTAAATCTTCCAAATCATCAGCTTCCCCATCTGCTTCAGGAGTTTCCACATTTTCCATTTCAATATCATTGTCTGCTGTTTCTGATAGTGCATCTTCCATCCCGTCCTGCCCCTGATATGAAAGTTGCTCTGAGGGGACGTCTTGTGACGAAGAGTCTATAGATTCCACGTCAATTTCCTCAGAGACTATCAATCCGTTTCTTGAGAATTATCAAAACCAAGCCTTCCATAACCCATCCTTCCCCTTTCTCTCCTTTTCTTCCTCTTAAATGAATAACTCAGGCCTTTGAAATGTTTCTTCTTTTTCTTGCCTGTTTTGGTGAATCCTATGTCTGAATCTTCCTTCTTTCCTCCTCTACTTGGATAAGCTTTAGTCATGGGTACACTTTCTTGCCTTTTTAGCATTTCAGGAATTGTCTTCTGTTTCCCCTTCTTGACAGTACTGGAAGAATCAAGACTACCATCCCGGGAGTTGGAGATGCGCTGTGATCGTTTTGGTTCAGACTGAGGTAAGTGTCGCCTGTAACTCGCGCTGTTACGCCTCTGTCGGCTGCCTGCCTCAGGTTCTGAAGTTCCCTCTTTTTCTCCCTCAACCTTTCCTCTGCCTCTTCTCCCCGAGCCACTGACCGGTGAATTATTGGAATTATTGAGGGAAGAACTAATACCCTCTTCGTTAGAAACTCTTCCCTTTCCACGGCCTCGACTTGAACCTGGAGTTATATTGGTGTTCATTGCATCATCAGATTTCTCACCATCACTTCTCTGTTTCCCACGTCCCTTGTTATCACAACTGTAATCTTCTTTAACGATGCTCCTCCTTTTCCTTTTCCACGCCCGAAAGGCGTCATGAGCTCGTTATCAACAATGGTTCTACCTCTTCCACGATCTTTTGTTTGCATTTGACGACGTATGTGATTCTGTATTAGCATTCTGAGAATCTTCTTCTGAACTCGACCGAGCCTTACTACGACTTTTGGCAGGAATAATGGGCGATTCAGTTTCAGAATCATTTCCTGCATCGCCATCCTCCACCAAAGGCTTGCCCACCCCTTTTTTTCCCTCGGGTACTTGGTGTCCCTTCCTCCGTCTTGAACTCGATCTCTGGGACTTCAGGAGTACTGGTGGTCTCTTCAATGAGATCTTTTTCACCACCAGATTTTCTATCTTGTAAACCTCTTCTTGTTCGTCCCTGTGTGGAGGTAGTACTGGACGAAGCAGTTGGTGAAGTATTAGGTGTAGGGGGTTCAGAGGTCTCTTTCCTCACTTTCTTTAGAGCATTAGTAATGGGGTGTATGGTATTTGTATTTGCTGGAGGTGGTGGTGTCTGTTGTGTAACTGGTGTTTCAGGTGTCTTCTCTACAGCATCTAATACTTCACTCTTTCGTTTCCGTGTAAGCCTGGGGACTCGTCCAGTTCTCTTTGGATCTGGAGGCACAGATCCCTCTGGGATGGTGGTAGAGTTAAACTGACGAGACATCATTTCCAATAACTTATTTTTTCTATCTCCAATCTGGGCTGCAAGATCCATTGCATCAACCTTTCTCCCAACTTCTTTGGTAGAACTGTCTGCTGCTCCCTCTTCACTGCTATAATTTTGTGTTTTCTCTATGTGATCATCACTTATCCCAGTCTCCTTAACTTCAAGACAAGTGTCTTCTTTATCATCTACCAATTGCTGCTTCCTTCTACAACATTTTCAATTACTTTTTGGTCTACAGGAGATTCATCTTCCAGTTGGGAGGTCTTCTTAACTCCTCTACCACCAGAGGTCCCAGCTAGTTCTTCTGTACTGCTTCCTGATTCTTTAGCTTGATCTCTAATACTTCCTCTTCCTTGTAACAATCTTCTTCCCTTGAACCACCTGTAAGAGGAAAAACACTTGAAAATATTTATTCCCTCAAATTAAAGGACAGATGAGCAAATATATTCAAAACATGTCTGATAAAATAAGGAGAATAATATGACAATCAACTATAACCTCACTACAGAAATATTGAAGTCAGAGTACAATATCCCAAACAGCAAAAGGCACCTCTATACAATCACAATTAAAAGGTATGAACAATTTTGCAAAACTATAAAGTTGCTAATAGTGAAGACAAGAAGGGAGAGGTAGTAGATGACAGAGTGCTTCCCACAACAAACAATTTTAAACCATAGTGATTTTACCTTTCTTTCAAGCTTTTCCCACTTTACGGTTGGGTGGCCAGAATCATGATCATGTATACTCACCAAGAAAAAGTCCCATCGCCTCACTTGCCTCTTCGTGAACCCAGAGTGTAGAAGCGGTCACCAACACAACAACCACACCCAATGTTAACTAGTTGTATGACCCGGAGTTAAGGAATAATTAAAAAAGACCAGACAACTCGCCAATTGCACTGGCTAAACCATTACCCTAGAAAATTATCTGAAAATCAAATAATTAACATCCAGGTCCCCAATAACTGCTGGGTAAAGAGGCAAATGGCGGAAAACCTGCCCGTTTTCACCCTGCCCGGGGATCAAACCCGGGTCCACTCACTTGCAAAGCTTAACATGCCGATCAGTACACCATACACACATACATTCAATTTTAGACGATGTTTTGTTATCATTTGTTTCATAAATTTTTTATCTAATGTATTTAAGTTTATATACATAATATACAGGCAGAGTTTTCCTACTAAATTACGTTATTCTTAATTTGTTTTCATTCTTCCCCCAACATTTTCACTCACAAAAGTTTTCTCAAATATCTGTACTGATACAATACACACAAGCATGTTCTGGAATAAGTTTACTGACATACATACATACATACATACATACATAATCATACATACAGCCAGCCAACAGACCCATACCACAACATGCGTGTAATAAAGGTGGTTAAAAAATCAAGTGTTCCAACTTATGTTCAATACCCAAGAGGATTAAGAATTAGTAAAATATTTTCCCTCAATTTCTGAGAATACCAAAGGGGAGAGGTCGAGACTATACAGAGCAGTACCCAAAAAATTTAGAACACTATTTCTCCTTGACCCAATGAAACCATTACTGTATTCAGTTACAAGACAAATCAACTAAAGAACCAAGTACAAAGACAGACAAACTAGTGCTACAAAACACAAACATCACAGTACCCAAAATAACTACTGTCAGTTTTACCAAACTCTTTAATGTACTTACCCAAAGACCTATGAGAACCTTTGTCAGATTATGATATCCTCCATAAAACACTCACACAGGTGACCTCTGTCTTAATGAAAGGCATTAAGGGTAAAAGAAAAATAAAGACCTTTATAGTCTCCAGGGAACACCCTTAAATATCTGCCAGTAGAAAGTGGCATTTTTGCACATAACTGTGACAGATTAGAAGATATTGTATAAAGAATTGGTAATCAGATGTTGCATGACTGCCACACTGGTGAAAAGAAAGAGAGTTGTCCAAATAACAGTGCTTCAGCTGCTGTGGCAGTCACAGGCATAATTATCACCAGTGATGTGACAATCAAGCTGTTGCTGCTTGCACAATACTGTACAAGGCAGATTAATCTGTTCAGAAATGCCAAACAAACTTTATTGATGGAACCAAAATAAATTAAAGCAAATTAACTGGAAAATAGCAAAGGTGCCATCACCAAAAAGTTGTCTCTATTTGAATGAAGACTGGAATTAGATTGTTACAAAACAAATTTTTTTTAAACTCTTTCTGGTATAGTAGTAACAGGATTTTTCTTTGTACCTTTCCAATGGAACAAATGGATATATACAGTAGTATCATGGCTTCCATATATATGATATTACTGTATTTGAGGCCCCCGCATCGTAAGGGTAACTCAGACCATCCAGGGCGAAACCCATTTTTTGTTGGAAAGCACTATTTTTGGCATAGCTCTATATGATGGTAGTGGATAAGTTCTCCTTATTAGACTGTAAACAAGGTTGAAAGCCCTTTCAAAATAGGGTGTAACATCGATTTGTGCAGACAGGAAAGCATGGGCTCGGTTTTCGTGTCGTCAGGTGCTCTCGTCCCGTCAGTGAGCGAGTGTGAGGAGCAGGCGGCCAATCACAGTGAGTCTCTGCTATCTACGTCACGGCCCCTCCAGCCAATGTGCGTGGAATACCTCTCCCTCCGCTTTGTTGTGGTGGGATCTACACTCTGATATCGATTAAAGTAAAAAAGCCATAAGCAGGTGGGAGATTTGTTGCTTCAAGTCAACAACCCAGTACATTACTTCATGATGCACTACCTACCATCTGCAAGCATAGAGTCCTTTAGCTTCAAAATGCATACAAAATTAATGCTGTATCTAAAAAAACAACAAAGTTATGCTTGTTAGAAGTTAGAAAAACTTTAAACGAGATTTTCTCAGTTTCAAAATTTGGCGCAAGTAACCCTTACAATGCGGGGGGCCTCATATCCATTTGTTCCACTGGAAAGGTACAAAGAAAAATCTTGTTACTAGTGGAGTATATAGAAATAGTTCTATGCAAAAATTTAGTCCTCAAAACTACTGGAGCCCAAATTGAAATTAGAGAAATGTTTGTGCTATATGTACATCATGTGAACTTATGAATATAACGTACACAAACAAAGTGTACTTACAAATACAAAAGATTGTCTACTTAACTACTGTATTCTAATTACTCCAGTCACTGTGGAGGTTTATTAACAAAAGCATGGCTTCATAAGTACTGTATCAAGTACACGTGTGTTTGCTTTCTGATTAAAAGCTCTAGGACTTGCTAATATACCTAGACTAAAAGTTATTAGCAGGGCTATACAAACCCATTAGAATGACACAAGGGACAAGATCATTTTCCAAATGAGCATGTGCTCTATAATGGAAATAAGTCTTTTGTGTTATTCTCAGAGTTCTACTACAGGTGTGTGTGTACTTTGGGATACTGTATGTTCTTTTTACTCATTATACAGTATTTGACTGGGTCTGTGACCAATTCCCAATTGAATAAAATAAATAAATAATACTGTACTCTAGTCTCAAATGTGTGATAATTTCCATAAAGTTCACATACAGGTATACCTCACAAGTGTACGTGTTCTAGACAAGTTCAACATTGTGGGTTATGTTCCTGCATGCATTTCTGGTAAAAAATTGTTCACCAAGATATTAATTACTGTATATAATCATGAGGTAAAATAAATATTTAGATACAAAAGATACCTGAGATGGTTGAGGAGACTGCACAGCTGAGGTGGTGGAGTTATTGAAACAAAGTGCCAAGATTACTTGCCTCTACATCTAAGGATGGATGTTTATAATATACTGCAGGTCCAAAGATAGCTGGACAGTTTCTTTTTCTTCTATTTTTACAGTTCCTTTGGTATGAACACAGGCACCATTAGTGTTACCTTACATATGCTCGGTGCAGTTGTACACTACATGTACAGTAGTGTCTAACATGAACAAAAACACCAGTTACCAATAATTAGTATACAGTACAGTACTGTACAGATTTATATTTAAATATCTTAATATCTGTTGAGTTTATAATGAAAACAATTATTTTTAAATATATTAATAACTGTAGTTTAATAATATAATGTTTTGGAGGTAATATTAGTGTGGCTGTAACAGAGGTAATATTAGTGTGACTGTAGCTGAGGTAATATTAGTGTGGCTGTAGCTGAGGTAATATTAGTGTGGCTGTAGCTGAGGTAATATTAGTGTGGCTGTAGCTGAGGTAATATTAGTGTGGCTGTTAGAGGTAATATTAGTGTGGCTGTAGCTGAGGTAATATTAGTGTGGCTGTAGCTGAGGTAATATTAGTGTGGCTGTAACAGAGGTAATATTAGTGTGACTGTAGTGGAGGAAACAGGCGGGTGTTGTGCGCCTTAAATTGTTGTTTGGAATTTTGGGGAAAAAGATTATTTCTTTCTCTAATCCACGAAAAACATTTAACAAGGTAATGTATGGCAAGGTATACCTGTATGTTCTTACAGATTTATCACATGAGATATTTTATCTTTGTGTTCTGTTATTGTTATCAAAATCATGCAAGTTCTGACAACAAGGATGGGTATGTGATATCCCAAGTGTATTCTGTTGGGTACACTTGTCTTAAACTGTGAATGGGAAAATATGCACAGCCCTGATTAGAGAGAAAACTAAATGTGATGGAAGAGGACCTCACAACAAGCTGTGGAGAAGAGTAATCCTTTACTTGTTGAACAGAAGCAAGGATACCTATTCTAAATTATATAAGGAAGACAGTAAAGTGAAAGCAATTGGACTGTTGAAATGAGTAACTTAATGACCTTTATAAGGCTTTGTTCAAAGGTTTACTTCATCAACAAATATTAAGGGAAATGAAGTTATCATAGAAACAAAGTTTAACCAAAAGATTTAAAAATTACAAAAGATAAACTGGGTGGAAGATGCCTAATATGAAAGTTTGGGTTCAATGTGGCTGAACAGTAGGTTGTAAGCAGAATGTTCAGAATGGGAGAGTTAGTTTTCAGGAAGACAATGAAATATCCCAAAAAACTTCATGAATACTAATATTCCCTGAGTAGTGGAAAGATAGAACTGATTAAGGTGGGATTACACCTGACACTCTTCTGTCGACACTTCTCTCAGTCATGTACGCCTGAGAGGAAAATATTTTGAGAGTATATGTCGACACTTCTCTAGAGGGAACCTCTCAGGAAAAAATGTCAAGATTTCTTCATAATCAGTTACACCTTTTGCTCTGCCAGTCTGGGACAGGAGGGTTCCATGTGTGGACAAGAATATTATCAGAGCAGCATCGCTACCACTGATGGTCATTTTTTTTATCAAGAAACGAAGAAGAATATGAATGCAGCCAAGGTGGATCAATTATGGACTGCTAGACATGGAGTACTAGAAGCACATGCAACAATACAGAAGAAACTGCATCTGAAAGTCCAATTTCAAAACTTCCAGAGAATGTCATCAACTGACATTGAGAACCTACTCTGTCTTTTTGGACCTCAAGTGAAGAAGGGCGGCCTGAGCCAAATTTGATTTCCTTCGTCTTGCTTCGAGTGACAATCGAATGAATGATAGTACATCGTAGTAAGGCCACTTTGTCTTGGGTCCGGCCATCCCAGAATCAGATCTTTGGGCATTCAACTTCCGGTGTTCTGCAGTCCACTGGTTCCGAAGATTGTGTATCTTTCGTTGGACTTCCGAAACCTCAGCCCCCATGCACTCGGCCAGCTTCTTCCATGCACTGCTCTTCTTCTCACGATCCTTGTGATCTGGGCTAGACATATCCCACAGAGTTGGATTCCTTTCATATTCCTCAATGACCTTTACGGTCATTTCATTGCTCCACTCCATTGTCAACAGCAAAGCACACCACAACCACTCTGGTTCCCACAGCGCAAGCAACTGTCGAAAGAAGGCAAAAAAAAAAAATAGAACTAGTTTCTACTCCTGAGAGATGTGTGAGGACAAGATGAGACTTGCTCTCCAAGCCAGTTACAACAGGAAGAAAGTTTGAAAAGTTCATGTGTAGAGAGATCTCTCGCCCACTATCGAAGAGTTTTAAGTTAATGTACAGTACAGTACTTCCAAACTGCTTAAACATTGAAATTTTCGCTTGCGAGCAAAGTGCCGACAGGTATGTGTCAGACATAATCCCGCCATCTGACTCAAAAATTTTCTCTTAGAAGACTGTACCTGAAACAGTGTTGTGTACAACTCAATATTCAAGATGTGAGATTAATTATTAGTAAAGAACTGAATCAAATTAAATTTAAAATCAAAAGATACAATTAAACTTTCTGAAACATTTCACATATTGAACAAAAATCTAAATTATCATGTTTAAGACAATACTTATGTACTACTCAATTAAAGTGTTAATGTCAAAATAAAATTTCACCATGTAACTTTTATAAACTTAAGGGAACATACTGCACTTCAATACAGCAACATTACTAAATAATATGTTCCAAAATCTAATTTCAAAAGGACCATAACCCATAAATAAATATATAGTTGGTCACTAATATGCGAGTGAACTTTAATTGAAAATTTACCGTTGCTTTTGGTTTACCTTTAAATACAAAAGAGTAATATAAACCTAGGGCTACTCTTCATTTTTCAACAATACATACAGAAGGTTATGACTCCCTGGTGTAATTAAGCCACAGGTTATGCTCGGACAATAAGAACAGCTTTATCATCTACAACATTTCAATTGATCAACCTTAGATAATTCAATCCTGACACTGAACTTAACTGCTAATAAACATTTTACCTTACAGTGAACAGAACTGTGCATTAAAACTAACATAAGATGGATTTTTTACAGTAATTAAATATCACCAGTGATATGCACATGGATGCTGCCATTAGTAATTATGAAAAGTTGTGACTTTAGACCATTTGATTTAATTTCCTGATCACTAGCAAGCAACGATAAATACAGTGTGAACTTTTGAACTTAATATTTTCACTCCTTTTCCATATTTGTGTAGAGTGGCTCAAGGTGGCAGAAAAACCTCAGACAAGAGAGAATATAACCAAGAGAAGGATGACAGATTAGTGTGAAAAGTGATGATAAAAGAAAGGGGAAACTAAGACAGCAAGTAGAAATATCCCATACTTGTTCATATCCTTAACTTGGACACATACACGCACAGAGTACAAAGTGAATTTTGATATCCACAATGATTCTTTTCAATTCACTGTGCATATAATGTTCAGTAGTCAGGATACAACTACAACAGACAAAACAATTCCTCTTTCAGCAATTCATAAAAACTTTAATCAACAATCCATAAAACACTACTGGCTATATATTTTGCCCCTTTAGGCCAAAACAACTAATTTAATTCAACAAGATAAAGGGAAGTTAATCCATATAATGAAGATCAAGTTTGTAAAGGGAAGTCCAGTTTCTAACACTTAACCGGCTGGTAAGAATCCCGTCCTCCGCCACAATACAAACAAAAACGTAATGCAAGGAACATGAAACGTCCACTGATGATGGTTGCCATCCCTACAGCTAACTTCCACCGACAATGGCCGCCATTTAAGGGAAGATCAACAGACCCTGTACAGGGAAGTTCCATACTGTATTTAAAAGGAAAGGCAACACATACCTGTACAGGGAAGTTCAATCATCAGAGGGAAGTTCAACAGATAAAGGGAAGTTCAACACATATCTGTACAAGAAAGTTCAACATTTAAAGGAAAAGTTCAACAGTCAAAAAGTTTAATCATCAAAGGGAATTTCAACATTTAAAGAGTAGTTCAACACACACCTGTACAGAGAAGTTCAATCATCGAAGGGTATTTCAATAGATACAGATAAAGTTCAGCATTTATTTGAAAGTTCAACAGTTAAGGCAAAGTTCAAGGAGAAGTTCAACATATACTGTACCTGCATAAAGAAATTCACTTAATAAATGAAAGATCAATGAAAAAACGACAGTCACCTGCTAAGAATAAGCTCAGCTGAGAAAGGGACAACACATAAGAATGGAGGAAACTGCAGCGAGCCTATTGGCCCCTACTGGGCAGTCCCGTTTACACCCAACACCTATTGCTCATGTATCCATCCAACCTATGTTTGAAGCTATCCAGCGTATTCCAGTTAATGATGATGTTTGGTAACTTGCTCCATTCATCCACTACTCTATTTCCAAACCAATGTTTACCTATTTCGCTCCTAAATCTAAATTTGTCTAATTTAAAACCATTGTTATGAATTCGCTCCTGTAACTTTATTACAGGAGGCAGGCGAGGACAATAACAGGGGCATTGGGTATAGGAATACGGCCTGCATTGTGGGGGTGAAAACGAATAAGGAGTGAACAGGAGAGATGATAAGGGGAAAATGAGGATGAAGAAGATATGCACTATGGTAATAGGGGAAGCTGGAAATCTTTCTATTGCAGTCATCACTCAGGGGGAAGCTCTCTGGAGGAGTGAAGTCATTGTAAATAAGATGCGTATATATTTTCTCCTTAACAACTGGCAATATTTTCAATTCATCATTTTTGGCAGGGAGGAGGAAGAAAGAGGGAAGAAGGAAGGAGGGAAAAGAGGGAGGGAGGGAGTTAGCTGTGGGTTTTTTATTGTACATGTAGAGGAATGTACACATATGAAGTTGAGTTTTCTTGTGAAATTACTGGTGCTTTACTGTCAATATTAAACTGGGCTGTTGGTGGTCAGCCAAGCAAATATGTGTTCTGACATACTGCATCATGTATGCCTCTTCTAATTTATTAAAAAAATTCATATTCTATATAAAGAAGCAAGTACAGAAATGTTTATTTGCCCTGTGAAAGGTCCTGGTGTTCTACTGCTCGTGATTTATTGTACTGTACAATATATTGGGTGGAGGAGGACTACTGGTTAGTTTAGCAATGCCCTGGAGAGTGGAGGTTGTAGTGTTAAGAATTCAAACTGGAGAAAGTCAATACATTTCTTTAAAACAGCAAGAAAAATCATCAAATTCCTTTAAAATATCTTAATAAAAATCAAATTTTTACAATACAGATGAATTAAAACAATTCTCTGGCAGTTTCCATGATAGTAACATAAGTGTCACCAGAAGAGTGACACAAATAGAATCGCCAAACTAACAACACTTGTAAATACTGTTTGCCCAGTCAGACATAAGACCTTATTACAGTACTGTACAATATTCTCATTTAATGTGGAACACACTTGGTTGTTCCCTCTGTATGTGCGGTGTTTTACCTGGTACTTAGTATTGGTGACAAGGTTCCTTTTTTTATCTACAAAGTGGTGACTCTTGAGCCTTAATGAGATGTCTGTGTATTTGGATGATTGTATGAAATAACACTACCATAGTTATTGTGAGTCTATATAACACTACCATAGTTATTGTGTCTGTATAACACTACCATAGTTATTACACTGCATTATGTACCTCATTTATTTGTAATGAACTTCATCTTACAATAAAACTGCTTTCCATCATCACACAGTACAGGTAACTATGTTTGTAATGATGCCGCTGGAAGCCATGTGTGAATTTTATACAGAACTGTACTGGTAAATTTACCCTCATACAATATTCAGATATTAAGGCTTCATTAAAATGGCTTTGTTATCTGATGAGAAATTATAGATTTAAACTGCATCTCATCTAAGCATCAATTTATAGAACATTGATATTTTGTTTTATACAGTACAGTACAGTACAGTACTGGTAATTATGAATATATCCTGGTATTCTAGAATGTTATATTTATATTTTTTGTAAAATTAATACTGTACTGTTTGCACTATTTGAATATTTTGATGAATAATATATTCAACATCTTGAGGCTCGATGATTTAACGCTGTAGTCACAACCATAATGAGTGTCTGAATGAGTACAGTATAAAATAAGTGATTATCACTAGATATAAACAAAGGTTTATTTTTCATTCTCATAATTTGTGAGTTTTTACAACTATAACCTCATGAAACCTTTACCAAAATGGATAAAAACTTCTATTATAACTGTTCCTTAGGGAAAAAAAGGAAAATGTTAATATATGGTAATTTAAGAAAAAAGGCAGAGAAAGAGTTGATACCACTGATGAGGAAGCCGCCACAGCCAAAATAAAAATTCTAAATACAGTACAGTACTCCCTGCTAAGTAAGGGGTGTGTCTTCCATGGCACCATCCCTAATAAACTGAAAATAAAATTCAGTTAAATGTTTTAAATTTTTGGGGTGGAAAAAATGGTCGTCCTACTTCAATTAAAACATTATCTATATGACGGAAAGTGTAAACCTTTTCTACGCGTTAACGAGTGCACTTAGACCCTTGTTGTGTGGGAGTGGTGGCCTAGCAGTTGGTGGGTGGCTGACAGATGATACTGGATCCAAGAGTTAAAAATCTTTACAACATTTAGGATAGTACATGTAAAGTAGTTAAATTATGTCATAACAACAGGATTTTAGTCACAACTATAAGACTACAGTACTACTGTATTACAGTAGCTGTACTAACTTTTCCAGAAAGTTTATCATCTGATTTCATCCATACAGTATAGTTTTGGGTACACATATACACATACATACTGAACAATGATGTGCAAAGGGGGACAAGAAATTAATTGTTATTATGAGGAGAGGTGGCCTTGTTATTCTAAGGCCCCCATTTAATTGTCTTTGAAATGACTATGTTAAATTATAAAAGAAACTGATAATTGTACAAACATGTTATCATTTGGGGAAGCTAAAATAGCAGTCATAAAAGCAGTTTGATTATCAGACTGACGGGATTGTTCACCAATGATGAAAATAACGCTGCCTATATCAATGAAAAATGTTACTCAATACCATTTATTGTTCATTATCTCCAACAATGGTGGATGAAGACAACACAGCAAGACAAATATTTCTTGGTATCTCACCTGCCTTTACCCTTCCTTCTCCTGCTCTGCCTACGTCCACCAGAGTTAACTCCCCCTCGGTGGTTATCTGCAAATGTTCTACAGCTTCCTAATGATGATCCTGAAAATATAATAATTTTTTTCTTTTTAACAAACAAATGCAATTCTTTATAAGTATGCCTTGTAACTTAGAAATCACATTCTATCTACTGTATACAGTGCAGTACAGTACTGAATAGTACAGTGCAGTGCAGTACAGTGCAGTACTGTATAGTACAGTGCAGTACTGTACAGTGCAGTGCAGAACTGTATAGTACAGTGCAGTGAAGTACAGTGTTGGTTCCTAACACACAGACAAAATTTTATGCAATCCCATAAAGATCATGGAAGGAAGTGATCACAAGACATGAACACCCGACACCTGGGATGTGTGGACAAGCAACCAAACTCATTGCAGAGGAACCGTCTCAGTACAGTACTGTATATGCACACCACCCACCTACAAGGAATACAGTACAGTATGTACACTATTTGAACATCTGGTATAAATATCTGTTGAAAACTGAGTCAAGTAAATATACAACTGATGACATATAAACAACTTAAGATCATAGACATACAGTCACAACATCAATCAATTAATTCCTGCTCCGCTGTAGAGATAAAATTATAAATTTCTAGCACTAACAATGACTGGCATGCAAAACCCTGCAAGCATCATCAAACAAAATCACAGTAAAGCCTGGTAATGCTGTACATATTAACTGAATCCATATCATTATCACACGAAAACTTCAGGACAACAATTTTGGCAAAACACTGTCGCCATGCCAAATAATACTGTACTTAAAACAAGTAATTGTAATAAAAAATGTTATACAACTGAAAATTTCATTTCTGGCAGACAAGGAACACATGCAGATGCACAAACAGCACCCAAAATAAGGCAGATTAATAGAATGAAAGAGTTAAATGTAATGAGAGAGAGAGACAAGTGAACTCTTAGAATGCTGTAAAGGACATAATGTTTGTCTACATATTTCACTCGACAACATAACTCACCAATATAAAATTTCACTCATGGTACTGGTGACTATCATGGTCATGGTACTAGAAACTATCATGGTCATGGTGTTGGAAACTATCATAAGAACATAAGAATGGAGGAAACTGCAGCCAGCCTATTGGCACCTACTGGGCAGTCCCATTTACACCCAACCCCTATTGCTCATGTATCCATCCAACCTACGTTTGAAGCTATCCAGCGTATTCGAGATAATGATGATGTTTGGTAACTCGTTCCACTCATCCACTACTCTATTTCCAAACCAATGTTTACCTATTTCGCGCCTAAATCTAAATTTGTCTAATTTAAAACCATTGTTACGAGTTCGCTCCTGGTGTGATAGTTTGAGTACCTTTGTAATGTCCCCTTTGTTCATCCCTGACTTCCATTTATACACCTCTATCATATCGCCCCTCACTCTACGTCTCTCGAGGGAGTGCAAATTAAGAAGCTTTAACCTGTCTCTGTACTCAAAGTTCCTAATGCCCAGGATTAGTCTTGTCATTCTCCTCTGAATTCTTTCCAAGGATTCTACTGTATATCCATTCTGTAATACGGTGACCAGAATTGAACTGCGTAAACCAAGTGGGGTCTCACAAGTGCAAGATATAGTTTTAAGATGACCTCGCTAGTCTTGTAACTAACACGCCTTTGTATGAACCCAAGTACTCTATTAGCCTTGTTTCGAGCAAATACACATTATTTACTTGGCTTAAGATTCCTACTTATCATTACTCCTAAATCTTTCTCGCAGTCGGATTTCTCAATAACATCATTGTTCATCTGGTATCTGGTTTCCCTGTTTACATCTCCTATACTGAGAACTTTACATTTGTCCACATTGAATCTCATCTGCCATTTTTCAGACCATTCGAAAAATTTGTTTAGATCTTCCTGTAGTTTTGCGGAGTCATCGTCAGATTTAATTACACGCCCTATTTTAGTGTCATCAGCAAATTTACTTAATGTTGCTGTCTACGCCGATATCTATATCGTTTATATATATAATAAATAATAATGGTCCAAGTACTGAGCCTTGGGGAACTCCATTAGTGACGTTGATCCAGTGGGATTTAGTGCCGTTAATGCTCACTCGGTTTCCTGTTCTGTAACCACACCCTAATCCATTTTAGAATATGGTCATGGTGCTGGTAACTACCATGGTCATGGTGTTGGTAACTATCATGGTCATGGTGCTGGTAACTACCATGGTCATGGTGTTGGTAACTATCATGGTCATGGTGTTGGTAACTATCATGGTCATGGTGTTGGTAACTATCATGGTCATGGTGTTGGTAACTATCATGGTCATGGTGTTGGTAACTATCATGGTCATGGTGTTGGTAACTATCATGGTCATGGTGTTGGTAACTATCATGGTCATGGTGTTGGTAACTATCATGGTCATGGTGTTGGTAACTATCATGGTCATGGTGTTGGTAACTATCATGGTCATGGTGTTGGTAACTATCATGGTCATGGTCCAACCAATACTCTCATATCTCAGGTATAATGAACTGTACTGTACAGTTCATTATAAAAAAAATATTTGTTATAAAATATATGTCTGGTTTTTGAGAATCACCAGTTTTCTAAGATCCAGTTTACAGGGTCTGTACCTGTACTGTAATCATTTACCTTAACCTTTGTCAGGTCATAGACTGGCTAGATTGCCAGGGTTTTACTGTAACATATTCCCCTACATGAAACACTGACAGTACATACCATTGTCTTTTATAAAATAAGATTTTATTCTAAAAACTCAACCATGTTACTTATGAGGCACATGTTAAAATACAATTAGTACAGGTAATGGAAAAATATACATGAGTAATAAAAATTACTAGCATTTACTTAATAATTCAAGTAATTCTTAATGCAGAGAAGGCAGTAAAGTTAAAAAAAAAAAGGAAATTAGAAGTGTTAATACCATCTAGCAGTTGTACATAGTTAATTGCTGCGTGCCAATAATATCCGAAGCTGGCGTCCCACAGCATGCACGACGAAAACATGCCTGTGTAGTGGAACTTACGCTAAGCTGTACAGTGTCAGGAAACAACTTTGAACAACTTTGTGATGTGAGGTGATATTTTAATGGGGTTGACACCCGTGGTCAACGGTGACATCAAGTTGCAAAAGAGGTGAAGTACAGTAGCCTAATGTTGCTCACTGAAGTGTACCTTTGCCAGGCAATTCTTGATAACTCATTATGATCTGGTGTGTCCAGCACTCTTCTGCACCTTGGCAAACATAACCTGTAAAGAAATAATAGTCTTTGAAATAATTATGCAACCAAACTAGGCCTATTAAAAAAAAAAAAAAAATTATATATATATATATATATATATATATATATATATATATATATATATATATATATATATATATATATATATATATATATATATATATATATATATATATATATATATATATATATATATATACACAGTTAACCCTCACTTTACGCGGTCGCATTCCGCGTTTCCACGTTTACGCGGTGCCCTGCCGGAACCCAGGATGCTCACATTCCGCGGTGCGTGTACCCCTTTACGCGGAGAGCGGCTGGCGAGCCGCGCCATTTTTGGATCCAAACCTCCCGCCATCCGCCATGTTGTGTAAGCTGCGCGAACATGGTGCGCACAAGGTCGCCCAGTCATCAAAACATTACCAGTTCTTCACCCGCCACCCACCACAGCCGGCCCAAGTCAGTGATAGTGATAATTATGGTGAGGATATGGACTTATATGGACTTTGGGGAGTTTGACAAAGAGGCCCTGCAAGCCTCTGTGGTGGATAGTGATACAATTGATACAAGTGACACAGGTGAGGGCCAATAATCTGCCCTCTGCCTCGGAACCAACCGCCCATCCCCGTGTGCCCAGCCATTTTTTCTACTAATGTAAGTGTTAAAAAACCTAATATTATTGATATTTCTCTTAATTATTAATTGTGTGTGCATACCATCATAAAGTTAAGATAATATTTTTACTACAACATAGTTGTGTGTCGTCAAAAAGTGGAGTTTGGGGATCGGCCCGGACTCCATTTCAATTAATCCCATATGTTATGTTTTTCACTTTACGCGTTTCTCACTTTACGCGGGACCCTCCGGGTTACATTAACCGCGTAAAGTGAGGGTTAACTGTATATATATATATATATATATATATATATATATATATATATATATATATATATATATATATATATATATATATATATATATATATATATATATATATACTATATATATATATACCTGGATCACGCGCAAAAAATAAAAAAAAGATCATACAACTTTAGAAAGACTGGAGACACTCAACATTGGGATTGTGTTCACTATACCTGTACAGTACCTGTGGATTGTGTTGAGTTCTGATACCTGGGTGACATGATGAGTGGCGGTGGTGCTGAAGTTAGCTCAGTTACAAGTATTAGTTGCTAGAGGAAGCTTAAAGACTTAATAACAGCAAGAGGACCTTCCTTATATGTGATAGGAAAAATGTACATAAATGGTGTGAGAAGTGTGAAGATGTATGGCAAGTTGAAGAGGCTAGCATACAAGGTTGAGCGAACTGAAATGAGAATGGGGAGACAGTTGTGCAATGTGACACTAAAAGTTGGGAAACCCAGTTCAGAGCTAAGGGGGCAGTTGGGTATTGAGAGTATTGGGGAAGTTTAGCACTGAGGTCGGCTGATATGGTTTGGGTAGGTGGAGAGAATGGAGGAGACTAACTAGGTCAAGAGGTGCTTGAGTCTAAAGGTGGAGTAGTGGAGAGCCAGGGGCAGGCCAAGAATGACATAGTGAGAGATTGTAAAAATTAACATCAGAGTTAATTTTTTATTTTAATTGTATTAATTTTTATTTTTTCTCAATGATCATAAATACTTGTAGTGGGCAGGGCATGAAGGATAAGGAAAATTTTGGGATAAACACGGTGAAAAACTGATCACGACACTAAAATGATGCCTCTACGTGCTTTGTATGTCAAGAAAATAATTATTTACTATAAATACTTTTCCAAAAAAATCAGCCAAGTAACCATGTGTCATCTGTTTGTTTTACAACCAAACTGCTCGGTCTGAGTGTAATCTCATGTCCACAGTAACAATATTACACCATGACACCTCAACAAAGTACTTTCTATTTAATGAGGCAGGAGGGTCTGGACCCCCCCCACTTAGGAAGTTTGGTAAGGTTAGATAGGTTTTTGGGGGTTGGTTAGGTCAGGTTATATTAGGTTCTAATAAATGTCACCTCCCTTAAAATACTGTGCTTACTATAATGATAAGAACATCTGCAAAAAAAATGAACAAAATTGAACAATTCCTTCTGGTGACAGCGGTGTTCTCTTACATTTCTGTGATAATTATGCAGTTTACAGCAACAATATTACACCATGACACCTCAACAAAGTACTTTCTATTTAATGAGGCAGGAGGGTCTGGACCCCCCCCACTTAGGAAGTTTGGTAAGGTTAGATAGGTTTTTGGGGGTTGGTTAGGTCAGGTTATATTAGGTTCTAATAAATGTCACCTCCCTTAAAATACTGTGCTTACTATAATGATAAGAACATCTGCAAAAAAAATGAACAAAATTGAACAATTCCTTCTGGTGACAGCGGTGTTCTCTTACATTTCTGTGATAATTATGCAGTTTACAGCAACAACATAATTCCAGAATTCACTGCATTCAATCGATAAAACACTTTTATATGATCATTTTCTTATATTACACTTCCGTCGCAAATTTATAATAAGGAAATTATTGAATTTTAAAAATAATAAAATCAGAACACCTGTTGCCCCAGCACCTGTTGCCCCTACACAGTTGCTCAAATTGTGTGTTCATACGTTCGCTTACCTCTCGCGCATGTGCTGGGGGACGGCCGCCAATCAAATCGGGGGCGGCCGCAGCCAATCGAATCCAATAAAAAATGTAAACTTTTGATTCAACCAATTAGCGTTCAATATCCGGCGTGGGTGCTAAGATGCAGGACATTTTTAATCAATTGCAACATAGAGCCATAACGTGCTGTGTGCGATATCGATTATTGGAAGTTTATTGTATTATTTCATTCTAAATATAAGGAAACTTTAGAGAACAGAGGAACCCACAACGTATTTTGGTTCCTGACTCGGAGTGAGGTAAGAAATACAGTTATTTATATTCTCATGGAGGCTGACCACGTGACTCTAGGGTTATTACATAGCGCTGTGGTCCGGGGACGCTAGGGGTATCCCCGGCTAGGTATAAGTTAGTAAGCACAGAGTACAGGGAATTCAGACTATGCAATCGATACAACTATTAAGAGGGGGGGGGGGACTAAATCACTAAAATGAAGTCAGATTTGAACTAATTGTATCAAAACCCATCAGAAAACCACCTTTTTCTCTTCAAATTCCATGGTTGCTGTAATATGCACATTTACCCATTTCCGTAAGTAACCACAGAATTTGCCTTATAAATAAAGAGAAAACCGTATACTGTACTGTTGTATAGCGCCTACTATAATGATAGGGTTAAGTGCTAGCTGGGTTACTGTGTGCTAGGTAGTCTGGCCATCAAGGTGATTATTAGATAATTGCGAGTACTAGATGAAAAATTACAGTATATATGATAGACAATTACGTGTACTTGATGGACAATTACATGTACTGTTTGCTCAACCAAGTTCATAGTAGTGTGGCGGCCTCTGTCAGGCAGGATGCTCGCCACCACTAGCAGGACGCCAACCTGCTAACTCGGCAAAACTTTTACCATCTGAATTTAATGCTACATCAAACTCGCTTTTGACCAATGAAATCGTTTGTTAAATACCTTATGTTAACGACAACAGACCACAGGCAGTATTAATTCGTTAAGCAGGCGGTTCACGTGGTGGACCTAGGAAATGTTGTTCACCTCTTGATGTATACACCGTGTTGATGGCGCCACTGTCAGGACACCTCTCGTACAGCTTACTGATGGCTAAAATAAATAGATTAAATAGATATATAGTCATTAAATGGTTATATTGATTCAACATGTACATCGAGTGTAGGTGTATAAATAATGGGTAACAATAAGTTTCGTCAATCACGGATAACCTAAACGGGTAAGTTAATTAATAAGGGCAAAGAAGTATAAAGGCCATTAACAGGTAAATTTATTTTCATTGAAGTAAAATATAATCATGTAATCTTTCTCGTTACACAAACATGACATTACTTTTCCAGGTTAGCAGAATAATCAATTGTGAATCTCGATGTCTAAGTTTTCAATTAACAATATAATCGGATTCTTTTCCATTTGACTCGTAGTGTAATTATTTATATAGAGGTATAGTAGTTTATTGACTACTCTGTAATGGAAATAATTACCATTACCACATTTCAATTCCTTCCATACCAGTAAAAACTAATTAATGGTAGGGCCGTCAGGTCGAGAGGTGGCAGCAACAACAGGAAAATATAAAACATTAACTTTAAGGGCCAGGCCATTAATAACCTAGGGCTAGGTGACGTGGAGAAAGTGAGAAATGGTTAACTCCAAGTCGCCATTATAGATGAGAAGCAAATGAAAGACGCCTTGAATCTAAAAACATTTAACACGACCAAAATGGAACTTTATCCTCTTCACTGAGCTCGTTAGTTGCTTGTGTAGTCCGCCACGTCTCAATTAGCGAGTAATGGGCATGATAATACTGTACCTGTAAGGCTGTAGTTACCAGCTACCAAATTTCCAGATAATTAGTAACGACGATATGGTGTACTACATGGCAGAACAAGGAGCCGTTGATGCCTTCGTCGGTAATTAAATCATTGCATATAGTATGGAGTTGTAACCAGGGGTCCATGTGTTGCAGGCTGAGTGACGTCTAAGTGTCGGATTATGTAGCCGGTAAGACTGTTATCATTCCTTATATTTTGGGTGAAAATAAAAAGCATGGATATCAACATACTGCTGTCAATAGACATCCAGTGTGCTTACCTTGGTGAAGAACAAGTAGCCTACCGGTCTAAGCTCACAAGGAGTCACACCCGGTCCCACTAATTACCCAAATGTAGCCAAATGTAGCCAAATATAGCTGGAATGAAGTCAAATAATGGTCCTAGATGAATAAATCGGACTGCTAATCACTTCTCGACTAGTATTTGGTGTCAGAAAGTCACAAAAAATTGGTAAACTTAATTTAATCTGAGTTGTGTTGTGTTAGGTTAGGTTAGGTTAGGTTAGATTAGATTAGATTAGATTAGATTAGGTTAGGTTAGGTACATGCACTTGATCTATTAACTCAGATTAAATTAAGTTTACCAATTTTTTGTGACTTTCTGACACCAAATACTAGTCGAGAAGTGATTAGCAGTCCGATTTATTCATCTAGGACCATTATTTGACTTCATTCCGGCTATATTTGGCTACATTTGGCTACATTTGGGTAATTAGTCGGACCTGTCACACCACATAACTTGTGAAGGCTGGTGTAACACATACACTTTGAACCAACTTCTTTCTGAAATTGCAAATTACATCCAGGCTCAACCCTGTAATATTACATAAACACCATTTTATTTTATTTTATTTTATTTTATTATTTTTTTGGGGCTATTGTACTGTGTACTGCAGGATGTCATAATACTACTTTATAAAGCAATTTCCCCTGTATGGTTGTTATTAAACCGTTATTTTGTACTTTTTACTTTTACTTTTATCCTCTTCACCACGGATCGGCTTGTCAGCCGCTTGGGCAGTCAGTCACGTCTCTGTTACGCATTGTTGGCAAGTACTGGGCATGCACTGGCTCCTGAATGTATCTGAACCTGCTCCAGCGCTTATCAAGTCTGGTCTTGAAAGTGCTCACACTCGGTTCTGTCACAACACTCTCTGGCAGATATTTCCAAGAGTTCACAACTCATACTACGAAAAAGTTACCCCTCACAGTTTTCTGGGCTTGCGGCTTCTTCAACCTTGAGTTGTGACCCCTTGTGGGGCGAGCATTCGCCAGCTCCAGGTAAGGGCACTTGACTGAGTAGTGCTCCCTGAGATGCTTGTACACCTCAATTAGGTCGCCACTTGCCCGTCTAGTATAAGCTAAGCAATTTCAGGCGCTCTATCTCTCAGGGTGGCTGAGGTGCCGTAGTGCAGGCACCAGTCTGGTGGCCCTCCTGTGGTCATTTTAAACCAACTGACAGTCCCTAGTATATATCGGGGACCAGACGGGGAAGCACTTCACTCTTGAAGATTGTTACGAGGGACGGACCTCCGTCTAGATACCTGAACGACCTTCTTATAAGACCTAATAATTTAGCTGTCTGATTTACCTTCTTCTTGCAATGGTCCAAGAACTTCAGTTCATTGTCAACATACACACCAAGGTCCTTTTCACATTCAGTCTCAATTAAATCAGTTTCTTCGTCCCGATGATACGCCTCCTTACCGTTGGCACATCCCAGGTGCATCCTCTTACACTTCGTGACATTGAATCTTAGCAGCCAATTTTTCGATCATTCTTGAAGCTCACAGAGATCCTTCTGCAGCTCTTCACAGTCTGCTTGATTCATAATTTCCTGAAATAACTTGGCGGCATCCGAAAACATTTGTATGGAGGAATGTACAGTTTCAAACATGTCATTTATGAAGCAAGCAAACAACAACGGGCCCAATACTCTGCCCTGTGGTACCCTGAATATGAAGGGTAAACATGATGATTTCGTGCCATTAATCACCACACACTGCTTGTGGTCATGTAGAAAGTCTCCGATCCACACTAGGACATTTCCCCGAATCCCGTACCCTTCCAGTTTAATTTTCAGCCTCTCATGGGGTACTGTCGAAAACCTTGGCAAAATCTAGGTATATATTGTCGATACTACCACCCTGTTCCAGAATATGGGTCCAAATATCCAGTACCTTGAGTAATTGTGTGAAGCAGGAGCGCCCCGGCATAAAACCGTGTTGGCAATCCTTTGCAAGGTTGATTCGTAGTAGATGTTCCATCATGGCATCTCTTATAATGCTCTCAAGTACTTTACAAACTATGCTGGTCAGGCTCACAGTTCTATAGTTGTTCGTGGAGTGACGATCGCCCTTCTTGAAGATGGGACTCACATAAGCCATTTTCCAATCACTGGGGACCTTCTTTTCATCCAGGCATTTACAGAACTGGATCCCAGCTCGTTGCACAACTCTCTTAGCACTCTGGGATGCACCATGTTAGACAGTTTCATATTTTCGTATTTTGTATTTAAAACAAATTATGGTTCCTCTATTACTTTATAGAATATTTAACTAAGCTAGTGACTAGTGCTGTATTTCAATGCAGGCTGTGTACAGTACTGTAAATGAAAGCTATGTTTAGTTTTAAATATCGGTGTTGTTTATATAAAAAAATGACAATAAAATATAGTCCTGCATTTCTGATTTTACATTCAATACTGCCAACTTATGTTGGCTTAGTGCACCTGCGGCCGATCGCTGATTACTTGCTCCATTACAGTAAGTGACCGACCTGTGTATAAAGGTTGCGGACCACTGCTCCATAACATCGTTGTTCATCTGGTTTCTCTCTTTACATCTCCTAGACTAAGTACTTTACATTTGTCCACATTAGTGCCGTTAAGCTTACTCGCTGTTCCCTGTCCTGTAACCACGCCCTAATCTATGCCCGCTTGTGAAGCCATGTTGGGAAACATTGATCAACTTGTGCTTCTCCAGGTGATTTCGAATTGAGTTTGAAATGATTGCTTCCAGTAATTTGCCTACAATTGATGTTAAACTGAATGGAGGATAGCGATCTATCTCCTTTCTTGAAAATCGTTATTACATTTGTTATCCTACAGGATTCTGGTACTACACCCGTTTTAAGTGACATGTTAAACAAATTTGCTAAGGGCATACTAAGCTCTTCCTTGCATTCCTTTAATACCACGAGGCATACACTGGGGAATTCGCGGGGTCGGCTAGCCAGCGACAAACAGCGTTTGTAGGGGAGGAATCCACTGCAACTAGTCACTACTATCTCGCTTAATCTATTTTCTTCACTATCTCTGTATATAGTCGGTGCCTTGGGTATCATGTTTAAATTTTCGGTGGGGGAAAACTGTTGAAAAATATCTATTCATACAGAAAATCTCCGATCCACGCTAAGACACTTCTCTTATGGTTATCTATCAGACCAAAGCATCCAGGCCAGTAGAATAACATCGACATAGCAGTAACCAGGGGAGCAGGTGTAGACCCACGCATCAAGTTGACCCACCCTTCGAAATAAAAAAAAAAAAAAATTTAATCTTGTAAGACTTGACCCAACAGAGGTCACGGTCAGAAAAGGGAACCAAAGTTCTCACCTCCACGTGATTCGTTAAAACGCCGTCCCCCAGAGTTGCCAGGTGCTCATAAAAACAACATTTATGTCCATAAAACTGGCAAATATTTAGGTTTAGTTACATTTTTATTAAATATACAGTTTTCATATAGATGTTCTCTGTGGAATTCAAGTGGTTTTAAAAATCAATGTCAATGGACAGAATTTCATTACAAGATTTGCCTTGAGCTATGATGTGTTATGTTACTGCTACCCTCCTTGGCTTCCACCACTGAAATTACGTGTCCCGGCAAACTCTTTTGGGGACAACAGGGCAAGGTATTGAAACACTGGACAATTCCCTATATATGGGATATGTGGCAACCATAGATTATACAAAGGCTATGGGATTTTATCATTGCATTGATGAATGGAGAAACTGTACAGCAGGCATGGGTAACCTTTTCTCAGTCATGGGCTGCATTATAGTTTAGGGTAGGTATTTTTTGAGGGCCAACCCACCAAAATTTATATCCTTCCTAACCCAAAAGTAATGTTAATACGTATTGCATTAGCACGGACAGGTTGTTTTTTGTACGTAGTTCCTCATATTCAAGATAACATTGGCATTATTCTAGTGGGTGTGTCTCCTAAGTAAGAAAAATGCTGTAACCAAGAAAAATCAATGTATTCACAGACTGTTTCACTTATCTTCTGTTAGATGCCAAGAAACTCTAACATATGAGCTAAACAATTATTATGATACAGTATGTATATTGAGTAAATACAAAACTTACAAACAAGGAAAGAAAGGAAAGTAAACCAATTGTAATTTATTAATTGAAATGCAGTACAAGTTCAAGAAGATTACACTGTACAGTATATATGAAAATATAGCTCATTTCTAATGGCTCGGAGGTATGTAAAAAATAGTTACTCTAAGGGAGGCACAAACCATTTTTAACTAACATATCTTCATGTGGTGTACACAAGTAAAATGGTTTGTTTTTTCTCAGTAGGAGGGTTTATTGGTTTTTCCCAGATTAAAGGGAAGATTTCATTAGGTGGTGTATGAAAGGTATATTGTTCATGTAAGGACTTGAATAGTGTAGATTGTGGGACAACGAGAAGTTTGTATAAAGATTCTTCCGGTCGTTTTATATTATTAAATAGGTTGCTGGTACAAGGACGGAGAAGTTTGGTTGATATCCCCAGTCATTGATGACATGAATAAAAATGAACATGGGTCCCACAGGAATGACTGTCTGTTATGGACAGTGTGAATACAACACAATAACCTATTTATTAATAATAAATAATACAATGAACCTTCACACAAACTTCTCACCAAGCCAGAATCTTATGAACTATTCATACTGAACAAATTTATCAATCATACTTAAAACTTCCCTTTAGCTAGTGATTCCACAAGTACTTCACCAAACAAGTGTAAAATTTGTGACATGTTAACCTGAACAATATATCAATATCCGTTTCAAAACTTAACATGCTTATACATAAACTATTTTAACAGTGAAGTTGTTAAAGGCCAGGGATTTATAAGTTACGCTTTAAACAGAAGGTGTGTATGTTCACTAATGCTGTACTGTAATATAGTTTGATTGTTTGAAATTCTTACAAAGGCTTCATATTGTGTCATGGTCATATTAACTTTATGATTTTATAAGTACAGTACTGTAGTGATGTGAAACATGGCAACATGTAGTGAGCATAAAACTCATTGTCCAGTACAGTAGTTAACTACAAATTGGTACAATTAAATCGTGTATATGGCTCAGGGTGTTTTTTACCACTTTATGGCAAATATTATAAACAATTTAATGTAAAATTACCTGTACAAGTAATTTAATAAATACAGTATACTGATAAAAAATGTCCAGACACTAAAAGATAAGCAAATTATCGGTGTACATTTCTAGATTAATATATAATTTTACAAAAAATTTTTTTTGCCAATTTACAGTGGTAAAAAAATAACCACCCAGTGGTATATTATAACATTACAAGATTCCTTTGCACTTTAAGTAATCTTCAATGTGGAACACCCAAGGAGTCACTTGGAATCATCAGTCCTGACAGAAGTGAGTTATCGTGTCGACATTAACACCTTCAGAAACTACCGGGGTATTTAATAATATTATTCTTAAATAAAGATAATAAGCACATGTGGTTTTCTTGACTGAAGTTTTGAGCTATTTTCAAGAATACAAACCATTATGATCATCTCTCTAGGCATCAATGTCACACCCTTTGCATCTTACCTTGTTATGTTATATGCACATGAAGAGATGACATTCTTTATTCTAAATCCAAAACTTTTCACCAGTTCCCTATGTTTAAACTCCTTGTACAATATTTCATTGTCAGTGTCATAATTTATGTTCAAAGGTGACCGGATACTCTTCCTGGAACTTTTGTGTTTTAAGAAAAAAAATATATAGTACAGTGTGTATATATCTTGGCCAAACACCTGCCATAGTAACTTTAAACCCCTGAACTTAAGAATTGTTGTATCTTATTTCAGTTCTGGAGTTCAAAGTAGTCATGACAGATTTGCAAGCCTACAGACAAACTATAAACATCTTTACACCCACATTTGGTCTCCAAAAATAAGTGTTCAGCCAATTTTAAACCCTGATATGCCTCCTTACAGAAGGTTTCCCTGGTTCACCATGGCATCTAAATTAAAATTTTCTGTAAATGGCCTATCGACTAAGCATCTCTTACTTTTTGCCTCTATATCGAACATTACAATTAACAGAAGTTGACTGGCTTGGTATGCGAGCAGCAGTGCCACCCAGTAACCTGTAATATTACTGTCACTCACTCAGCAACCATTAATAAATTAATCAGTAAGTGCACCTTAGTTGTTAGGTCAGTTAAAGAATCAGATGACCTAGGCAAAATAATTCTAGCACTGGTGTTATCACCTCCATAAACATTGAGAAACTTGACAAATACATTGTGGGAATATTATTCTCCAGATGAACCATTCTTCACTAAAATACACAAGTCTAAAAATAGTTTTCTGAGACTGAAGATCATTAAAAATACACTGAATGCCAGCCAAATATTTATTTTTCTGGTTAAAGAACTTTCACTTTCAGATCAGTGAACATTTAAAACCTAAGTGATACACCTATAGGGGTTGTGCAGAATTTCTCTTTTCAACCTCAAATATACTGTACAATACCTGAAAATAAACTTTAATCTTGCCTGTAACATCAGTAATGAACAGTGCTCTTGTGGAGCTATGGGACATGCAGGTCTGTAGATGCTGAAGGCTCCGTTTCAAGTATTTTCAAGGCACATTCCTGTTTATAAAACCGATTTATATTTCCAATGTTTAATGTACAGAACGTATGCGATAAAAACATCGTGCTGAAGAGTCACTCTACCAAAGCGTGACAACTGATGTCATGGTCTACTCAGCAGGTACTATGTTAATAGTATTAGCATGTCTGTTATTGATGTTGTAACCATAACCCTTCATGGCCAGGATGTATGGATGCATCGTCTCCGGCATACATTTAGGATCCTCCATCACACTCCGCTGCAAAAAACAAGTTACAGTTAAGAAATGTTATGCAACATGTTTTCAGCAATTTTTAGTTTTATTTATTTATTTTTAATGGAGATTATCCCACACGAGCATAGGTCACCGCCCTACTTAAGCCTGGGGGAAGGGGAGCAAAAGAATACACAAATTACATCATATCTCTCACAATAATTTAATGCCATTAACTTGGAAATGAAAGAAGTGATAGACAGACATGAATAAGATTTGTTCAGGTAATATGGACAGAATGGGAAGTGATAGATTGTTTAATTCAGAGGTGCACGTTCAGAAAGAAAGGCAACCCAAATGGACATGAAAGGATGGGCTGAAGGAAGTACTGTACAAGAAGTGATGAGAATGGACACCAGTGTAAGCGAGTGTGATACAGTATCAAGTGGTTTATGTATAGGGTTGTTAGTGTATTGAGGAGAGACAAATTGCACTACAGGGGGAAAAGGTTGGCAAGATTAAAATTATTTGCATCAGTGTGCATTTAAAAGCACAATGTGTACTGATGAAGCACTTCTAGTTAACATAGGGCAGCGAGGAAGTGCGACATAAAATTAAATTTGGCCATGATTGGCGACACAGATTCTTTCTCAATCAAAACGATCATATTTACTTTCATCCATTTCCTATTTAGGTACAGTACTAATTTTGTTGATTTAACCAACAACTAATATTGAAGTGATATTATAATGGTGAAAGTAATTCCTTATCCTTTGTAATTAGCACCTACTTTTCGTCACATAACTTAGAATATCCTGGGAGTTCCTTCTATTAGTTGGAAATTAATTCTTTACTGATAAGTACAGTACTGTACAAATGTAATTACTTTAGGATTTTTTTTTTACAAAATTATGAGCCTTTTCTACATTCATTGCATACTTTTAAGTAGATTACAGTTGTACTGCATACATTAGTACTGGTCTCGATAATCTCTTCCGATTCATATTACAGCTACATAACATTCAAACTCACCGCGCTAGTGGGGAGTGTCACAGAAAATGTTAAACAATTGGAAAGGGTAATTCAAAGGTTGTTTCATACAAATTATACCAGTGTCAGTGCATATAATCTTTAGTATACTGATAGTATTAATGGTGAACTCAAGGTACCTATATGATGATTGGGAAGGTCCAATTGATACGGACTAGTGTACTATAGCGAAGAAGTGTGATCGTGTCTGAAGGTTACGGTATTTACGTCTTTGTACGATTAGTAAACGTAGCTACCTCAGGTATTAGATGAAAAGAAGAGTATGAGAGAACAATGATCTGGGGAAAAATACAAGTGTATCAGCCATATGTGAAGTGTTGGGATTGACCCATAAACTATACTCCAAGGAAAATATCTTATGTACCTCGGTGTGAGCTTAATACACATCGTTATCCCATGTGACGAATACCACAAACAGTGTAATGATTCGGGACTCTTGTGAAGGTGTTAAACAACTGCAAAGTGTGGAGGAATGAACCATACATAGGGAATAAAGTGAAGTGGATATCCCCAAGCCAAGAACCACAGTTTTTTTTTTTTTTGGTCTGGCGCCTAAACCGCCCGCGACTACAGTCTCGAGGTGATGCGATAGACAAAGTCATTTGCCCGAAAGTAACAAATCACACACTTACTGGAGTATGTAATTTAGAATTAAGGTATGTAACTATAAGCATAAAGTCACAATACAAAAGAAAGTATGTGTGGGGGCCAGAATAACAACATGGTGATATTTAAGTATTGGCACCCTTAGGCCTGTTCAATGTGAGGCGCAGAGGCTCATCCTCGGTGACGCTCCACATCAGTACACTACAACTAGTGTATAACAGAGTAATTAAGATGTATATCTTAAAGCCTTGCCTAATGTTATTGGTAATATAATAAGTTAATTAAGAGGCTTTGTAATGCTGTGTTAATACACAAGCCCATCAGGCCAGTAAACACATTTGTTTACACTCGACATCTCATACACGCAGGTGTACACGCCTGTGAGCAGAGGCAGACCAGTGAGGTCGGAGAGAATGCTTGGCCCAACAACCACTGTTCTACTTGAGGAACCCACCTGGTGCTGTGAGTAATGCTTATGGCCATTATGCAACCTCAACTATGGATCTCTGAACATCTCACACTTCAACACCCTGGATGTTAAGAAATGACGGCGCTACTCAAGGTGCTCACGGCTGCTACTTAAAGCGACCTAATGATACCAGACGCAGAAATAGTCCTGGTACGAATGAATGCCTGGGAAGGATCTCATTTACCTAACAAGAGTAGTGCGAGAGATGGGTACCTACTATGCGTACCTTGGAGCTAAGGATGAGCTGCGGTACCTGTATGTACAGTATTGTGTATATTATTTAATGTTCCTTATTCAGGTGATGTTGAGGATGTTGGTGCTATTAAGTATTACAGGTAATATTGGGGAAGGAATGACCTGGGGAAGGAGGGCAATGATTTTGTATGGAGAGAGAAGACCTTAAATATTTGGATACTTTTGTGTGGTGGAGTGACCTTAATAATTGCTTGGGAAGGGTCAGCTATTTTGTATTGTGACTGAATGCAATATTTTTTATTTGGAAATAAAGAACAGTATAGTTAAATTCTTGGTTGGGGTTTCACCCTTCCACTCTCAACTAGATTAAAGAAAAACACGAACTCATAGTGCCTGGGTTGCTCTGCCCTCACTACACAAGCTGTCCTGTGGTGTGGTGGCAGCAACCTTTAAGTTAAGAAGTAAGTTAAGTAACCTGAGGATTAAGTGGCCACACTAAAGGGCAGTATGCAGTATAGTACAATACTTACGCCATAGAGTATGGTTGACCACTTAGGCTTGCAGATGAGCCTTGAACCACAGGGACAAGAATATGTATACACCTGAGACCCATAGTAATTTCTCAGACGGTTTCCTGGAGCACAATATTCACCTGTGAATAGACAATGAGTTACTAAAATTATATTTAGAGATGGTTTGGAAATGTGGGAAGTATGGAGGACACCAATTGGGTCAACCGGTGCATTAGTCTGGGTGTGAAAGGGAGGAGAGCTAGCTTGTTATGCGATAGGTCTTCAATAGCTAAACAATGTGACATATGGTAGGGCTACTGCTGTTATGTGGCCAGTCTCTAGATGAAACAATACCCCCCTTGCACTGTTTTGAAGGTCTTTATCACATTTCCTTGAACAGTATCCTACTTTATGGCCTGTATGATCTTCACAACTCAATTACTGTACTGTATTTCAGCCTGTGTTGCTGGCTTTCACTGAACATATAAATGGATGAATAATTACCAGGTCACACCCACCATGTGTTTTAACTTATTTCTTCTCCGGTCAGAAGAACTACGAGGTCCAACACAAAAAAAAATAGACTGATGCTGTAACTTTTTATTTACCAAATTTGGAAATTCAACTGCGATCGCCATCAAAGTATAGTAGTTCCCTTCCGGGTTGACACACAGCTGCATACGATGCTGCCAAAGTTCAAAGCAATTCCGCAGACCATGCCCTGTAAGGCTGTTGAGGAGCTCAGTCGTTTTTGCTTTCACCTCTTCTACTGACAAAAAATTGGTTCCTTTGAACACGGACTTGATCTTTAAGAAGAGGTAGAAGTTGCATGGAGTCAGGTCTGGCAAATAGGGTGGGTGCTCAAGCCGTGCTGTTTTTATTGGCAAAAAACTGCTTCACAGACAAAGCGTTGTGGGCTAGTGCATTGTTCATTTGACAGCATTCTTGGAACCATTTTTGCACAAACCTTTGTCATGTTCAATTCTTCTGCTAGAATGCGTCAAACACTTTCCCTGTCTAAATTAACTTTCTCAACTATTGCTCGAACACCCAACCTACAGTTTTTCTAATCACCTCTCGCACTTTTTCAATGTTGTCATCAGAAACTGCTGTGCGTGGACGGCCTGGGCTGTCATCATCTTTTATGGTTTCTCTGTCTTTCAAAAATAGTTTGTGCCATTCAAAAACGAGTGCACGAGACATGCAATCTTCACCATAAGCCCAAGTCAATAATTGAAAAGTTTCCATCGCGGATTTCTTAAGTTTAACGAGAAACTTGATAACTCGTTGCTCAGTTTTGCTGTCCAACATTTTCCGACCGAGTGTAAGAACATGTCTATACTTGAACACACGTCCACTTGCACTGAGTGAAGCGATCGAGTTGAGACTTGTCACACTGACAGGTTAGAACATGTTCAATAACGGTCAGTTTGTCCCTCCCCTTCTACTCTTGGTTCCCGAGTTATAGGGTCAGTCTCGTTATTTTTGTGTCGGACCTCGTATATGAGGTAGGGTGGAAGAGGAGTGGCAGGTCACTTACCGATCTGTCGTAGAGACTGACAGACGCCAATGGGTCGTCGGTGACGGTGGCCTGTCATGAGACAACAGCCGCTGGTGCAGTCAATGTTGTCACTGCAGTGGTCACCTGGTGCTGGCAGGAACATGAGACCCTGGTAAATGTCAAGCACAAGTCAGTTTATAGAATAAAGAATGAATATGAATAATAAAGTATTATGTGAGCATCATAAAAATTATCTAAATATGATTTTCAATATACAGGTATCCCCAGATTTACGATAGGGTTGCTGTCCTGAAACCTAAACGTAAATCACGAGATTTTAACACAGGTTTCAATGCGATACATTCTTGGCCTGTCCGACTCAAGAAGAGAGGGAGAATGTGAGGCTGGCCTAAAATGTATGTCATTATGTGCAGTAGACTGAGACATATGATACTACTTAATACAGTCAAACATTGCATTAATATTTAATATTTTACATGACTGAGAATGGTGTTAAAAATGCTCGCATATTTCATCAACCAAAGTCTTAAGGCACAAAATACAAAGTTTCTACGCAAGGAATATTCTAACTCATGCTGTGGATAATATCTCACATGTATTAAGAGATTATGTTGTAGTATAGGTAGTACATATTTTTTGTACTTGGTGTCAAACAAAATGCAATTTTCAATAAGGAGGAAGCCAAGTGCATACAACCCCGCTGTGGTGGAACAAGTTACAACACTAAGTTGAATACAGATGAGGCGAATGTGTGTACAGTATAACCATCAGGTGAGACTTGGCAGCCCAGCAACGATCTAATTACTCCTTTATTATCCACAAATCATGGAGAATAGAAAAAAGGCAGCCACTTACACGACCCACCAGGCAGCAAGTGACAACAGCGAATCAGTTACATTGCATCCATGTCTGGCTAAACCGTTCAACCAGGATTCAAAGCCTTATTTTTCCTCAGTGGGGGCAACAGAGCTCACTTTGTTAAGTTAGATCTGACAAAATGTTGTTATATTAGGTTAAGCAAGCTTTGGCTATATTGCCAGGTGTGACTGGGCTAGTCAAGAGTCGGTTCGATAAGTCCCAGAGCATTGTTGACACTATTAAGGCAGGGAACTTGTGTTGTCACTTGAGTATGATAGTTAGTTGGCATCTTTCTATCATCTGTTAAGATTAATTATATAACCGCCAAATCTATCAGAAAAACAACCTTAGTCTCGCCTGTAAACATGTTATCTCACCTTTAACACTAGGAGAGGCTAGAATTGAGGTACCATGATCGGGTTAAGCTCAGCTGGGTCAGATTAGTTTGGATTGTGGATGGGTTAACATGTAGTGGATTCCTCCCCTACAAGAGCCGTTTGTCGCTTAGTAGCCGACCCTTCTCGAATTCCCCAGCCTACGCCTACAGCGCTGCCTGACGGAGCGGGGGTCAACTATCAAATCCCGCCTTATAAGACCTCACCCCGCTGTGACCACCCTCTTTCTACCTACGGCCACCAGCAAGCAACACCACCTCCTCCTCCGCTCCGGCGACCTTGGCGCTTGTAGCCATGCTGCCTACCCAGCAACAAGCTGCATTGTACATCCAATACAATATGTATACAGAGAGCACTTTGTGAGTTTCCTTTCTCCATTCCAGCCTGAGTGTGAACCAATATCTCATAACCCCACAAACTCATGTGTACATTTGCGGTGGAGTTTCCCCTTTGAGAGTTTGTAAAACACTAAAACAATAAGGAGGGCGACCCTTTCATCACGTAGTACACAGTCTCTCCCAGATGTATCTCATTCACCGTCAGTGATTGTTGTATCCACTACAAGCAAACGTTTTATTTATTCATCAACATGAAACACTTATTTATTCACACATTTTAAACTATTTATTCGATGATGGAAAACGTTTTATTTATGCGACCCGAGGAGGAGGACCGATGAAAGAGGAAGCAAAGGAAGAGGCAATAGGATGAAGAAACAAACACTTGGTATACACGGAGGGGAGGGGGTGACGCCCAGGTAATCAGAGGGGAGCAGAGTGGCGCCATTTGGTCCACTGGTGAAACAGTAGTGGCCTTGTTACCTGCGCTACTGATCTAGCAAGAACAATAACAGCAACTCAACAGTAGTGGGGATTGAGGCAGCAGCATCAATAACTACAGTATACGGCTGGCGACCGGTTCCAACAACAAGAAACAAAACAAAAAAACATCAGTAACAGCCATCACTAGTAACCAGTAACAGCCATCACTAGTAACCAGTAACAGCCATCACTAGTAACCAGTAACAGCCATCACTAGTAACCAGTAACAGCCATCACTAGTAACCAGTAACAGCCATCACTAGTAACCAGTAAGCAGTAACCAGTAACAGCCATCAGTAACCAGTAACAGCCATCACTAGTAACCAGTAACAGCCATCACTAGTAACCAGTAACAGCCATCACTAGTAACCAGTAACAGCCATCACTAGTAACCAGTAACAGCCATCACTAGTAACCAGTAACAGCCATCACTAGTAACCATAACAGCCATCACTTAGTAACCAGTAACAGCCAACAGCCAGCAATGCTTTTTCTAGTAACCAGTAACAGCCATCACTAGTAACCAGTAACAGCCATCACTGTAACCAGTAACAGCCATCACCAGTAACAGCCATCACTAGTAACCAGTAACAGCCATCACTAGTAACCAGTAACAGCCACCAGTAATATCACTAGTAACCAGTAACAGCCATCACTTGTAACCAGTAACAGCCATCACTTGTAACCAGTAATCAGTAACAGCCATCACTTGTAACCGTGCAAACAGTAACCATACCATCACTTGTAACCAGTAACAGCCATCACTAGTAAATCAGTAACAGCCATCACTAGTAACCAGTAACAGCCATCACTTAGTAACCAGTAACAGCCATCACTTGTAACCAGTAACAGCCATCACTTGTAACCAGTAACAGCCATCACTTGTAACCAGTAACAGCCATCACACAGTAACAACCAGTAACCAGTAACAGCCATCACTTGTAACCAGTAACAACAGCCATCACTTGTAAACCAGTAACAGCCATCACTTGTAAATCAGTAACAGTAACCAGTAACAGCTACTACCAGTAACCAGTAAATCTTAAAACACTTGTAACCAGTAACAGCCATCACTAGTGCACAATCCAGTAACAGTAACAGCCAGTAACACTAGTAACCAGTAACAGCCATCACTAGTAACCAGTAACAGCCATCACAGTAACCAGTAACAGCCATCACTAGTAACCAGTAACAGCCATCACAGTAACCAGTAACAGTTATCACTAGTAAGTAACAGCCATCACACAGCCATCACCAGTAACCACCAGTAACAGCCATCACTAGTAACCTAACCAGTAACTAACAGCCATCACTAGTAACCAGCAATGTTTCATCACTAGTAACCAGTAACAGCCATCACTAGTAACCAGTAACAGCCATCACTAGTAACCAGTAGCAGCCATCACTAGTAACCAGTAGCAGCCATCACTAGTAACCAGTAACAGCCATCACTAGTAACCAGTAACAGCCATCACTAGTAACCAGTAACAGCCATCACTAGTAACCAGTAACAGCCATCACTAGTAACCAGTAACAGCCATCACTAGTAACCAGTAACAGCCATCACTAGTAACCAGTAACAGCCATCACTAGTAACCAGTAACAGCCATCACTAGTAACCAGTAACAGCCATCACTAGTAACCAGTAACAGCCATCACTAGTAACCAGTAACAGCCATCACTTGTAACCAGTAACAGCCATCACTAGTAACCAGTAACAATACATCACTATTAACCAGTAACAGCCATCACTAGTAACCAGTAACAGCCATCACCTAGTAACCAGTAACAGCCATCACCTATTAACCAGTAACAGCCATCACTATTAACCAGTAACAGCCATCACTAGTAACCAGTGGCAGCCATCACTAGTAACCAGTAACAGCCATCACTAGTAACTTCAGTAGCAGCCATCACCTAGTAACCAGTAACAGCCATCACTAGTAACCAGCAGCCATCACTAGTAACCAGTAGCAGCCATCACTAGTAACCAGTAGCAGCCATCACTAGTAACCAGTAGCAGCCATCACTAGTAACCAGTAACAGCCATCACTAGTAACCAGTAACAGCCATCACTAGTAACCAGTAACAGCCATCACTAGTAACCAGTAACAGCCATCACTAGTAACCAGTAACAGCCATCACTAGTAACCAGTAACAGCCATCACTAGTAACCAGTAACAGCCATCACTAGTAACCAGTAACAGCCATCACTAGTAACCAGTAACAGCCATCACTAGTAACCAGTAACAGCCATCACTAGTAACCAGTAGCAGCCATCACTAGTAACCAGTAACAGCCATCACTAGTAACCAGTAACAGCCATCACTAGTAACCAGTAACAGCCATCACTAGTAACCAGTAACAGCCATCACTAGTAACCAGTAACAGCCATCACTAGTAACCAGTAACAGCCATCACTAGTAACCAGTAACAGCCATCACTAGTAACCAGTAATTGGTGAATGATGGTTGTGGTAGTAGTGGTGAAGGGTGGTGGTAGTGGCCATGTCCAGTAGTGGTTAATTTATTTGCATTAGGGGATAAATCGCATTTAACCCCCCATTGAATGGTGGCCCCAGGCTCCTCTCTGATTAACCCTGAGACAGTCTGGCGTCTCTCTCGGTCTTCCCCTGTGGCAGAGGGAGAAGGGAGTGAAATGATGAGAGAGAGAGATATGGGCAGTGGCAACTTGGCTCCTCTGGACCTATATAATAAGAGATCAGAGCACATTAGAATCAGAGGTTCACAGCCCAACCATGAACAGCAGTCACCAGTTATACTGAACAGTGGCAACTTGGCTTCCTTATTATCAGGACGCGAGATGTGTGCAGCCCTGTAAGAAAGCTTACTGTATTATCACCACTTTCACCAGTGTACGGTATAATAGTTCACATCCATGTACGTATATATTAAACAACCACATCGGGTATAGTACAGAACACATCCCTGTCTAACATCCAGCTGTTCTTAAAGAATGCTTTTACTGCATTTAATAGCCTTCCTCCCACCCCATACACTTGTAATGTCTCCCACAATGTTCATCTGTTCACCATATCGTACACCTTTTCCAAATCTACTCTATAAATAATTAAAACCATCTGTAAGTAATAAACACCAACAAATAACTTATTAAAACCAACAAAAACGCTTTCTCTGGATATTTTACAAGCAAAACACTGGATATGTTACAAACAAATCACCTTAACTGGCAAACAAAACCTTTTAACTGTATGTTACAAGCAAAACCCTTTAACTGGATGTTACAAGCAAAACCCTTTAACTGGATGTTACAAGCAAAACCCTTTAACTGGATGTTACAAGCAAAACCCTTTAACTGGATGTTACAAGCAAAACCCTTTAACTGGATGTTACAAGCAAAACAGGTAGGGGACAAAATCTTCGTTCAAAATGTTAGTAAAGGCGGCCTCAGTAGTAATGGGTGTCAGAAGCCTGAAGCTGTCACAACACAGGCAGAGACAAGTGAGTGTGTGATGGAGGGCCCATCTACCCCACTTGACGGGGACCCCTCACGTTCCTCACGTTCTCTACACCTGGCAACTGGCGGTGCGTGGCAGACACTTCACACTTCAAAATTTCCTTTCAAATTTCAACATAAATCTCTTCTCATTGTTAACTTACGAATGTTAAAGAAGGCACTGACAATAGACTTAAATAAACACGGCTTATAACTGCCTCAGTGACAAGTTCCCCTGAAGGCCTGTTGTGTGTTTTGAGCATCTTGTACACATCATATTTGCGATCGTTTCGTGAGGGACAACATTTCGTTCTTTCGTTGCATATATTTTCCTCATATAATAATATAATAAATACCATCCTAAGACCATCAACTCGACTTTAAAACAACTCAAGCTCCTCGACGAAGTGGATAAGGTGGGGGCACCTTCCTCGTCGCTGTGGTCACGGTGTCGGCGCTGCCCTAATTAATTTCCTGCCCGTCACACACCCTCTTCCCCGGTGGACTACACCCCCACCCACATACCGCCGACGGAAAAGCATACACAACCCACGGCCGCCCACATACAGCCCACGGCCACCCACACACAGCCCAAGGCCGCCCACTAGCTCTTAAGCATTCCAGGTATTGCAGTAAACATAATTTTCAAGTCAAGGCCCCGGAATAACAACAATTATACCTTATCCTCTCTAATTACAGGCAGATGTTCACTTGTTCTAAATTCCAGATGTTCACATGTTCTAATTAACATAACTTCGTGTTCTAATTAATTGATGTTTACGTGTTCTAAATAACAGATGTTCACGTGTTCTAAGTAAAGTATTATTTGAATAGGACCCCTTTGGACAAATGGGAATAATATTTGGCTTGACGATTAGGCATGTAATTTGCATAAGAACAATACAAGGGTGCCACTATATGAGAGAGAGAGAGAGAGAGAGAGAGAGAGATTAATACCTGAGAAAGTTGTATAAAACGCAGTATTTTCTTAACTCTCAATGGGGCAGTCATACACACACACTTGTCATTGTCTCCAGCTTGACTGACAACTACAGTACAGCGACAACCCGAGCAATGGAGAGATGACGACTGCAGTGCGAGAGAAGCTATTACCCACCCACACACACAAGATCCTACAGCCACGAAATATGCTGGGAAAACCAGATGGGGGGAGCTGACCCGAAGTGTACAACATGAAACTCGTGCGCTAGGACCACTTACCCCTCCCAACCGAAGAAGACGGGTTAGGGAGAGGTGAGAGAGGCAGCTTGTGTGAGAAGCTGATTCCCGAGGAGAGAGGCGGGGATTGGGCCTGACAGCTGCACTTCTGTACTAGGAACAGTGTTGACCACAGTGGCAGCGACGGTGGTTTAGTGGCTCGTAATGTGGGGGGTGGCGTCCCGAGCCTCCACGACAGTAAACACGACCCCCTCCAGCCAGCCCCCGTCACCCCTGCAGACACGTGGAGGGGAACGGTGTGCCAGAGAGGAGGAATGGCACGCGTGACGCCCACAGTGCCAGATTCTCCTCCCTTCCCCACTCAGGCACTCCTGGCGCCACATGGCATTCACCACTTCCTCACACCCCCCCCCCCACACACACCCTTCGTCCCTGACATCAATTACTTCCGTTTTCATTCATATATTTACGCTTTCTTTCCTCCCTCCCGGCGTTCGTGTAGATTCCTGTCCACCCACTTATGTATCACCGTCCATCTTTAAAGTTCCGTTTATTTTTTTATCACAATTCCATAAACATTCCGTTACCTAGGCGGGTGCGGGCGCGCGGGCGCGCGCGCGCGCGTGCGTGTGTGTGTGTGTGTGTGTGTGTGTGCCTTTTCCCCAGGTGTGTACAATGAAAGACAAAAATCGTGTCGTGAAAACATATGCCGAAGGGCTAAACTTTTGGTGCACTCTGCCTGTGTCATACGGACGGTTGGCAGGGCTCTCATAATGTTTCACGAATTATATGTAATCTTCGGATAAAACCGCGACACGACTTTTGTCTTTGATTGTACTGTACATTAACCTCCTCCACCGTTATCCTCTGACGTAAGATGTGGTCAACGCCAACAAACTAATGGGGTTTTATGGACAGTTCACAGTTACGGCTGTTTACAAACGGTTTATTGGTCGTATTTAACGGCACTGGAATTTAAACTATTTTATGTTAACCCAACTAATTAAATCTAACTTTAACCTGACCTAATCTAACCTAACCTAACCTATTTTCAACCCAACTTAAACTAATCAAACCTACCCTAAACTAACATAACCTTAACGTAGCTAACACTCAATTTACCTTAACCAAATATAATATAACACACACACTACGCGGTGTTCTCAGAATAGTACACAACTTGGACAGCGTCTCTCTTAATACCCGAGGCTGACATCATGCTGCTATACTTAAGCTGGTGAAGTATACCTGTGTTTACCTCCATTATTATTATTACCTGTTCACATTATTACGACCAATACTTACTGTGCAACAAATGTACCAATGTTACCTTGTACTTAAAGGTTACCGCACCACACTGTACTTAATACCAACATGTACTGTACACAGATTGATTATTGTATTAATTTAATATCTATCTCACGATGTTTAGGGGAATATCGACCAATAATTGTGTTTATAGAGCCATGGACCAATAACTGTTTATAGAGCCAGGGACCAATAGCTGTGTTTATAGAGACATGGACCAATAACAGTGTTTATAGAGCCATGAACCAATAACTGTGTTTATAGAGACATGGATCAATAACAGTGTTTATAGAGCCATGAACCAATAACTGTGTTTATAGAGACATGGACCAATAACTGTTTATAGAGCCAGGGACCAATAGCTGTGTTTATAGAGCCATGGACCAAAAACAGTGGGTGTGTGAGAGGAGGAGGAATGTGTGTGAGAGGGAGGAATGTGTGTGAGGAGGAGGAATGTGTGTGAGAGGAGGAGGAATGTGTGTGAGAGGAGGAGGAATGTGTGTGAGGAGGAGGAATGTGTGTGAGAGGAGGAGGAATGTGTGTGAGAGGGAGGAGGAATGTGTGAGGAGGAGGAGGAGGATGTGTGTGAGGAGGAGGAGGAGGAATGTGTGTGAGGAGGAGGAGGAATGTGTGAGGAGGAGGAGGAGGAATGTGTGTGAGGAGGAGGAGGAGGAGGAATGTGTGAGGGGAGGAGGAGGAGGAGGAGGAGGAATGTGTGGGAGGAGGAGGAGAGGAGGAATGTGTGAGGGAGGATGTGTGTGTGTGAGAGGAGGAGGAATGTGTGTGAGAGGAGGAGGAATGTGAGAGGAGGAGGAATGTGTGAGGAGGAGGAGGAATGTGTGAGGAGGAGGAATGTGTGTGAGAGGGAGGAGGAATGTGTGGGAGGAGGAGGAGGAGGAATGTGAGGAGTGTGTGAGGAGGAGGAATGTGTGAGAGGAGAGGAGGAATGTGTGTGAGGGAGGAGGATGTGTGTGAGGGAGGAGGAGGAGGAATGTGTGAGAGGAGGAGGAGGAATGTGTGAGAGGAGGAGGAGGAATGTGTGAGAGGAGGAGGAGGAGATGTGTGTGAGAGGAGGAGGAATGTGTGAGAGGAGGAGGAATGTGTGTGAGAGGAGGGAGGAATGTGTGAGAGAGGAGGAGGTGATGTGTGAGAGGGAGGAGATGTGTGGAGAGAGGAAGAGGAATGTGTGAGAGGAGGAGGGATGTGTGTGAGGGAGGAATGTGTGAGAGGGAGGAATGTGACTATTGTTTGCTCGACTTAGGCAGGTCGGGGGGCAGAGTACGGTACGGATGTTAATAAAAATTGTGTCGTGTGGTGCTAGGGTGGTGTGTGGGGGGCAGGGCGGCGTGTGGGGCAGGGCGGCGTGGGGGGGGGGCAGTGTGGGGGGGGCAGGGCGGCGTGTGGGGGGGGCAGGGCGCGTGGAGGGCACAGGGCGGCGTGTGGGGGGCAGGGCGGCGTGGGGGAAGGGCGGCGTGTGTGGGGGGGCAGGGCGGCGTGTGGGGGGGGGCGGCGTGTGGAGGGCGGCGTGTGGGACACGTGGGGTCTACATAGGTGACTAAACTATGCATATAATTTTTGGCGGAAGGCGAGACAACGTAAACAAACACTTGGCCAACTCAGGAGTGACTTACCTCAACACCACCACTGAGGACGACTACGACCCAGCTGAGGCAGAGGAGCGCCCGCGGCTTCATCTTGCGGACAACGAGGAGCAGAGGAAGATTATGGGCGTATAGGGGCAGAAGGCAAAGGATCTCCAAGCGGCCCCGAGCTATCTTACTCTTCTTTGTAGGACGTGTGGTGACTCGGCGGCGTTTGTGAAGCTCCAGGAGAGACCTCAGCGGCTGGATAAGACTTTCTCAGCAGTTACAGTTAAACGGGGCTCAACGTCGCCGTGTGGACCTGATGTCGCTCTCTTAGTCCCTGAGGTCTATTTTCATATATACAGCTCCCTGGTGTTACCGTTCCTTCAGAAGCTTGTGTGTACAGGTAAACACGGGAAAGGTTCCTCCTAGCTGAGGTTTTTAAATACAGGTAGCAAGCGAGAGGCCACTCACTAGAAGCATATGTTCATAATTCTTTGTGTACACATATTAATTTGTCATTTACAGCTAAATAAAGCGGACTAGTATAACTGCAGCAATGAGAAGTGAGTTCTCTAATTTACTGATTATATTAAAGCTTCCCTCATCAATGAAGAGGATAACACAAACTTGTTTCATATACGTCGCGACTCTTTATATTGTTCTTATATATTAATCTATATAGTTTCATTATCTTCGTCACTTTTTATGGATATATTTCTATGTTGTCTCCAACACATTATAACATGCATATACTTATCACTCACACGGGTCAATATATGTACAGTAATTTACAGTTGTTGTCAATAATCCTCTACACTTGTATACACTGTTGAGTGAGCCATCAGCGGCTGTGCGCGCGCGCGTGTGTGCGGTGTGCGTGCGTCAAACTGTGGCGACAGAGCGACCCGGGCACTGCACGAGGAGCAGCCCACAATGACCACTATGAGGGAGCGAGCAACTAAAACATTGACGGGTTAGCTGCTGCGGATACACTCGGTTATCAGGCCCCCCGGTGTGACTGCTGCGCCCGTCGCTTACACACACTGATCCTTGGGTGTTTGTATCCTAGGGTGTGCCGGGGTGGCCTTGTTTATCCCAGATCACTTGATGGTTATTGACGGTGGGTGTTACAGCGTGGAGGATTAGCTTACAGCGGTACAGGTTATTTTACAGTGAGGGGCGGTGAGTGAGAGGTTCTTGGCGGTGGTCGACCATGTGTCCTCTATTGATGGATGGTTCAGCTCTGATGCTCACCGCTCTTACTTTCTTCCGCGGTTCACTTTACCGTTAAAAGTAAATCTGTATCTGAGGCGTGTTGCTGTGGTAAGAATAAAAGCTAAATAATGTTTAAAGATTACGGTTCACATAGAGTAAGGTTTGTTTACAAAGTGTTTACACTCTTTCTTCACCATATTTCTAACACTTGTGACTGAGTGTGGTCAGGGTAAGTGAGTCACTGCTACCTTCTGGTGAGAGGCTCTGACTACATTTCAAGGAGTCGTGACTCAGGCACCCGGAGACGTCTCCTCACTGACTCAACTTTTCCCACTCGAAAAGTTTTCGTTGAAAGATTGAATTTGGATCAATGTACAATAAAAACATTAGCTAGCTACGTCACTAAACTATCATTAGTCCGTTAAAAATACATTTACTGGCTCGAAAAAAATGTCCGGTTAAGTGAGCGGTTCTCGCCATAGTGTGTTGGAGGCTGCACTTGGTGGGGACAGGTTCAGTGTAAGTCCGCCAGAGCCTGAGATGAGCTCCTCCACTGAGAGAGTATAACCCCGCTATGCTCCCTCAATACTCGCTCTTTAAAGGGAATTAGGCGAGATTCTTGACAGTGGTTAAGCCGAGTGTTGTGTTTGGGTCCGGTAATTAAGCTATCAGCTGGGTGTGCACGGGTCCTGGACGTTGATCTCTCAGCTACTGAGGTTGGTGGTCACGCAGCTCAGCCACACACCTCACTGCCAACACCTGCAACACAATAATGAGGATGAGCACAACTAACATCACAGTAACACTTAATGTTACGTCATTATAAACACTGAGAATAAAGTAACGTATAAAATTTGCCATTTGTTGAGGTAGAGTTAAGGTAGATTAGGTTAAGGTAGGTATGATTAGGTTAACTTGGATTAAGGCGCCCCCCAGTAAACAAGCTAGTATTAGGTCAGTTAGATAGCTGACGTCCGCCGAGGCTCTGGGAAAACAGATGACTCCTGTGTGTGTGTGTGTGTGTGTGTGTGTATGGGGGAGAGAGAGTTAACTTTCCTATATTCTACCGTCAACAAATAATAATTCCCATTTGTCTTTCTAAACTGCCAACTGCCACATGTATGACTATTAACTAGCTCATGAACGACAAACAGGCGCACTAAAAACCAGCGTCCGGCCATGAATGAATCTCAGGAGGAGCTTGAAAAACATAATGACTTCCTTTAGTGGTCGCGTGGCAGTGGTGGGGGAGGTGGTGGTTAGGGGGAGGGAGAGTGTGGAAGTGGTGGTGGTGGGTGAGGGAGGATGATGGAGGTGGTGGTGAGGGAGGATGAAGGTGGTGGTGGTGGTGAGGGAGAATGAAGGTGGTGGTGGGTGAGGGAGGATGATGGAGGTGGTGGTGAGGGAGAATGAAGGTGGTGGTGGGGGAGGGAGGATGAAGTGGTGGTGGTGGGTGAGGGAGGATGATGGAGGTGGTGGTGAGGGAGGATGAAGATGGTGGTGGTGGTGAGGGAGAATGAAGGTGGTGGTGGTGAGGGAGAATGAAGGTGGTGGTGGTGAGGGAGAATGAACGTGGTGGTGGTGGGTGAGGGAAGGTGGAGAAAGGAAGGCAACTCGGGGAATTGAATTGAAACAGTTTATATAGCCAGAAAAACACAGATACAGAGTGGATAATAATAACAATATTAACATGGCTGAGCTAGTTGAGAACCTGAGCTCTCTTTAAGCTCAAGGAAGGTAGGAGTTGTCTCGCCAAAGGTTGTAATGACACACTGTAGTACATGTTGTGGTGGTCCTCCTCATCATTCCCTCACTCACACAAGCTCATCGATCAGTGTGTTGAAGAGAGGCGGCGAAGTGCATATCGCTCGTGACCACTTGACAAATGACAAGTTCACCAGTACACTTATTATTGATAAATAACCCGCCCATCACAAGTGCCTACCTGTTCCCATCAACTTGTCTTTCCCATCATTATGAAACATTAAACGCATTTGGTTTCCTTTACGAACCCAAACACACATTATTAACGTCTCCTGTACACTCACAAACACACTAACGTCTCCTGTACACACACACACACACATTATTAACGTCTCCTGTACACTCACAAACACACTAACGTCTCCTGTACACACACACACACACATATTATTAACGTCTCCTGTACACTCACAAACACACTAACGTCTCCTGTACAAACACAAACACATTATTAACGTCTCCTGTACACACACATACACACACACACACACACACACACACTTTATTAACGTCTCCTGTACACAAAAACACAGACATTAATGTGACGTCTTTAAATCAGGAAATGACTTGGTTGTAATGGTCCATACAGTGATGAGGGTTAACATTGAGCCACCACTCCCGGGAAGTGTTAAAGACAGCTACAACATGTGATTCTTACATCAGCAATCTAGTGGCGCCTCAGGTCTGACTCATACTGCTGTCTCCCCTCAACTCTCATCCCACACCGTTACCCTTACTCACCACCACCCTTATTCCTCCCCGACATATCCACTTCCACCCTCCCACACGAAAACAACTACCACCGCCTACACATGAACCTTCCATGAATCAGTTATCGTCTCTGCCCAGGTCGTGAGCTTGACTACCTCTGTTGTGAAGGGTCAGGTCAGTCTGCCTCAGAAAATATATGATTGTGTAAACATTGTGTATAATACTTCCTTGAGATAAATGTACAGGATATATCAGGTGCCTAAAAGAGAGCTCAGGTTCTCAACTGGCTCAGCCATGTTAATATTGTTATTATTAACCACTCTGTACCTGTGTTTTTCTGGCTAAATAAACTGTTTCAATTCAATAGTTTCACAGCCATAACCATAAAACTAGAACCTGTCAGCAGTGTTGTGGTCTGGTGAGTTGAGGGTCGCATTACCACACTTTGACGAGAGACACGTGGACCCCGACACGTGACCAGGCAAAAAAACCCACTTGTGTCGCCTCCGCTGGGAACTACCATGATCACGAGAGAATTCCACCCACTGAGGGACAGGTTGACTTGTACCACTGAGTAGGCTAAACCATTATAACGTCATAGAGTGTTGGCTGTGGTGTTGCAATGAAATATATAGTGGAGTTAGACACTGGGCGGAGCTTAATGTATACCTCCTGGAGTTAGGCAAACTTGGGGACTCTAGGGAGATTCAGCGTAGATGTTGGACCTTACGTGTCTTGATCCCCCCTCCCTCGGTCTAATGTACTGTACTTCATCACAAACACACTGTCTCTTGATATATTCTAAACATATTTCTCAAAAGGCTCTAAACAATTATCTTGTGTATCTATACCAGTACTGGGGTGCGGTGGCCGAGTGGATACAGCGCTTGCCACGTGTTCCAAGAGTCACTGGTTTGAGCCCGGGCACCCCCAGTTCACCCGGCTGTGTATGGGTTCTTTAAGAATTTAAGGCCTTACAGTACAGTGTCCTGTTATACTGCTTCCTCGTGTAACGAGAACAGGCAGACTACATTGGTGTACCCGCCCCGTCCCTAACATGACCCGCGTCACTCAACAAAACAATTTATTGTCTATATAACATATCATTTCACTGTTACCATAATGTTCTGGAACTATAAACGCGCCATGTGTGAGCCAGGGTGGGGCCACAGCCTCACCTCTGCCACACCCTCTCTGATGACCTGGCTGATGCAACATTATGGCTTCTCTACTTCCTGCTATCTGACATACCACAGCTGCGGGGTAGACAGGTGGAGGAGAGGAGGAATAAAGGAAGAGGCTACAAAAACAAGGAAGGAAGGATGAAGAGAAGACGAAGGAGGAGAAGGAGGAAGGGTGAGGGTGCTGCTCACAACAGGAAGTGAGGCACGTGGGTTACGGTAACCTGTAGAGCTGGCCACCCCCCCACCACGACCCTCAGCTGTTGTGTCACCTCCCGCCCCTCAACCAGGCCTTAGTATCTACATGTTACGCGCGATCTTGGAATCCTGGGCGGGGGTGAGGGGTTGGGGTGAAGGGGTGGGTTGGGGTGGGGGGTGAAGGGGTGGGTTGGGGTGGGGTGAAGGGTGGGTTGGGGTGGGGGTGAAGGGGTGGGTTAATTGAAGGGGGGTTGGGGGGGGTGAAGGGGTGGGTTGGGGTGGGGGACAAGGGGTGGGTTGGGGTGGGTATGAAGGTGGGTTGGGTTGGGGTGGGGGTGAAGGGGTGGGTTGGGTTGGGGTGGGGGGTGAAGGGGGTGGGTTGGGTTGGGGTGGGGGTGAAGGGGTGGGTTGGGTTGGGGTGAAGGTGAAGAATTGGGTTGGGTTGGGGTGGGGTGAAGGGGGGGGTTGGGTTGGGAGTGGGGGTGAAGGGGTGGGTTGGGGTGGGGTGGGGGTGAAGGGTGGGTTGGGGTGGGGTGGGGGTGAAGGGGTGGGTTGGGGTGGGGTGGGGGTGAAGGGGTGGGTTGGGGTGGGGTGGGGTGAAGGGGGTGGGTGGGGTGGGGTGGGGGTGAAGGGTGGGTTGGGGTGGGGTGGGGGTGAAGGGGGGTGGGGTGGGGTGGGGTGAAGGGCGGGTTGGGTGGGGTGGGGAAGGGAGGGGGGCGGGGTTTGGTGGGTGAAGGGGCGGGGGTTTATGCAGAATCAGACATAATCAAACAACACATTATTAGACAGACACTAAACTTCCCCACCCCCAAGGTAATAGACTTAAATATCTTTAATTATTTCAAGGGTCATTAATTACCACTAATTACTCGAATTTTTAAATTGTGAACATAAGTCCTTAATCGGCATGTAAAGTAGCACCTTAATTTAAACAGTATTTTTTGACCCCAAGTGCAGAAAACTAAGGTATTAGGTCAAGCTTATTTTTGACGCAAATCGATATTTTTGGGGGGAGTGAAAACTAACGTGTTTATATAGTAAAGATGATACAACTCCATCCAGACCTTGTACTGAGACTCCATCTAGTGACCGAATTTTGCATTACCTTGTCGTGGTGTGGGGGATTGAACTAACTTTCAAATACCCTCACCTCTTGTGTACCAAAGCCTTAAAATTCTCGTGCTAAAGAGGTTAAAAGTGTGTGTGGGGAATACATAACAATCCCTGCCATGTAGTTTAACAGCGGTATAGGCCTAGTTAGCCGTAGTTGTAATATAATTGATGATTTATCAGTGAAGGCCTCGAGCGTGAAGCCCTACACAACCTCGGCCTGCGACACACACCTGCTACCGCCCAGGCTCACTGCTCAACCCCTCACATCCCTTGCCTCACTCACTCACTGCTCGACCCCTCACATCCCTTGCCTCACTCACTCACTGCTCGACCCCTCACATCCCTTGCCTCACTCACTCACTGCTCGACCCTCACATCCCTTGCCTCACTCACTGCTCGACCCCTCCACATCCTTGCCTCACTCACTGCTCGACCCCTCACATCCCTTGCCTCACTCACTCACTGCTCGACCCCTCCCGCACCTGCTCGACCCCTCACATCCTTGCCTCCCTCACTCACTGCTCGATCTCTCTCCCTTGCCTCTCACTGCTCGACCTCTCTCACTTGCCTCACTCACTCACTGCTCGACCCCTCACATCCCTTGCCTCACTCACTCACTGCTCGACCCCTCACATCCCTTGCCTCACTCACTCACTGCTCGACCCCTCACATCCCTTGCCTCACTCACTGCCTCGACCTCACATCCCTTGCCTCACTCCACCACTGCTCCCCTCTCATCCCTTCCACTCACTCACCACTGCTCGACCTCACATCCCTTGCCTCACTCACTTG